ATTAATTTGTTTTTAAATTTTTTATATGTTTTATATGCTTTTTTTATATTTTTCTTTAATTAAGAGATATTATTTAAGTTATTGTCTTTGTTATTTCCTTTATTATTGCTTTCGTTTTTAATTACTTTTCCTTTTCCTTTGTTAGTAGTTTTAATGGTTTTTTTTACCTTTTCTTTAATCTTGAATGACTTTATTTAAGATTTAATTTCTACTAAGGCTATATTATTTATTAATCTTAAAATATAATTAAAAGGTAATATATTAAGTTAATTACAGTGTTTTACTTGGTTAAATTTTATTAATAATTAAGTTTTAAGGGATTTAAATAAATATTTTAAGATAAATAAGTTATAAATAATTTATATAAATAAAAAAAATATTATTATTAAAGCTAACGCTTATACTATATTTAATTAATAACGGTATTAATTAAAAAGCTATTAAAATGTGATAAACTTGTATTTAAGTCCGTTAAAATGTAGTAATTAAGGTTTTAATTTTAAGTAAATAATAAACAGTATAAATTAAGTGTTAATAAACGTTAAAATGTTTATTAAAAAAGTTTAAAGTTTTTTTCCTTATATAAATTAAATATAAAACTTAAATTAATAATTAAAAAAACATAAATAAATAATTAAATATATAATAGTTTAAATATCCCGTAAACCTCCTTATTTACTTTTTATTTACTTAAAATTATTGTAAATCTTATGGTTTTTAAAGATTTTATAAATCTTATAAAATCCTTAAGATTTATAAGATCCATAAGATCCAATTATCCAAAGTTTAACTAAAAATATTATTAGTTATCCCCGCTTTTATACTTGGTATAATTTCGTTAAGCCGTTAGTTCGTAACACAATATTAATTAAAAAGCTATTAAAATATAAAGAACTTACACTTAAATTTATTAAAATATAATAATTAAAATCTTAATTTTAAATAAATAATAAGTAATATAAGTTAAATATTAATATAATATTAAAAATATTTATTAAAAAAGCTTAAAGTCCTTTTTCTTATATAAATTAAATATAAAATTTAAATTAATAATTAAAGAAATATAAATAAATAATTAAATATATAATAATTTAGATATCTTTATAATTTTTTTTACTTATATATTATCTTATTAAAATCTTATAATTTTTATTATTTTTAAAGATTTTATAAATTTTAATAAAATCCTTAAAATTTATAAAATTTATAAGATTTATAAAATCCATTTATTCGAGGTTTAACCGAAACGTTATTAATTAACACCTTGTTTTTATATTAGGTATAATTTCGTTATTTATTAATTCGTAATAATAAATTATATATTATTTAAAAAAAAATAAAAGGGTATTATTAAAGTTAATGCTTATGTTACACTTAATTAATAACGGTACTAATTAAAAAGCTATTAAAATATAATAAACTTATATTTGGATTTATTAAAATGTAATAATAATAAATTTTAATTTTTAAGTAAATAATAATAATATAAGTTAAATGTTAAAATAAATGTTAAAATATTTATTAAAAAAGCTTAAAATCTTTTTTTTATATAATTAAATATAAAATTTAAATTAATAACTAAAAAAACTTAAATAAATAATTAAATATAAAATAATTTTAAATAAATTTATTAACCTTTTGTTACGAACCAACAGCACGGGAACCATACCTGGTATGGAAGCGGGGGTCCTGAAACGTACGATCGGGAACGGATAAACCTCGGATAACCTGATGGAGGGAAGTGATCTCAGTGATCTTAGTGATCTCACTGAGATCACTAAGATCACTAAGATCACGACAGCCTCAGGGCAAGAAGTATGGAAGGTCTACGGGATATTTAAACCATCATGTATCTAATCATTCATTTACGTTTCCTTAGCTATCAATCTAAGTCTTATATCTAACCCATATAAGGGGAAGGACTCCAAGCCTTCCTGACGAACATTTCAACGTTTATTGACACTTGACCCGTATCGTTTACTGTTTACTTAAAATCAAGACCCCAGTTACTACACTCTAACGGACCTGAGTGTAGGTTCGTCACACCTTTTTATAACTTTTATATAATTTAATTAATTTAATTGATTTAATTGATTTAATTGATTTAATTGATTTAATTGATTTTATTAAATTAATAAAATTACTAAAATTACTATTTTCCATTAGCCATTCCAAGGTTTTGCCGTTTCTGGTCATGTTAATAAAACCCCGCTTTTATACCCAATATGGTTCCTTAAGCTATTAGTTCGTAATAAAAATTAAAAAAAAAAATATTATTAAATTTTTAATTTTAAAATAAATAATTATATATTTATTATAAGAAATTATTAAAATTAATAAATAAATTATTTTTTAAATAAATTAAATTCTTTTTTAATTTAATAATATTATAAAATTATTAAAAAAAAGAAAATAATATATAATAATTAAAATTAAAATTTAACGTTTAAATATTTAAATAATTTTTTACTTGATTAAAAAAGTAAATAATAAAATAATTATATTTAAAAATTAAAAAAAATAATAAATAAATAAAATTTTATTTTTTTATTTATATTATTATAAATTTTAATATTAAATATAATAAATTAGTTAAAGAATAAATGTAATATAATGTTTTATTAAAAATTTTAAAAATACAATTAAATAAATAATTATTTATTATATAAAAAAATTAAATTAACTTTTTATATTTTAATAATAATTTTATTAAATTTAAAAGAAAAATACATATATATTAATAATGTTAAAAATAATATATATTATTATAATATTATAAATAAAAAATTTAAAATAAGTTTTTTTTATAAAAGAAATAATAATAATTTATATATAAATTAAATTTTGATTTAAATAATTATTACGTAATTACTATATTAATATACATTTTTATATATATTATTATTTTTTATAATTATTCTTTTTTTTATAATATATATAATTAAATTATAATATTATAATTTTATTTTTTTAATATAATTTAAACCGTAATTTTAAATAATAAAAAATATAATAAATTAATACTTAATATATATAATATAATAAAATTAATTTATAATATTTATATAATATATTTTTAATTTGTTTTATTTTTTTAATTTAAATTAAAATAATATTAATAATAATATTAATAATTTTAAACTTTTAAAAAAAATAATTATAATAAATGTAAATTTATTATATATTATTATATAATTTATATATTTATATATTTAATTATTTAAATTTTTTATAAATCTTTTATTATTTTTAAATTTATTTTTTTTAATTTAATTATTATTAAATCTTTTTATAATTAATTATAATATTAAATATATTTTTAATAGTATTTTTATTATTATAATGAAAAAATTAATTAAAATATATTTATATTTTTATTTTAAAAAATATAATAATAAATATTTAAAAATATTTAAAAATTATAAAAATTATAAAAATTATAAAAATTATAAAAATTATAAAAATTATAAAAATTATAAAAATTATAAAAATTTTAAATATATAATTTATAATATAATAAATTTAAAATTATATTTAATTTTAAATTAAAAAAATATTTATTTATAAAAATATATTTAAAATTAATAAAATAAAATAAATTATAAAATTAATTAAATAAAAAAATAAATATATATTTTATATATTTATTTAAAATAAATTTAATAAAAATAATAATTAATAATAATTAAATAATTTTTTTATAAAAAAGAAATTAATATAATTTTATTATTGGAATATATATATATAAATATAACTTAATTAATAATAACTTTAAAAAAATTATTTATAAAATTATTAAATAATTTATTTTATAATTATTTATTAAAGTTTTTAAATTTTAATATTTACGTATTTATATATATAAAAATTATTTATATAATATATATATATATATATACATTATATTTTTAAATAATTATAAATTAATTAAAATTTTATAAAAATATAAAAACGTTTATTAAAAAGCTTTTAAAAATAAATATATTTGTTAAAAAATACTTGAAATAAAAAAGTTAAAATTATTTATTTAAAAAGCTTTAAGTTAATATTTAAAATTTATTTATTAAAAAGTTTTTTAAAAAATTATTATTAATAATATTTAATTATAATATTTAAAATTCATCTGTTAAAAAATTTCGAAATTATTATTTAAAAACTTTTAAATTAAAAAAAATTAAAGTTTATTTATTAAAAAATCTTTTAATTATTTCAATCATTTAATAATATTTTATTAATTAATTAATTATATATTTTTTTAAATTAATTCTTTTATTAAACTTTATTAATTATAATATTTATATTAATAAATAAACTTTTTTATTAAATTTATTTATTATTTTTACTTTTTATATAATATATATATATTATAAATAAATTTTATTTATTTAATATTTATTTTAATTTTAAAATATAATTTTTATAAAAAATTAATAAAAAATTAAAAATATTTATTATTATAATTTTTATTATAATTAATATTATAATTTTATTATTTCTTTATATATAAATAAATAATCTTTTTTAATAAATTAATTTAAATTTTTATTTTAATAAATTTATTTTTAATTAATTAATTTTTATATTTAATATATAATAATAAAAGTTTTTTTAAATAAAAAATTATAAATTTTTATTAATATAAATATTTTAATAATATAATTATAAAAATAAATTAAAAAATAAAATATATATATATATATAAAATATAAATTAAATTTAAAATAATAAAATATATTAATTAAAAATAATAATATAAATATAATTAAAATATATTTATAATAATTTTATTTTTTATAAAAAAAATTATTAATATTAAAATAATATTACTTTAATATAATATTTTAATTAAATTTAAATAAAACCATATTTTATTAATATAATTATTAATATAAATTAATAATAATAATCCTTCGATTTTTACTTTAAAAAAACTACGTTAAATTCACATGTTATTTATAACATTAACGTCTTTTCCCATATGTACCTTATAGCTACTTAACCTACCAGCTCATCATCCCCGTGCTCCGATCAAACCCGCCTCTCAGCTGCTTATCAGGCTTGACAACTTTACCCTGCAAGATCGTATACCGGACCAGATTCTCGCAGTCCTCAGGCCTCACCCGCGCCAGCCAGATACACTGCGCGGCACCAACATCCGGCTCCCCTTGCCCCTTCCCTTCCCCCCCATCTTCTTCCGGCGCCGGCACCGGCTTCACGACCTTAACCTGCGGCTCCTGGCCCGGCGGCAGCCTGCCGCGCTCCACCTTGTCTAGGCCGAAGGCGTCGGGGCGGCGGTAGATCAGGACGTTGGCGGAGTACTTGTGGCCGCCGACGTGGTTGACGAAGTAGATGCCGACGCCGCCGGGCCGCTCGTCGTCAAGGTCGCGGTCGAGGCCGAGCGGGCGCAGGTGGCGCTCGAGCTCCTTCTTGATGAGCGGGGCGCTCTGGGCGCAGCGCGCGTCGCGCGTGCGGTGGGAGCACAGGAGGACGACGGCGCGGTGCGGGCACGCGCGCGCCCGCATGTCGCCCACGGCCGAGCGCGACGACGGGATCGTCTTCGGCAGCGCGATCGGGTCCAGCGGGTCCGACGTCGTGGGCGCCCGCGAGATGTACTTGCTGACGAGGGACGGGACGGCCGGGGGCGTCACGTTGTCGATGATGGTGAAGGCGGGGAGCACCAGGATCGACGTGGGTTGCGAGTAATCCGCCTGGTGGGACGGCGTGTGCATGTTGGACGCGGAGAGCATGAGGCGCTGCAACTGCGTTAGTGTTCTTCATATTCACGGGGAAAAAAAGAATGAAAAAACATACCCCATTGCCAGGCTTACTAGCATGTCCAAAGGCCTCCATCACGCTCCCCTTCTCATCCTCGACATCCCTCTTCCAGTCGGACTTACTAGTCGCGACGATGACGTGCGTGCTCCACGGCTTGATGTTACCGTACAGGGGGTGCGACTCCTCGACCTTGAAGTGCCGCGGGTACTTCACGGTGCAGCTGTCGCAGTCGTGCTCGCAGGCCTCGCCGTCGACGTCGGGCCGCGTCTGCGGGAACAGCTCCGTCGCGCGCGCGCTCCCCGTCAGCGCCCGCCGGGCCCCTCCGATAAGCGAGAGCAGACCTGCCGCCATCTTTCCTTTTCTTTCCTTTTCTTTCCTTTTCTTTTTTCTTCTTTTTTTCTTCTTTCACCCTCCTGTTTCTTCCCCTTGATCAATTGGGTCAGCCAACCAATTGGACCGAAGAACTGCGACCCGATAGTAAAAATAAATTATGTGAAGTGCCAAGTGTAATTGCAAAAGCAGGTGTAAGTAAAGCAAAGCTTGGAGACGGAAGATGTGTCTATAAAAAGCTATGGTGGGGCAGGGGTAACCTGCAGCTTGTCTGCTAGTAATATCTTATCTGATCTGAAGATTGTGTTAGTGCTGCAAGCCCAGGTGGGGGGGGACAAGTTTGGGGGAATTGGGTTCTTGGGGGAGGAGTGTGTGCCTGGGAAGGAACCAAACGCAGGGGGTGTACGACAGATAGGATATTCCCGTTTCTTGTGGCGTAAGATAGGTAAAGTACTATGTAGACAAGTCGTAATGCTTACATAATTGGGACCAGATATTATTCCTAACTCACCACCGTCCAACGAGGTTTTCTCTCGCCTTTCACGAAAATACCAGGTGAATACACAAATGCTCGTCTTCGTTTGTCTGTGTATTTGCTGCTGTTGTTTGCGCTGACAAACTTGTTTAATGTCTTCCGATAGTTATATCTTAAATTTGAATGCGATATCTCCGAGGTCATCCAAGCGAAAGTCTAACGTCCTTCTTCCAACTTGCAAGAACACAAATCAAGGAGAGGGAAGGAAAAGAAAAAGGGAGGGGATGACAACATCGAAATTAAAAGGATTCTACGGAATATTCGAGACTAGAACCCGACGGACGTGCCCTATCCTATTTTATTATTACCTGTTCTCGGTCGGGGTATCCAACTCGGACAAAAGAGGGCACGTCCCTAACTCGGAGTAAGTCCTTCGGCCTCCGAGCTGCTTGCCGCGTGTCGCAATTCATTAGGGTCCATCTCCCCAACCCCATCATCTCATCACCGCTAAATGCGCATAAGCTGCCACTATCATTTCTCAATTCTACTTTTACTATTAGTATTGTTGCATCAATGAATGAGTAGTTGTTCTCTACAAGCATATGTCAGTGATATCATAACGTGGTTAAGTAACAAGAAAAAAAAGGAGAAAAAGAAGAAAAGAGAATGACTGCTTTAACGGCATCTCATTAACTTAACCTAGCCTACCTACCACAGTACATTCTCATGTACGTAGTATCTCCCGTTAAATCCGTCCCAAATACACTATCGGCAAGGCTATTATAAGTAACACAGCTAGCCAACTAGCTAATTACCAAATACCCCACCACTTTGAGGGCAAAAAGGAGAGTGATCGACCATGAGGTAAGTGACTAGCAGCCTAGTACGAAGTACATAGTATACACAAGGCACGTACTGAGTGATACGGTTAGGTTCAAAAATGCTTCGTAACCACGTCACATGAGTACCCAACCTAAAGTACCTTAATGCAACGCAACTTCCGATCATATCAGATGCGTTTCCCAGCTGTCCGACTGGCTCTGACCCCTGCCAAGGCTGATTTATTATTCCCCTTGATCGGTTTGTGCTTGGGTGTCACTCGCTCATCTCATCTCATCCGCGTCTCAAGCTTCGATAACGTGTTACTCTTAACTATGATAAAATACTAATTTGTATTTTCGATCACGTTCACATATTTACCTAGGTAATCTAGCTTATTGCGACGACGGTCCAAAGGCGGTCAACTTCTATTATAACCACCACCGATTTCCAGAGGCCTCTTATAAACTCATCTTGAAACCCATAATTCATACCCCGTAATTGGGTTTCGTCATCACATGTAAAAAAACACACAGGCCAAGTTGAGATCGTATTATCATTATACCTTCTCCCTCTTCCCCTCTTACTTTTATAGTCTTCTTAAGCCTTCTTCATTTATAATCGAACAGTAGCTGTATAGACAACACCACTGCCAACAACAACAACAGTTTACCTGTCCGTCAACATAGGTACTGTACGCTCGGGTATACATTACTCCTACTCCAACTCCTATTCCGTCTCCTCACATCTCTCTGCTATTCCATCTGCTCTCTCCTCTCTTTCCTTCTCTCCCCTTCTGTCTCACTTTTCACAGCTGAAAAACGGCGCCTGCTCCATTACAAATGCTCAATTACTTCTCCCCCCCTTTCCTTTTTCCTTCGATCCTAAAAACTCGGACCTATCCGTTCTAAGCACTTCACTTCATTCCACTCCAGTCCAGTCCAGTCCGAACTAAGCCAAGCCAAGCCAGGCCAGGCCAAGCCCAGACTATCTTATCTCCTCTCTCGATCTCTAGGTAAATAGGTAATTAAGGCGTTTTTTCCACAAACAAACGAAAAAAAAGCAAATTTACCCTCCCGCAGAGACAAAGCAAAATGACATAAAAAGAAGGTTTTCATAAAACTCTCTCGCTCTCTTTTTCATCCCATACTCACACCCCCCTCGCTCCCCTCCCCGTCCGACGAGAAGCCGCTCTTCCTTCTCCTCAGCTGACCCCTCTGCCTCATCGCCGCGCGGATCTTGTTGCTCGCCTCGTTGAACCCTTCGTGCGTGTCCAGCGCCGTGAACGCGGATACCGGGAAACCTCCGGACCCGAACCCTCCCCCGCTGCTGCTGCTCCGGCTCCTCGACCGGGAAGGGGGGCGGGTCGCGAACATGCCGATCGAGCCGATGTTGCTGAACGACTCGTTCCGCGGGATCGCCTGGCTCGACTTGGTCGTGTTCTTGCGCGACAGGTGCGGCGAGTCCGGCGGCGTCGGCTCCGTCGCGTCGGCGGAGGTCGCCGGCTCCTTGAGCGACAGCGAACCGTCCGCGCGCGACGGGTCCGCGATCAGCCGTGTGTGCTCGAAGTCCTCGTACATGTCTGGGCCCAGGTCGTTGATCACCTGGACCACCTTATCCGCCAGCTCCGCCCTCCGCTCCCGGAGCTTGTGGAGACTGTTGCTCGCCGTCGGGCTGATGCACAGGACGAGAGGCCGGAGCGACTTCAAGATATCCATGCCGACCTCGCCGAACCGTAAGGCGGCGAACGTGATAGCCGGGAAGACGACCCAGCCAGCGACAAAGACCAGCCAAAACGGCACCCACTCCGGTACGTAGCCCCAAAGGTGATCTTGGTATACCTTGAATGAGAGCAAGATAGAGTACAGATTATAGAGCACAGGCGTGAAAGCCATAGCAACCAGTAGTTTCCACGTAGCCATGACATCCCGGCCCTGAATCTTAACCGACGAAGCCGCTAACGCTTCCTTGGCCTTCTTGTGGCTGATTATCTTAGACGCGGCGAAGACCGGGGCGAATAGAACCAGACCGGGGATGACACCGATAGAGAGGACTAGGAGTTTGATAATTCGGTATAGAAGGGTGACGATGACCGAGGGGAGGGTCATCTTAGCGTAGGCCACTTGGTGGTCCTTGATATTAAGATAGCGGAGCTGGTTGTTGTAAATCTTGACATTGTTCATCAGATCGATAATGCGCGGGTCATCCTTGTATTTGGAGAACCCGACAGCCAGTCTCCTGTTCAATTCCACCACCATGGGTAGAGGTAGCTTCTTTCCGGTATTGTATAGTCTCCGGGCTGCCTGGATGCACATCAGTGTATCGTAATCCGGAGCCGATACCGTAACGGCGCTCAGAGCTTGGTGCACCATGTCGAGCGTCTGACCAATCGCATCTCTCCTCTGATTATTCTTGTATTTTTCAACAATGTCTCTGGGGATTTGGAACGGCGCTCCAAATTCGACAACAGCCCGCGACCGGAACTTGTGCGCGTGAAAATAGTTCATCCCGACGGGAACAATCTGCAGTCCACAATCGGGATCCTCCGCCAGGGTACCCAATGCCATAATAGCAACACCGGCCTTCAGCGGTAACAGCTCTGTCCTGTCATGGCTACCTCCTTCGGGGAAAATTCCAATACAACCGCCAGATCTTAGACGGTGGAAGACCGCTTTGTAAACCTCGGTCTGGTCGATGTGAGGCGCCAGCTTAAACTTAGTACCCTCGTAGCCATCTTTAGTACCTCTCAATCCCTTGTTAGTGAGATTTCCCTTCTCGTCGATATCGTCTCGACCGGTGAGCTGCTGCAGGGGCACCTTCCCCTTGAACGGGCGCTTGATGCGAATTTCCTCGGGCCCGATGATCTGGGAGATGTCGACCGAGCTACCCGACTGGCCCTTCACCGAGGGCAGGAAGATCATGCCGCCAACCTCGGCTTCCTTCTCGAAGTCGGTGCCCACGCCTCGGATCAGGGTTGGGTCATTGATGGGGTCGGGCAGGTAGATGACGCCTGAAGCGGGTTTCGCTTTATCCTGCGCGCGGCCCACGGGGACAGATCCGGTCTGGCGCGACCCCCAGCCGATGAAGCCGTGGACGGACTTCTCGGCGATGAGCAGGCCCACGCGGCGGTTGGCCTCGTTCTTCAGGGTCCGCTGCAGGACCAGGCCGTCGACGAACTGGTTCGCGTGCGGCGCGGCGACGAACAGGATAGGCCCGGTTCGCGGGACCCTCCATGCGCCTCGCGGGTGGACTTCGCGGAAGAACAGATCTACCAGGACGGAAAAGGTGTGCAAGAAGGCGTCGTATTTCCAGTCTGACATCGGGTATAACTCTTTGCCAGGTTTTGGCTTCGCAGCGGCGGAGGACCGTGCCTCTTCAGCGTGTTTGCCGTCGGCCATGATCGCACAAAAAAAAGAGGAATCGAGGACGTGTCGTCGGATATGCGGGAGGGAAGAAAAAGTAAGTCGGATAGAAGCTGTCGTATCGATTCCTAATCCATATACCAACTGTTTGAAGAGGAAGTAACGGCGATAAGAAGTTGGCGGATTATTCGGGTAAATTAGGTATCGACTTATAGGACGATAAGTGCTTCCGGGAAGTTTGCGCGCGGACTCGAACTCGATGTGGGCTCAGGAAACGGTCCCGTTGTTTTTTAGTTTTTTATTTTTTTTTTATTTATTTATTTATTTTTTATTTTGTATTTTTTTAGGTGGAATGTGCAAATATATTGAAAAAGAATGGATTAAGGTATTAAAAGCCAAATTGGAAGTCCGAGCCCCAAAAGCTATTAACTAGTGTAAAAGCCCCGGAGAAGCAAGCAGAAGCAGAAGCAGAAGCAGCAGTAGCTAAATAAGAAGGAAATAGAATTAGATGGCTATCAAATTCAAATCAATAGCTCTTAGCACGCAACCTGCAAAAATCGACAGCGTCATTCTTGGTGAAGAATGATGGAGTGACAAGAAAACGCAGCGTAGATCTTTGCTCGAGCAGGTTTTTAATAAAATGAGAAAAAGAAGAAAAAACTCATTAATCACAGGCCAAAATCCAAGATACATGTGTACTTACACATACCAAAAATGCAAGCCACAGCGCGCGTGGTGCCCTGCCAGATAGGTACGATACATGTACCTATCGTGCAACATATAGCATAGTGGACATTGGACGGATTGGAAGCGACTGGAATCTTGGCAGAATGTCAGATTCTCGGCGCCACAGCTTTTGGAGGACGGGCCGAGGGGTAAGGTTAAAAATAGGTACCTAGGTACCTACATAACCTTTACGTTTAATGTAGTAAATAAATGGCCGTTCGTCCGAGGTTATTACTATAAATTAAATAGGGTTTCCTACTAAGCCCCATGTACCTGGATAATCTTATACAACCTTGCTTTACCTTACCTTACTATTAAAGTTAAGTTAAAAGTATCGACATTTTTCCATACTATGTACACGTGGAATTCTTGATCGTCAAATAATTCTTCACATACATATATGTCACCTGACTTTTGTCTTCTAGATATTCGTCTGTCATTAGATTAAAAAAAGGAACAGAGTTACATAGTAATAAAATATTCCCAACAGGCCGGATATGTTAACTACGTCCAATCTTAACTCCCAATTCCCAATTTCTTATGTAGCAAGCTCACTAACTATGAGACTCCCTATCATGATGTAATATCAGGCGCCTATCTAATCATCTCCAATAGTAATTTAAAAGTCGATGCAGCTTATCAATCTAGATATTCCTCGGCACCTACGCAAGCTTTACTACTACATAGCATGTAGTACTTAGGCCCATATTATCTTGAGCGAAAAAGAAGAAAAAAAGATCATGCAAGGCGGAGCGTAATGACGGATGCTGGCAGATACGAAATGCAAGTCATACCCATCAAGTGCGTCTTAGATTAGGTAATTAAAGAAAAAAACGGCGTCGCATATAATTCTACCTTAAAGAGGTAGGTACCTAGGTAATTAAAAGACTTCAGAGACTTACCTAGGCATCTTTCAAGTCCTACCTCTAAGCTCAGCCACTACCTAGGTAGCTAGAGGTACCATGCGGATCAATATTACGACTTACTAATAAGACGATTGGCCTGGAATAAGTTATTTTTCATTAAGAAATATCTTGCGTATCAAATATACAAGCCCTCGCACGATAATTAAAACTTTCTCTTTCTCTTTCCTCGCTATCCTTCGAGCTATTCTTCCAAGAGCCTTGTATGTATTGTATGTTCTCTCTCTTCGGTTGCGAAGAACCGCTCGTTGAATCCGTGCGTAAAGCGTGAACTTCCGACAAACTCGAAACGCAATCAGCCCATCGGCTCGCTTCAAAGACCACTATGTAATGTCATCATACTTGACTTGAGTACCTCGTACCATTATTAGGTATTGTTGTGCATGGGGAAATTAGTTCTTGCTTTTGCCTTTCCCCTTCCGACGTTTCTTGTCCTCAGGTACGGAAACGCTACCCTCTCGAACCTCTCCCTCCTCGACTTCACCCTGGGCTTCCAATTGCTTGAGCTTTTCTTGACCTGAGATGAACATGGTCAAGTCGTGGTTTTGGTCCTTCAGATCCGCGTTTTCCAGTTTCAGGGCCTTCACCTGTTCACCCAGGCTTTCGAGTTCCTTGTGCGCATGCTCGATCCGTTTCATGAGCCCTTCCGACACTTTCTTCTCCTCTTGTAGACTCTTGCCTAGCCCTCGTGCAAGGTCCGTAGATTTCGTTGCCCGATTACGTTCGCGCTCCACGTCTTTTTCAAGATCCGGAATCGTTTCGGTGAGTAGGCGATCTTGTTCCTCTTGGAGCGATTTAAGCTCCTTCAGTGCCCGGGATGCTTGGGCTGCAGCCTTCTCTGCGGCTGCGGCTGCCTTCGTCGCCTTGTCCGCAGCTTTTGAGAGCATTTCCTCAAAGTACACCCGCTGGCTCTCTAATTGGCTGCTGAGAAGATGAGTATACTCCATGCCGATACTCTCAAGCTTCGCACGAGGCACTACGTCTAGGTCTTCGTGTTCGTCAGGTCCCGTAGGCCCTCCTTGTCGACCCAGGTCCACAACTTTGCCATCACCTTTGTCCCTAATCAAGCGATGTACCCACGTATCACCAGCGTAATCCCAGACGTGTTGAGTCTCTATCTCCAAGGAGAAGGTATGAGCCGTGTCCTTCCAATGCTCCTTCGCATGGCCGCCTTTATACCGTCCGCAGCCCACATTTCCGCAGATAAGACATATCCACAGGTCATCTGAAGAGTCGCAGACTGAGCATAAGTTCGATACTCGGGAACCAAAAGGTTGCGTGTATGGGTTATCAGGATCGTAAGGGGTTGATCCATGCGCATTCGAAGATGACGATGATGACAGCGTTGGGTTCGTATGTCGACAAACAGGACAACCGGAGCCCTTCCATTTCTGTAGGCATGAGCAATGAAATACGTGTTGGCATGTGATTGTGAGTAGACCCGTGGTATCGTCCATACGCTCCAGGCAGACGGGACAGGTAGGTAGTTCGACCAGGCTGGGCGTCGGTGGCGGGAACGGTTTAAGCGAATTAGATGGTGTAAATGGATCTTGACTGAGGTCCGGAAAACTGTCACTTGGACGGGTTGGAGTCTCAAAGGTGACAGACCTAATAAACGCAACAGTGCACGTCTCCGGCTTTTATTGAGTTAGCCTCGTCTATGCTTTAGTATGGGGGGGGGGTCTATTGCCTCAATATCGTTGAATACCCTGCCGTCAAACTCGCGCCTAAATAGTTGCGCCTGTTTGCTCTCCCGGAACTTCATGAGGACGAGATATCTGTTCATCCGACCCGTCATAACCATACGATAATGGCTGACCTTGTCCCTCCAATTCTCGCCCACGAAACCAAGAAAGTCGCTTGGAGACAAATAACTCGGCACCGCCGGAATGCAGACAGTAGTACAATCTATTTGCGCGCTGTCTTGCTCTCCATCGCCCTCGGGCATTCGATCGGGGGATATCTCAAGCTCTGGGCTCTCCGCCTCTTCTCGATATAGATGTACGATCCCCCAACCCAATTCGGTGTTCTTGGAAGAGTTCAGCGGGACGTACTTCGCTTTCGTAGCCTTGCCTGCAGCACCTCCCATAGACGGGCCGACGACGGCCGCTGCTGCAGATGCAGATGCAGATGCCGTCTGCATATTTTCGTGTCCCTCGTAGCCGTCCACGTCGATACTCTCGATCCTAAGCTGCCCGAATCGCCAATCCTTAACTGCGGTATGCGGGTTTATAGCAGCGCACGACTGGGGCGGCGGAAAGCTTAGTGTTCGTTGTCGGACCTGTCTCTCGGTAAGTCGTATGATATTCCGATCGTCTTGGGACCGAGGCGGTCGAGGTGCCCCGCAGTCTATGACGTTGGTGTTGGTGTTGGTCTTCACCTGCGTATTAGGTGATCGGTTCTGCTGCCAGCTGAATAGCGTTTTGCCTCTATGAGCCGGGACAGCTGCCTGCGTTCGAGGGTGCGACGGAAGGTCGTCGAAGATGTTCGAGGTGTCTTTCGGTAGCCAGACTGGCCTATCGTAGGATTGCGATACTTTCCCTGGTATCTTGGACGTAGGTGTTGGCGTGGGATAAACCTCAAGCTTAATATGATAGTAATATGATGGCATAGCCTATGTCTTTTTTAAGATGAGGAGGAATTTATGATCAAATAATCATCCGTATGCATATGTAGAAAGCTGGGCCAGCTCGTGTGGCAAAGCAGCAATGAGGCTCGCTAAAGTAATAAAACTATGAAATTCCCGTTGTCGGTTAGAGTAAAAAATTGTTCCCATTGTTGAAGCAAGTAGAGGAATTTGTGTTGCAAGTGTCATGGCTGAGTTGTAAAGTTTTTGAAAAGATAGTGTGTAAAGTGTTCCTTTAGGTTCGTTAGATATCTTTTTTTCCCCCGGCCTTTAGGTACCTACTAGTACCTATTGGTACGACAGGTACCTGATACTGTCGATTAAGACTTAAACTTACCTAGTGGAAGCAGTTTTTATAACAGACACTACGACCCGTTTACTCGTCGGGATTCGAAACATATGGTGCTTATTTCACGTCCAGAAGCTCACTTTGTCACACTTTGCAGAAAAACTTAGTTTACGAAATTAATGAATTTGGTATATTCACAGTAGGCATCAATCTAAACGATGCATTCGTGTGATCATTACGGAATGTTGATTGATGCCAAGGCCCCAGAGCCTAATTCGGGGCCGATCCCATTAACGCCAATTCGTGCAAATGTCGTCATAACTCCACCATCATGAAGCGCTTACTGTCCACCACGGAGACGAAGCACCAAGTGCAGCGTCGACTCCTTCTGAATGTTGTAATCGCTTAGGGTGCGACCGTCCTCCAACTGCTTACCAGCGAAGATAAGTCGTTGTTGATCAGGGGGGATGCCCTCCTTGTCCTGAATCTTGCTCTTGACGTTGTCAATCGTATCCGATGACTCAACTTCCAGAGTAATCGTCTTTCCAGTTAACGTCTTGACGAAGATCTGCATACCACCACGTAGTCGGAGAACCAAGTGAAGGGTAGACTCCTTTTGAATGTTGTAGTCGCTGAGAGTTCGCCCGTCTTCCAGCTGCTTACCGGCAAAGATAAGTCGCTGTTGGTCGGGAGGAATTCCTTCCTTATCTTGAATCTTGGACTTGACGTTGTCGATGGTGTCCGATGATTCGACCTCGAGAGTAATGGTCTTGCCGGTCAGAGTCTTCACGAAGATCTGCATACCACCACGGAGACGGAGGACAAGGTGGAGAGTGGACTCCTTCTGAATGTTGTAGTCGGATAGAGTTCGGCCATCCTCAAGCTGCTTGCCAGCGAAAATCAATCGTTGTTGATCGGGAGGGATACCCTCCTTGTCTTGGATCTTCGACTTGACGTTGTCGATGGTGTCGGAGGACTCCACCTCAAGGGTGATGGTCTTTCCGGTAAGGGTCTTGACGACTGTTTTTCAAGGGTTAGCACATTGTACATAGTTATGGTTGTGTAGCAGTAGCGAGTAACTTACAGATTTGCATGCCACCACGCAGACGAAGGACGAGGTGAAGGGTGGATTCCTTCTGGATGTTGTAGTCACTCAGAGTGCGACCGTCCTCGAGTTGCTTTCCAGCGAAAATCAATCGCTGTTGGTCAGGAGGAATGCCTTCCTTGTCCTGAATCTTGGACTTGACATTGTCAATAGTATCGGAGGACTCCACCTCAAGGGTGATGGTCTTGCCAGTGAGGGTCTTGACAAAGATCTGCATGTTGTCGGTATGATACGGATAGGTCGGGAATTGAGTTATGCTTTGATGATAACCTTGGGGTATATCGAGAACAGATGAATGATTGCCCGGTTCGTTGATGAGAATGGTGGATGGTAGATGGGAAGAAGGGAAGAAAAGGAAGAATTGAAAGAAAGGTAGGCAGGTTTGGGTTCAAATAGGAAATGGGAGGAGCGGCAAATGAACCCGGCCAGCTGGAGGCGCAGTTGCCTGAATGGAAGCCTTGGGAATGGGAAGGAGGCGTGGGGTGCCCTTCTCAACCAATCAGGTCCCAGTTGCCCAGTTGCCCAGCTGATCCAAGAGGTGAATCATCGGTAGCCACTACTGATATTTGGCTAGACCCCGCTGGTAGTATCAGGAAGTGACAGGTACGTTCTAGGGCACCTTGGGGGGCAAACTTCCAGGTGTTGCTATTGCTGTTGCTTGATAATCCTGGATTCACTTTCCTCAAAAAAATGAACGACAAACAATTCACTCTCCTTCTCAATTAACACTGCGTATTACTGGATTGAGTAAGCACATAATCCAAAGACTGAACATATAAACAGTAGTGATTTAGCTTAATTATTGTGCAATACCTGTTAGTGACCCTGTTATCTACTCTACGTCATGTAGCTCAGGGGTCCAGATAAGGAACCAAATCACACGGTACAACCCATCGTATTTTTATTAACGATAAAACGCCGAAATAGGAAAACAAGAGGCATAAACAAGTGAGATACTGCTGGTTTGAGGATCATCATCGATCAGTTACCAGGTCGTTTATCTCTACATATCTACCTTTCATTAAGGTATAATACTTGTCGACTTATTATTGCAGTTAGTATAAGCTATTAAGTTTTACCTGTGTAGTTGCTAAATCAACTGTTCTTTCTCGAGTTAATTGGTAAACGTTACTAACCTCTCGACACCCTCTCAACCCCCTTTTCAGACTAACTGCATCAAGTACAAAACGCCACGACCATCCAAAGTCATCACGACCTGCACGACCAGACGACGCCATTCAATTCTTATTCTTATTCTCCACTTAGTGCCACCGACCCAAACCTAATTCCTGTACTATGTACGGTTTAAGAAGTGCGGGGTCGTTTATTTTTCGATACGGTGTCTCAACCAGCCCGGCATTCCTCGTCGTCAAGGTCCGTACCTAGGTAGCTACCTAACTAATCCCCAACGGGGTCCCAACCCGAATACGTCAAGCGGTGAGCGAAGCAAAGCTACCGAGACGATCCCGAATCATAGAATAGCTAGCATCACATACTGACAATCACATTAACACATAAGTCTATGGACAGTGCAAAAGAGGACCTATTAATATATAGCCATTCCTCGCTCTTTAACATGAACGAATTTGACCTTTTTTTAATACGTACATCTGATCTGAATAATGTTGGCTAATTTAAGATTTTTACTTACAGGTCTCGTTCAAAATCTTAGTTTTAAATGCAAGGCTTACATGATACGATATCTCAACGCTACGGTCCCAAATAAGTCAATAAACGCGACCTGAAAAGGACAGCGATGGGACGACTGAGACTATCCCATCTGCCCCCTCCCCCCCCCCTTATAGAACCCACGAGAATGATGGACAGCGGTTTCGGCCGACACCTACTAAAGTAGAGTTGTATCGAGATGCTTACGGTTGTAGGGATTTGCTAATCCGTTGGCAGTATGCGGTGAAGCCACAAAATCGCTCACTCAGCACAATAAAGATGACATGCCATCCAATCTAGACTTTTGGTTTTTATTCTTGCTCAAAATCATCAAATGAAACGTATTTAATTATCCTTTCCTCCTTGTGTCTCTTCTGTCCTAAGCAGATACGAACAGGTAATAATCATAATCCTTGCCCGAGAAGAGCGACGGATCCCATCCCCATTTGTTTTTACCCATCTAGTAATTCATCAAGGTTGTCTGGACCCTCGCAGGATCTATCAGACACCGAAAAGCCATGTATGTAATATCTATGCTGTTAAGCGTAACTGCATTCGTCTTGTGTAAGTGTGTGTAAGTGTTTGTTGTGTGTTTGTGTGTGTGCACGTGAAATCCGTAGCTTCTTTCCATTTCATAAAACCATGATCCATCGAACCGCTTTTGGTGCTTGCGCGTGATAACGATCAACATAATTCCAAGTCATACAGTCGTCGAATCAGCCGTTAAAAAGGTCGTAAAGATTTGAGTAACATGGCGTAAAACATCGCATGCGTCAATTGGCGGTGACCAGCCGTGAAGTGAGAGAAAAGAAGGAGGTATGTTGATCGATAAGTGGTGATAGTAGGTCATGATGATAAGATCATATCCTCAGCAAACGCCGTCGCTAAATGTTTCCATCAATCTGAACAAAGGAAAAAAAAGAAAATAAAGACAAAAATTCAAAAAGACAAAATCTACGCCTGTCAATCAAAAAGCGTTTCTAATATGTACGTAGCCTCATCATTAGGTCATGGCAGCAGCAGAGTGCTTCAGTTAGCCTTGATGACCAGCTTAGATAAGAATTTGTTCGACAACGAATCAAAGTCGTATCGGTCAAACTTCGATGTGTGTCTGGTCCTAAGGTATGCCTCTGTCATAATATTAGCACATGCTAGTTGATCTTGATATACAATTTTCTTACCATGCTTCAGGACGTGCTGCCGCACTTCGGTCATAGCTTCGCATACAGCAACATTGTTGTTGAGCAGATGGCCGTGACGCTCGGTATCCCAGTCAATCAGAGCTGGAAGCTTTTGGGAGATGGCGTGGAATAGACCAGTGATGACACCAACTGGTGTGCTCTCCATGTCATTGCAGAATTTTTCAACCGCCACTGGGTCGGGTACACGGTAATGGCAGTCAAATTGCATCTCTTCCCAGACAGCCAGGAGTATAGAAGCAAGCATGAAGATAGTGGGCCAGTTCTTCAAGCGGTCACCGCTGTACACGCTAGAGTACAACGCAGAAAGTTCCTCTAGGATATCCTTCTGCAGCTCACGCCACATATCCGCCATGGCACACTTGATTTGGAAGTTAATCATGACGGGTGCCACATATTTCCCGAAGTACTTGGAGTCTTCGTCATCGATCTGGCCTTCTAGGGTTTGCTCTGAGCCTTGCTGCTCGACTAGCGTGATATGCTGGGTAAGGTTGTAGGCCAACACTAATTTTAAAGCCTTGCGTAAAACTGGCAGCTTCTCCTTGGTGTAGAAACGATAGGCAGTCTTGAAAATTTCCGTAATGAAAGGAGTGCCTTCAAAGTGATCGTCAATAAAGTTCTCAAAGCCATTCTCGATGTGCTTGTCTAGGTACTCGGCCAGCGCTTCCTGGCGAATACCACCATTTCCAACATCAAGCCTCTCAGTCTTGAGTTCAAACTCAATTGGTTCCTGGTCAATTTGGTAAGACTCAACCCAGTCAACCTGGAAACAGCTGTCATCTGCGACGAAAACTTCGCGAACCATAACGGGGAGGCAGAAACCGTAGCCGTGGGTAATCCACATTAGGCTCTCCTTCTGTGCAAAGCCTTTCACGTTGTAGACGGAAACACCACGGCTTAGGTGTCGTTCGTAATCGGCCTTCCAGTCCTTCATGAAGTAGCCAATATCTTTGATATCAATTCGAGTGCAAGGAACTTGCCAAAGTCTAGCATGTGACGGCTGACAACCGCCACAAGGTTCACCCTTGTCGCAAGTCTTCTTGAGGAACTTGCATCGAAGACAGGCTCGGAGCTTTCTGATCTCGCTAGCTTGCTTCCGCTGCTCAGGAAGAAGCGGACCTTTCCGGCGTCCCACCTTCTTCTCCACTGTGCCGTCTTTCTTCCCATTAGAAGTCCTCCTTACGACCGACTTAGAGGTAGACTTCGTAACGGCGCCCTTGCTCTTGGGGCCCGAGTTTCTACGAGGATTATTATGAGGCGGCGATGCGACACCTGATCCGCTTGCAGGGCTAGGGCGGCTCGAGGTTGATGATTTAATAGGCACCGGCTCGACGGCGGCAGCAGGGCTGATAATTTCGCGAGAATGATGACTCTCACCGTGGAAGCAATTTCGATGGCTGGACGGATCTGAGTATGTGTCGGACTCCGGAGAAAACGGAGAATAAGTAAACGAAATATCCTCGAAACTACTGCTGCTGAAGTCAGTGCGCTGTCCGCTTCCATCCGAATGAGCCGCATCCGAGTTCGTTCTCAAATGCAAAGTCTGGCCGGGATTGAAAATGGCCGTGTTCTGGGCCTGCGCCTGCTGATACGAATCGTAATTCTGGTACATCTCGACCTGGGTCCAGCCGTTTTCGCTAGATCCCGGTAGGGATAACACCTCCAAATAAGTCCCGGTCGGAGACTGGCTTCCTAGGCTTCCGAATCGCGGCAACCCGTCGGACGGGAACTGTATAGTAGCCCCGAAATCCTGCCAATTCCCCATTCCCATGCCATCCCACTGCGGCATATTCCGAGGGTCCTCGATAGGCGAAACGTTGCTAAAGCCCTGCTGTTCCATAGGAATTGCGGATTCAAGCGTGGCCTGCGCAGGCGAAGGCAGATAACCGATGGTGTTGGTCTGGTAATTTGCGGCGAAAGGATACGGTATCAAAGTCTGGCTGTCCTGCATATAATGGCCCATATCCTGGATGGGCGGGTGCTGCTGCTGGTGCTGAAGCAACGTCCAGTCGGTCAAAAGCGGGGGAGAATGAGTCTGAGGAGGAGCGCTCTGGTAAGGCGAGTGCTGTAACGGACTCGCGCTCTGCTGCGCAGGCGATTGCGACTGAATTGGAGACTCGACAGGCGAGTGCACATTACTCGAGTTCGCGTTCTGGGGAGCGGCCATATCAAGAGGTATCGACCAGGCACCCGAGGGACGAGTAGGAGCCATTGCTGTAGCGGAGAGAGCGGGATTGGTGCTGGGTGCTGTAGTGGTGTACGGATAACGCTCCCGCTGGTCGAATGTGGTCAAGTCCAACAAGGCATCCCCCCCGGCGGCATTGAAATCGAGGGTCATTGTCGTCAGAATTCAAGAAAAGGGAGAAGAATTCAACTGGGGGATCTGGGACGAGTTCCGCTAGTATTATTGTCAAGCAAAGACGACACCGCTCTTTCGTGAAATTCCCTGGCGTCGCGGATGAGCAGTCTTGGGGATAGGAAAGGGGGGGTGAGGGAAGGTCTGGTTGTGGAGGGAGGTAAGATTTTGCGGTGGATGGTGAGTGAGATCGAGGATGTCGACGGGGAGGCGCCCTTGAAGGCAATGGAAGAGGAGGCATGAGATTGTGTGAGGAGACACGGGAAACTGGCGGTGAGAAGGATAACGCTGGCGTCCCTGCTCCACCTGCAACATGCAGCTTAGCGACCAATCACGGATTGACAGTCCTGCAAGAATCATGGGATGGCGATACAAGATAGGACATGGGTGAGGACCACTCAAGGGCCACCCGGGACCACGAGGAGGCCAATAGTAGGCCAACCGTCCATCTGGTCCGTCCCACTAATTACCTATCGTAGTGTTCTTTTTCAGTAGGGCTCGCACGGTGGTTGGTATTGTACCTTCACTATTGATTCAATATGGTTAAGTACTTTAACGGCCAAGTACGTACGGCGGGGACAGACGGGCAGACCTTACCTAAAAAAGCCTCTGAAGCCTCAAGGGTGGGCTAACTGCATGTAGACTTATCGTGTTCTTTTTTTCTTTTCTTCCCCAGAAGTTGAAAAGTTGAAGTTTCTCAATATACCTAGTACGGCACTGTATTTTAGGTACAATAAATTAGGTAAGGCGTACCTACCTTGTCTCGGTATGCGTCCAACACATTGGACGGTGGAAGTCACGTTGTGGTTTAGGTACTTTACGACCTAAATGTAAATGGTCAATGGGTTTATTCGTAGTACCTGTACCTAGCAATATGCTGTACACAAGCACACTTGAGATATTATGTGCCTATTGCTCTATCTACATGTACCTTATGTACCTTCAACCAACTTACTTAGGAGGTACCTAGGTACCTAAGCAGACCCCGGCTATCGGCTATCGAAAACTTCCATCTTGAAGATTCGTTGTTCCCTGTACCAATACCGTGTCTCCAATACTGTGCTTACCCGCTTTCTCAATGGCGGGGTATCAACCTTATCAGTCTTAGCCACCTACACTAAAGGTCCCCTATGTCTTCCCAGCATCTTCTCCCCCTGTCTGATCCAACTGTAACTCCACATCCATCAATCTCATGTTAAGGCAGTGAGAGTGAGTTGATGACATGGCGAACAACCTATAACGGCTAACTGCAGATACGCAGGACTGCGTCACTCCTAGGTCAATATACCTAGTGTATGTTTCAATGCTCGATGCTTAACCGCTTACAAGCTCGATCTCTTCTCATATTGTAGTGCACGATGATCCAATTGGCTCTAATGCAACACCGTGCGTCGCAAACATAGTGCCCAGGAATTTGCGAGCTAAGCCTCGGAGCCCCGAGAGGAAGAATACCTAGGCCTCGCACCTCGACCCTAGGGGGGAAAAAAAAGCTGAGCTAAGGTGGAAGGTGGAAAGATGAAAAGGTGGAAAAGCCGACCACCTCAATAGTCTTCGGCTTGTGGGCCTTTTTATTCGGGTCCTTCCTATTACTCCCGGTTTGCCTTTCAAAGACAAGGAGAATTAAGACGATCTGGATCTGGAGCAAGGGATGACAAAGAGAGAGGGAAAAAAAAAAAAAAAAAAAAACCTCCACAAATCGAAAACCACCTCAAGCCGAAAGAAGTCCTTGGGCCAGTGTCCCACCCTAGCTCCTGAACTGTGCATTGGTACCCTGTCGTCAGCTGCACCATAATATACGATATGGTGATACCCTTCGCATATGGGAGCCAGTTGAATTTGTTGGATCTTTATGTTGCGTCCATCCAATCCAACCGCTTCCAGTCCAATCAAGTCTATGTACTGTCCAGATAAAATGTGTTGCGGTTCCCATTCCGTGTCAAGGACGATAGATGGTGTCATGTTTACAAGCTTTTAAGGTCCTCCCTCTATGCTCGAAATAGAAGAGCCTCAATGCCTCGAACCACGAGGCTGCATTTCGGGACTAGTTAAGACATCTCGGCCACTCCATCCGTCGTGGGTATGTCGACGTGTGCGGCTATATTCTGCTCGGCACTCTCAAAATAATACCAATCCAGGATGTTGGCAACTTACCTGGGGAGGTAGGTCCTTATGCACTCGGGAGGCGATGGATTTCTTCGCGCTTGTGAAACCACATTCCTAATAGGCCACGCTTCTTACCACCTTGCAAAACATACCATTGTTGCGTTTACATAGTAGCTAACAAACCTAGGTACAAATTCCCTGGTTACATACTCCCTACTTGCATACATACTTCTGATATCCTATCTCCTGTTGACTGCATATTAGATCTGATTCCGTCACGCTTATTTTCATCTACGGATATGCAAATGCCGGCCGATTACGTCTTACTCTCCGTATGTCCTGACAATCGCTGCTCAGCCGGCACAAGCTTTCTCCGATACTGGAACGTTACGAAATCAGGCTTGGTAGTAATCCATATGTCTTTAACCGCGGTCGCTCATAACAGTAAACCGCTGAGCCATCTCGGCATCAATCGTGTGAGAGGTGGGCATTCCGATTTTGCCACTAATCCATTTTCAATTCCAGAACGAATTTGTGTTGATGCTAAACACGTAGGTAGTCTATATACACAGTACAGTGTAGGGATGGCGAAGCCTCGAAGGAAGCCGGAGGCTGGAAGTTGGTTAAGATGGAACTAGGCGAGGTTGGGAAAACTCCACACGGATTATTATCCGGCACACTGTAGATCAGTATCCAATGCAGGGCTCACCATGGTCCATGGAAGACTACACCTTGAGGGCTATAAATAAGGATCCCATATACCCTGGAAGAAGAGTGAGTTGTTATCACATATATCCACCATAATATACGAGGACTAACGTGTCTAGTAAGTGGCTAACGTACCTTGTAGATAAGCGAAGTCCCAGTTCCGACGGCGCAGTTGATGGCTTGCGAAAGTTGCAAAAGAGACCCGGGGATCGTTACCGGACGCCACTCAGGTCCGATGTGGCGCGACTTCGAAATTACCCAGTGTAAACACCTGAGTATCATGGGCTTTGCAGCGCCCAATGTTTAAGAACTGCTCCTTTTGCCACTCAGTTGTTGTTTACCAACTAGCAAATATTCTACGGATTAACAGCATTCTACATGCGGGTAAACGTGGCAGACGTTTCGCGACTTCTTTGTCCGAGTTCCGAAGATTCGTTTTAGATGGCTGTGGATTGTAATACCGACAGTATCTATTCCTTCGGCGAACTCTTTGCCAATTTGGTGAAGCCTTGCGCTCTACTATAAATACCTAACGTAACAGCCGCTTTGATAGCGTATCACTCGACGCTGTGTTCAAGATGGGAGGGTGTATCTATGGAGGTAGTATAAATGGAAACGTTCCGTATAACGCATACCTTGAACCTGACGCTGCTAGACCTTCGTTACCGGTATGTAGTGCCAAGAGCTACGATATAAATTAACTCTCACACACAAGTGAATTTCGCTATTCGCTTCTTATGCTCGCTGTGTCTTAAAATACGAAGGCATCTTTTCATTAGAATTTTAACAGTGAAACAAGACTGGTAGTGTCTGTTCAAAGCTACAAACATTGATGATATGCCTTCAGAGAATTGTTTTATTTACATATGTAAGGTCGCTTTTATGATTTATCCACCCAGATATAGAGGTAGAACAGGACATATAAACTTGGCTTAAAACAGATAAACAAATGATACCTAGGTAGTGTTGGCCAATGACAGTAGTCGATAGATTATTTCGCTAGCCGGGAATTTGCCGATTATACTAAGGTACTGACCAATAGTAGCGCAAAATGCGCTAAGAAACGACCAAGTGACTCTGGAGCCTTAAGACGTTTCGATGATTTCGACGCGGCAGGTGCCCAAAATTTGAGACATTACAAAGCAAGTATTTTGTTATTCACGTGCAGTGAAAGGGAAACTTTAAGGGAAAACTTTAGTAACTATCACAGGAAAAAAAAAAAAAAAAATCATTTCTTTAATCACGTTTTTTGCCTTATCAAACTTTCCACAAAAATACGCATTGTCTGTTTGATAAAGTATAAAGTACCTAAAGGCTAAGGTGTTCCTCATTTGGCCTCCCTTATGCCAATAAAGACTAGCCTCGCCCGAGCGCGTCAGCGGACTATATACAAAGGGAAAACCATGGCATCAATGGCCTTTCGTCCCGGTTCAACAAATAGGCCTGAGGACACTGAAGACACTGAAGATTTCGAGGATTCCCACGATTCTCAAGGTAACCCGGATGAGCTGGTAAATAAACACACAACTTACCTCACTTTTAAACCCATCATTGTTCCAACAGCTTACCCAAGTTCAGAAACCAATGATCCCTGATCTGTTCACTAGCTGGCCCCCTATTCGGGAAGCCCTTGCTACAGCTACTTCCAACGTACAAGATATCACTGTGAACGAATGCCTGCCTTTCTTGGCGGCGCAGGTTGATAGCGTGCCCTACAATCAGTATGGCCTACCACGCCTTGATAGGGAACGGCATATCAAGTTCCTCCGTAAGAACCTAGCACCCCTTCCTGCCCGATTTGTCATGTTAGACGCAAGCAGACCCTGGGTTCTTTACTGGTGCCTCAATGGTCTGTCCCTTCTGGGGGAGGATGTGTCCGGTTACCGCGATAGCCTTATAGAAACAGCACGTTCTATGCAGAATCCTACTGGCGGGTTTGGAGGAGGTTTCGGCCATGCTTCCCACCTGGCCTGTACCTACGCCGTGGTATTGGCACTAGCTGTAGTAGGAGGCGATGCTGCCTATGAAGTCATCGACCGAAGGGCTCTTTGGAAATGGCTTTGTGCCTTGAAGCAGCCCGACGGGGGCTTTCGGATGGCTGTTGGAGGCGAAGTCGACATAAGGTAAATCGGCCTCATCAGACTAACTTTGACCGCATGCCACTAATGATGTTTTTCAGGGGAGCCTATTGCGCAGCTGTCCTAATTACCCTGCTTAACCTCCCTCTTGAGTTGCCGCCTGATTCTCCAGCATGGACGCCTGACGGACCAGACTTATTCACAGGTCTAGGAGATTATGTACGGCGATGTAAGAGGACCCAGACGAAGTACCCTTTTGTTAGGCCTATGTGAACTAACCCTGCAGGCCAAACCTTTGAGGGTGGAATTTCGGCGCAACCAGATGGCGAAGCCCATGGAGCTTACGCTTTCTGTGCTTTGGGTTGCCTCGCGATTCTTGATGCTCCGCATCGCACATTTCCCAGGTTCGCGCTACCTGATCTTCAGAAGCTTTGCTGATCCCGATAGTTGATGCTGTTCCCGTACTAACCCCTGGATGCAGGTATCTTGATGTCCCGCGACTTATCTCGTGGCTGTCATCTCGACAGTATGCACCGGAAGGCGGGTATAGCGGCCGCACGAACAAGCTTGTCGATGGCTGCTACAGCCACTGGGTAGGCTGTTGTTGGCCATTGGTTGAAGCCAGCCTTGACGGTCCATCTAGCCTAATGTTTGACATAAACAAAACAAAAAACCCTGATATTGATATCCACAACATTTACAGCCGCGAAGGCCTAATCAGGTACATCCTCTGTTGCGCGCAAGATCAATCAAAAAGGGGTGGTATGAGAGACAAGCCAAGCAAGTAAGTACATTAGATGCCAACCGTAATCTAGACATGGGCTAAACTAGACACCGCTTAAAAAAGAACTTCTGATGCATATCATACCTGCTACGTACTCAGCGGACTTTCCTCAGCTCAGCATGTTACTCGTTTACTTGCCTCGGATGGTGAAGGAATGATGACGCATTCGGAATATGACGTCGAGCCTCTCCGCGGAAGCCCTCAGATTTATTCTGAAGAAGATCGACTCAACACTACTGATCCTGTATATTTCATACCTGAGGGGAAACGGAAAGAAATCATGTCATATTTCCTATCGAAGCCGGGTTTTTGACCCGCTTGTGGCCGCATATGAAGAGGCCATATCCGACACTACGCCGGACCAATCGAGGAAGGCTGAGAATTTCCCTCGCATCCTACGAATATTCAATCTTTCACCCGTGAATAATGATTGTCAGCATTACAGCCTCTCTCTCTCTCTCTCTCATGTGCCGAGTTATATAGCATAGCTCTGCTTGTGGGCTTAGTATAAACCAGATAATTACCTCTTAGGTCATGGTGGGCTAACCCGTGTACCTGCTCGCCTATTCAGAGGGGCATTCCGAACGCGAAAGAAGTCAAGTAATAGGTAATAACTGCGCCGCTATCCTTACTGGATGGCGTGCCTCCGCAATTACACATCAAGACGGTGCATCGAGAACCTCGGCAACGAAGATTGGCTCGGTCAATGTACAAGAAGGGTCCCGCAAATCCCAGCTATACCCTTTTCACGTTTTTCTACAGGAAGTATTATGCACTTCGCAATCAACAGTTAGACCTCTAGAGGTAATACAAGAGAAGGTTCACCAAGCACGTTCGCCCGATTGAAGTGAGACAGAACCATCTAGAGGGATTCTCATGCATTCGTTAATCTACCATCTCCACCGTATGCGGTCATGCAGTCCAACACGATAACCCGTACCTTATTCAGCAAGTTCGAGCGCAGATGAGCCAGCTAGAGCTGGCAATAGTGTGGCAAGCTTTCCTAGATACTGGATTCGACCCGACTTGCTAGAGTCCGACAAACGCCACTGGCTTCTATCTAATGTAGTCCAAATCGGAACGTCGACGGCAAACGGCAGCTCTAGCCAAAGTAAGGAGACTATTGAAATCGTACGAGGGCGTCCATGGTCCTCGAGCCTATGGCAGCCGCGATGTAGCGGTCGAGAGGCGTTATGAGAATTTGCATCAGCTTTGTACGTGCTGATCGACTCAACAAAATCGATGGGTAGACCACATGGTGCGGTTGTTTCGTATCCCGTTCCTACACCTACACCCCCATGCTACCCTGTATTCCTACGGCCATATTGACTCCCTGACGTGTACAGTCTCCATTACGGTCTCCTTGGGTGGCCATGACTTCGGACGGTAGAACGATCTGTACCGAGCTAAGGGTAGGGAGGTAGCATTTGGCATATTCTCCACTGGCCGCATATGCTCTACACGACGTAGTAAGATGCTGTGCTACGAGTCCACAGACACATGAAAAAGTCTTGTTGACACGATGATCGGGAATTATCGAATTAATCCATATGATTGTATTCATAGATACCGTGATATAAGGGTTACAGTTCAAGGCTAAATTCCCTTACTTTTTTTTATCTTCTTACAGCGACTTATATGCCATCTCCTGACCATGCCCCGTTGTCGCTTACCCCCTAATCTGGCTCAGGAGAGCGTGATATACGGCAAGTAGTAGAAAAATTGGGGAGTGAATTGGGAAGAGAAGCAACGTATCCCCAACATGAAGTAGGGCCCCTACGTATGTGGCCAATCCCTCAGGCTTTAGGCTGCGCCTCGGCGTGTTTATGGTAAACAAAGCTTGCTGCACGAAATTTTTTCTTTCGCCTTGGTGGGCCCTCCCCCCGGATGAACGACTCGCTTTGCCGTATGATAAGCATGAATTGAGCGTCCCGGGATCCTACTCGAGGCGCGCCTTCGAATGAATGTTGCCGACGGCTCAATAGGGAGATAGCGACGATCCCACGGCTCTGTTTGCCGGATATCTCTTCCCAGCAGCTCGGACGTGGTGGTCGTGGTGGTCGTGGTGGTCCCTGCTGGCCGCGGGTGGCCTAGGACGGATGGGCCTTGGGCGGCCGAGGTCTCGGATCTCGCAAACACGTTGCATTCCTGGCAGAATTTGACTTTTTTGACTTTCGGGGCTACGTATGTATGTCTCTGGCAAACTATACAGGTCTCACAGATTAGGTAGGATCGCGAGGGCTACCTAAACCGTGCACGTGGGAAGCGAAAAGGGCTGGCTGGCTGGCTGGGTCGGCAACGTTCTTAGCGGCATTAGGTGGTTAATTTTCTCTCTCTCTTCTCTTACCTTACCTCAAAGTAGCATGGCGTTATGTATGTGTGCGTGTAAGTATATTACATGAAGAGATATTATACATATGTAATATATATATTTTATTTTTCTCTCGCTTCTCGTTGGTCCCCTGCGCGTAGGTAATAGTAATAGTTTAGAAAACTGGTATGATGATGACGATGATGACTAGATGCTCTCTTCTCCTTCTAAGTCTACTACACTACTACTGGATAGGTATCCCAAGCGTAGTCGGCGAAGCGCTACCCCTTCCCCCTCTCCCCCTTTCAGCTCTTCCCCCCTCCGTCGCGAAAGATGACGTTGTGTGCGCATTCCAGAACAGCGCGCTGACAATGCGGTAGAGAGAGAGAGAGAGTTGACATGACATGACATGCATCGTATCGAGCTGAAGTTACGCAGAGGGGCTACGTACATTATACATATACATATACATCGTGTAATACCCGTCTTAAGCCGTCTTACGGGATATATTTGCTAGTTACGCCAAGTGTTGTTGTTATATGTAAACTTATATATGCCTTTTCTAATGAGCTACGTCGAATGTTTTTCCATATTGCCTTTTATTGAAACCTCCTTTTTTTGTGTTCGTTGGCTTATATCATTCCTCCCGCTTGAACTGTTTATTTTTTTTATAACCGTGTTTTGAGCGCGGGCTTCCCTCACGTCGCGCCGCCGCCGCCGCGTATGGAACTTTACCAGGTACAATACTTTTTTTTTAACGCCGCTCGTTTATGTTACCTACCCTACATGCACCACACACGTACATACATAGGCGCGTATATCATGTATTTCGGAGATCGCGTATGCCATACTAAGAAGGTGAGAGGTAGGGAAATATGTAAATAAGTAAGAAAGTGCATGATATAAAATGATGCATCCTAGCTGGTACTAGTCGGCGGCCGCTACATTAAAGTCCGAAAGTTACATCAGTTACATGAGGTCGTGAGTGATTCTCGGTCTACGTCTGGGCTGTCGTTAATGCTGCTGTGGTCGACTAAACTCTTAGGTTAGGTTAGGTAGGCATGTAACTACGTTTTAGTAGGTAGCTAAGGTCATGTAGGTATTATTGTATGTATCGTTGTATGTATCGTAGCAATCAGAATGGTTTCCTTTCGTCCCATCCAAGCTACGAAAATCGTCATGACGAGCGGCATCGAATTTCCTCTAAGGTCTGTACCTAATGTATGCAACAAGATGCAACAGGGTTGGTTCAGGGCCTTGCCTTGTCGGGCCAGGTTAGTTAGTCGTGGATCGGTACTGATACTTTACCTTTGTGCCTGTTATCGCTCGAGTCCTTAGTGAAGAGTAGACTGTAGAGGTGGACAAGAAGGTGGACAGAGATGGACGAAGGTACCCGTACCCAATCTAAACATGCACAAAATAAACGTCTATCTTGATTTAATATCAAGCGGCAATGCCAACTCATCATTGCATGAGGTGTTAAACGTCTGTTCTTCCTTTGCTTCCCCCGGGACCTCGGCCGCCGCTTATTGGCCCGACACCCCCTCAAATAAAAAAATAAAAAAAAAAACAAGGGCTGTAAGTGGCTCTCTCTTTTCTCTCTCTCTCCTCTTTCTTTGGTTCGGTCTTCGCTTGGTTTTTAAGTTGGCTTTTTTTTCTTTTTTTTTTTTTTTTCTGCTCGCGCCAATGGCTGTTGTTTAGGGCAGAGATATGGTACCTAGACCAGGTTTGCGAGAAGAAAGAAGAAACAAAAGAAAACATGACCGGGGTTTGCCTAGGCAAGCTAGCCTAGTGTTCATGCACCTCATTCATCCTTCACCGACTTCATGGTTCCCGGCCCTGGAGCTAGTCAACTTCTCGATTCTACCTAGTAAGGTAGTTTATTTTTTATTTTTTATTTTTTTCCTATTTCCCTTTTTCTTCCTGCACTTCGGCGGGGGAGAAAGAGAGGGGAAAAGGACGTAAGGAAGAACGAGATAAGAAGAAATAGGAAATAATACCTAGACGAGAATAGAAAAAAAGGGGAAAAGATGGAAAAAGATACTTGAGGAAAAATACAGCAACAAGAAAAAAAAAGAAATATCATTGGTCGTCGGCTCAAAATCGACAAGCGCCGCTAGTTAGATATTCGCTCGCGTCCAATAATTGTCAAATAAGCACCAGCCCGTTTCTTTTTTCTTTTCTTGTCTTTTCTTTTTTTTACCTCTATTTTAGCTATTTACCTTTTCTCGACTAACAGGTACCTAGGTAGGTACTAAGCTAACTATTACTATGGGACTTCTTTTATAATTCATCCAATGGGGTTTTATGCTTACGTTGTTCTAACTTATTCTACTTCTGACACCGGTGCGAATCGTTCATCTTCTCAACCCACCACCCATATACACACATACATACCTAGTAGGTGCCGTCTGCTTGGTCTCCTTGGTCTGATCCAGTGGGTTGGTTGGCCTTTGCCGGTGGTGGTATTGGCCTATATTGGCGTATTGGTAATGGGGTGGTGGTCGTTGTTACGTTTTCTATTTTTCTTCTTCTTTTTCTGCTTCTGTTTCTTCTCTCAGATCCGGGACCCTCTCCCCCATCTTTTCTCTCACCGTTAGGGTAGCCTTTTGGTAAGGGGGTCTTCCACCCCCCATCTCTCCCCCCCCGCCTCTCTCTTTCTCATCTCTCATGTTTCTCAGGTTCGATCTCCGAGTCCTTGTCATGTACATGGATCTATATACTATACATATACTACATACACATACACATACACATGCGTATACACGTACATACATATATACCTACATGCTACTTACATGATACCTATAGGAGACAGGCATCGTAGCAGCAGCAGCAGCAGCAGCAGAAGCAGCATAGACATTACCTACCTAACCTATCTACCTGCCTGCCTGCCTACCTACATGCATACCTACATGACACTACGCTACTTACATACGTAGGTACATACCATTACCATACCTACAGATGGGAACCGGGTGGTGCATGCACGTACGTGGGGAGGTATCATTATTGACCCTTTTCTGGTCGTCTCAAAAACCGCCCGTTTTTCCATACCCGTACCGCGTACCGGTCCTTTTTGTTGTTGTTCTCATTGCGTTGCTGGTTGCATTAGGGGCCGAAAGGAAGTGATCTCGGGGAGACAGAGGAGACAGAATATGATAGTTTGTTTTTTCTCTTTCTTTCTCTCTTTGGTCCTCATCAAAGTGGATGAGGTCTCTGTTTTTGTGACCTTCCCCCTCTCTATACGCGAACCAGGTATATCCCTTCTTCGTCGATGTTCCGGTGTTAGTTAGTAGTGTTATCGAAAGGGAGGAGACGTGAGTGGCTCTCTTTTTTTTTTTTTCTTCCTAATCTCCTCCTTTCTTCTTCTTTTCTCTCTCTATGTATTATGTAGTATTATGATTCTTTTCTTTTCTTAATTAGTAGTAGTAGTAGTAACTATTATTTATTATGATTATTATTACTACAGTTATTATTATTATTGTTATTGTTATTTAAATTCAGTTCGGCCGAGGTCGTGTATTGGCCGCAGAACTGGTTCTAGTTTCATTTCGCCACTCCTAAAAAAAAAAATGCTTACCTCTGCATACATCATCATCTACTTTCTCTTTTTACCCAAGCTAGGTCCCCATTGTCGGACAGGGTTATGGAGGAGAGCTCGGACGGAGACAGCGGTACCACATTCTGCCAAAAGGAGCACGGCCAGCAAGGCCAGCCAGCCCAGCACCCAGCACCCAGCATCTAGCATCCAGTACGGCCAGACTTTTAACTGTACAGGAACCCAGGACTTATCAGAGAAGATCGTCTAGAGAGAATGCATACCCCATGTGTTGCGGTGGAGTTGCCTAGTCTTTCGAAGGTTTATCAACTGGCAACGACACGCGCCAGCACAGCAAGATGGGGTCACACTCTTCAAGAGCCGCATCTTCACACCTGCGTCTATCGACCTGGTTCCCTTCCGTCTCCATTGTCCCTCTTGGTTCCTCTTGGTCCCTCTTTCGTCCCCATTGTCCCCATTGTCCCCCGTTGCCCCCTTCGGCCTTGTTCTGTTTAATTGCGTCTTTACAGATCCCTGCCCCGCACTAACGAAGTCCAATTCTGCAATAAAGCACACATGTCTCGCCGTCGATGGCTCGTCTCTCTGCACCGCAGCCCCCGAATACGTAGCTTAACCTCCCCCTTCTTCAACACCACCACAACCACACCTCCTTTGAGTAGTACAGACCTCGTCGACGAATTTTTTTTTTTTTTCCTCAGTGCTGCCCTACCGCTTCCCCATTGATCCCTCCTAATAAATCCCCTCGTACAGTTGGGCTTGACTGCATACTCGAAACGCGCCCCGGAATCTCATCCCGCGTCCGTAAGCAGCAAGCTGGGTTTATCTTTCTCTTCCCCGGGAAATCCTATCCGTACATACACCCGTTCCGACTTTTATCTTGGTGGGGGTGTTTCTATGCTTTGAGCGAGAGAGAGAAAGAGAAAGAAAATACCACCCTGCTGGAATTTATTTCTTTATTATTATCTTACACGGAATTCTGGGCCGTTAAGTATTTGAAAGTGTGCTGTTCACTGCCGTCAGCAAAAAGCCAATATGGGAGGATTCTACATGCAGTATCTCGAGAGTAAGTCATTGCCTACTTTCAACAAAAGAAAAGAAAAAAAGAACACCCGTTACTTCCCCGGCGACTTGCCGTTTCTTTTCAATGAACCTTGAACCTATCGAGTCCAATGAATCAACCCCACGACGATGCGCGCGGTGGGGCTGAGAACAGCGAAGGTATTCGTCTCACACACGTGGACAATCCTCCCCCCCCTCCCCCTGCGTCGAAGCTTCGACGCCGCACGAAACATCGATGAATGATGAATTCCCCCTATCCAAAAATACCATAGCTAGCCTAGCACTCTTCTGTTGTCAAACGCCACGTTCCTGGCATGGGCGGGATGTACCCTCCACGTCTGATCTGGAGTGCTCGCGATCCGGCTGTCGTGCATGTGTCATGCTCGATCTCCGTCGCGTCATTAGGGCTGCATATACGCTTGCCCAAGCTTTCCCGGGCGTCTATTTTTGCATCTGTTGGGCATCGAATAGGGGAGCAGGGCAAGGGGAAAGTTTCCAGGATCAGCAGCTAACTTAGCATCCGATAGGCCTGTGCCGGCGTCGTGGGTGGCGAGACCCTTCGTACGAGTGTTACAGAGATCACAGTGGCTACACGTGCCTGGTTCTGGTGAATGGGCGCGAGTACCAGACGGACCTAGCATACGAATCGGATCACCTGGCTCAGGAGAACGCCGCCATGAGGGCCTTTATGGTGTGCCGGAATTTTTCTGTTAATGGAGGCATGCTCGCGCGTAACGGGATCGTCCAGGGTCTCCCAGCCAATGAGTCCAGCAGGCGCAAGAAGTCCCGCCACGCTTCCACAAGCCACGGCCACAGCCAGAAGGAGAGCCGCCATAGGTCAGGGCACCACTCGAGCAGCAGCTCGACCGCATCCTTCGAGTGAGGGAAAAGGAAAAAAAATTGGGCTGCTGCCCGTCCCGATGGTGGATTTCCAGCCAAACACGACCCATCGGCTAATTTTTGACCAATGGATTACAAGCGAGGGCAGAGAGGCGTCAAAAGATTATATATACACGTGGTGAAGCTTCACAGCTTATCCCCAGGCATATTCCGCGGAATACCCAACCCATTTCTCCCCCCAATTCAGCATATTCCCCAACCCCTGACGAGAGAGAAAGAGACACACCTCACACTGGAGACACAGAGAGAGACAGAGAAGAGAGAAAGAAAGAGAGAGAGGGGAGGAGAGGGAGAGAGATACAAAAAGTTTGCATAAAATCGACGATTTACGACTTGACGAAAGAAATGAACGAACTTATGAACCAAACTAATAATGACAAAACCTGGTGTCATATTCACTGAACAGAGGCATTTCTTGCTCGGTTTATTGACACGCTTATTCATTTTTTCTTCCTTTTTTTTTTTCTATATGCAATGAGAGAGAAAAACAAGAAAAAAAAAGACTTGATGAGACCAATTCCCCCCTTTTTTTTCATTTCCCTCTTGAAAAGGCCATGGGAATTACAGAACCAGGCCGGTTCGGGAGAGAACGGATCCTATCGGAGGCAACTCTGCTTGCTGTTTCGGCGAGAAGAAATCGGCTTGCTGGATGGATGGAGAGCCAATGGTCCTTTTCTAATCCGCGTATGGGTTTCGGAAATCATACCGCACCGATCTTCTTCCTGATGGTGATGGCCTGGCTCAGTGGATATTTGGTTATTTTTTTATTTTATTTTTTTACCCGAGATAGACTTCCTTCTTTTTTCTTTTTTTGAATGCCCCCGGGACTGTGCGAACGGCTAGAAGACGATGACGTTACGCGATTGCGAGAGGACCCATTCCTTGCTCCCGTCGCGTCTTGTTGATTATTTATTCCCTTTCTTTGGAGCGGACACCCCCGTTGGCCGGCAATATCATTTTTTCTTTCCCTATGCTTCTTCCCAGCCGGACGATGAGGAAGCAGAAGAAAATTGGCCGAAATTTCTAGAGTCGGGATGAGATGAGAGGAAAAAGGCAAACGAACTGAAACGAATCGAAACGTAAGGGGAAAACTGGGTAGAAAATTACGGGATGGAAACTTCTTTTTGAGCGCGAAGGGGAAAAGAGAAAGAGAAAGAAAGAGAGAAGAGATTTATCGCTCGGGCGGGCGCTTCACTGCAGCTTCTTAACTAAAAAAACAAAAAAACACACACAATCGAGCGCTTCAAGAAGAAGGGCGACGATGACGACGATGATGATGGGAGAGGTTCCTCTGCTTTTTTCTATATACTCTTTTTTTCTGTTGATTTTTATTATTATTATTATTATTTTCGCGCTTGGGAAGTTTATAAAATTACGATCTCACGGCTAGATAGATGATGATCATCATGATTACGAATAGTTACGAAGAAATCGAATTCACGACGTCTACGACCTGACGAGATATCTCACGGTCGCACTAAGCAACATACTTCTTTTTTTCTTTCTTCCCCTTGACTGCTACTGTTTGCTTGCGGATGTCTTGATGTGATGCGGATAACCGTGATTATATGTCTGATATAAAGTTAAGTACCTAAGGAGATGATGGCTAGGAGTTAGGCAGTGAGCACCCTTCTCTTAATACGAAATGGAGTCATCTAGACGATGAAGAGAAGAAGGGGAATAGGGAAATACAGAAAAAAGGAGACATATAGGAGACCAATGCACATACGTACCCCTATACGCAAGTATAAGTCGAGGTCAAGTTAGAGATGAAGCCTTACCGGAATGATTTTTACGGAAGATAAAAAACGTCATTTTTTTTAAAAAAAAGAATCCGTCAAGAGCCTCCCCACCCCTCCCTTTCCCACACACACCCATCCCACGGATCACCGTCCCCAACTTTATTTTCTTCCCCGGAGCTGCATGTCGCAGATGATGATCGTGCTGGTTCCTTGACGGGGGAGGAGGGGAGGGGGTGGTGGTGCGGGTGGACGGACATGCGTCGTCGCCCTGCTTCCTTTGTGACAGGCACACGGAACCTGCAGGTCGTGACACAGCGTCTGGCAGTCCGAGTCTGGGGGACAGGTAAAAGATGGGCAACAACTCTTGGGTATTCTACATTCTGCATTCTCCTTCGGTACCTACGTATAACCATGGAACCCTAACCTTAGGTAGGTACAGTATTCTACCCACCCTGCTTTTTAAGGTAACGCTAACTCCCTAGGACGTTGCTGTGTTGGGTGTCGCACATGACGGTTCTGTTGATCATATACGTAGTCGGAAGTTAGGAACATCTATAGTTGCTCCTTATCGCACAAGATAGGTAACGTTGTGGCAAGTAAGCGGGAGGTTGCCAACACATATAATATGGATATAAGGTTAGGTAGATACCTTACATACGTGTTGACCCATCCTAAAGGAAAAGAACAAGAAGAATAGAAAAAAAAGAGGGAATAATTCGATGTTCGATGTTCGATGGTGTTGAGTTGGTGGTGGAATGATACGAGAAGACCTAAGTGTTATAGGTCGTAAGTCACGAACACACTAATACGGGGGTACATTTGTATGTAAGTATGTATTCGTACGATATATAAGGTTAGGTACGCGTAATAGTATTATCACAAGACTTGCCAATCTTACAAAGGAAGACTGACGTTGTTTCGAGTTTAATAAAAAATGATTAAGCAGCATAAAGACGCAATGTTCAATCAATCTTAATGCTTCGTATCCGTGCAGTGGAATGGCGTCTGATTGGTTAAATTTGGAAAAGAAATATTGGGTACATCTGAGAAGTGCATTCTAGTGCATCAGTGCATTTCGACGTTGCCATTCATTGCCATTCGATGTGGCTGAAAAAGAGCCGTGCACCTGGCGTAGCAGCATTGAACCTTGCAACCTGTAGCATTGAAGTCAGCAAGTTAAATAGCCTTTTCCTAAAAATCAGGTGCCACTCTCGCCAGATTCGCCAGGTGCCCAGGGGTTTGGGAAGGAGCTAAACCTAGTGAGGCGATGGTTTGGAGGGGACGCTAATTTCAAGCATTTACTGGCGCGACAAACCTAACTGGCCTAAAATAAGAAATAAAGGGGGCATTCCGTGAACTGAACACAACTAGGTAAACGTCAATCTCTCGTTCGACCAACTCTGAACACCTTGACCACCTTGGCCACCTTTTCTGATCATTTCTCCGAACGAGTAAAAGAGAGAAACACAACAAGTGTCCTCAAAGTCATCCTCTTTTTTCTTTTTTTCTTTTTTATTCTTTTTTTAATTCGTACCGCTAACCGAGCCGCGTCTTATTCACTTACTTTACTTCGCACACTCTTTCAAGAGCTTCACTATCTCCGTTTTTAACTGACTCGCATTGCATATACCTTTCACCCTGCCCCAAATTCGGTCAATTCCGTGCCGATAATTCAATACGGAGCCGTGCGTCTACCACACCGACACGTCGTCCCAAACTTTCAATTCCTCAATTCCGAGCATAGTCCTTTGCTACTCGGATTACAAAAAGCACCTACCTACTTAGCGCAAGAGCCCGGCCAGGTGGTCTACATTCGCTTGAACATAACAACTATCATAATTTAATTATACTCATATACTCATACTCCATCGCCAACATGAAGGGTAAGGCTCTATACATGAAAAACCCCCATGATTATTTTTATAGATAGATCTTGCTAATGATTCTTGTTCAACAGCCCTCATTCTCGTCGGTGGCTTCGGCACACGTCTACGGCCCTTGGTACGTCGTCCATTGGCCTACTATAATGCATTGTCGAAATCGAGAAATGCATAATGTCTTAAAAACTCGGACTTGAAAGGCTAACAAATAGCTCATTTAGACTCTTACCATGCCCAAGCCTTTGGTAGAGTTCGCCAACAAGCCCATGATTCTACACCAGATCGAGGCTCTGGCTGCTGTGGGGGTTACTGATGTCGTGCTTGCCGTCAACTACCGCCCTGAGATTATGGAGAGAGTCTTAAAGGAGGTTAGTACACATAAACATAAGCCCCAGGCCAAGCAGCTACACTACGCTATGTAGCTTCGCCTTCTTTTATACTTGCTGACTTTACTGCCCCTGTAGTACGAAGACAAGCTTGGTGTTAAGATCCACTTCTCTCTCGAGAGCGAACCCCTCGGCACCGCCGGTCCCCTCAAGCTTGCAGAGGAGATTCTCGCTAAGGACGACTCTCCCTTCTTTGTCTTGAACTCGGACATCACCTGCGACTTCCCCTTCAAGGCCCTCGCCGAGTTTCACAAGTCACACGGAGACGAAGGTACCATTGTTGTCACAAAGGTCGAAGAGCCCTCCAAATATGGTGTCGTCGTACACAAGCCCAACCACCCTTCACGGATCGACCGATTCGTCGAGAAACCCGTCGAATTCGTCGGCAACCGTATCAATGCTGGCATGTACATGCTGAACACCTCGGTGCTCCAGCGCATTGAAAAGAACCGACCTACCTCGATCGAGCAAGAAACCTTCCCCGCTATCGTTCGCGATGGGCAATTACACTCGTTCGATCTGGAGGGCTTCTGGATGGACGTGGGTCAACCCAAAGACTTCCTAACGGGCACCTGCCTATATCTTTCTTCGCTTGCGAAGAAGCAGCCTCACCTGCTAGTTTCTCCTTCCGAGAGCTACGTATATGGTGGTAACGTCATGATTGACGAGTCCGCCAAGATTGGTAAGAACTGCCGAATCGGACCCAACGTTGTCATTGGCAAGAATGTTGTCATTGGCGACGGTGTGCGTCTACAGCGATGTACGCTCCTCCCCGGATCCAAGGTCAAGGACCACGCGTGGATCAAGAGCACCATTGTGGGCTGGAATAGCAGCGTTGGAAAGTGGGCTCGCCTCGAAAACGTCACCGTCCTCGGTGACGACGTGAGCATCGGCGACGAGATCTACGTCAATGGCGGAAGCGTCCTCCCGCACAAGAGCATCAAGGCCAACGTCGACTACCCGTCTATTATTATGTAATTTGTGACAGCGATATTTCGCTCTCTTTTCGACCGGCCACTTCGATTTTTTTTGCGGCACTTCTTCCTGTGTATATCTGGTACCTTTTTTTCTTTCTTTTTTCTTCAAACCTCTTATGATTTCGTAATAAGTTAGTTGTTCCGCCCTCGGGCTTCGGGCACCTCTCTTCTCAACACATTTGTTCGATTCCGTTTTCCAAATAGGATGGCGTTTTGGTCAGCATGTCATGCATGATAGATGACCTTTCATAGTTTTGCTGGTATCCCAGCGAGATCTAGGGGGGTCCGAGGAATTGGAGGGCGGTAGTTTTTACGTCGTCTATGCCACGGTCGTGTCCTATCCAACCGGAAGTGACGAGAAATCTAACTTTACAGCATGCGACCTTTATCTATACGAGGCTCCTTGCGACCTTTTTTTTTCTCGAGTGCCTACCTCCTTGGCCCATTACGGGGCATATATATAAAAAATTAAACACGGGAAAGGTGTCTACGGCAAAAAAGGGGAAATGACGTGGATGAGGTTAGCATGTAGGACTCGAAAATTAAAAAAGACATGGATGCAAAAGCACACGACGTTACGGCGATGGGGCATTAATTGCGATTCTCAGTTGGTATTTACAGCGGTTTAGCTTAATACGTGGGGACTTGTCGAGCACGAGCAAGAAAAAAACCGGTCGAGGGGACAAAAAGGAGATCGACAATCGGGAACCTGTTGTTACCTCGTACCGTTTTCGTGCGAGGGCAAAGCTGTGTCTCTCGAAGTCTAGGCCTACCAGATTAGTGTACCTTTGGTGGGTTTGATAAGCTGTGTGTGAGAGAGGGACCAACTTGAGAGTAGGAACAGGAGCACGAGCTGGAACAATTGAGAAGATAATGACCAAAAAAGATGCGAGGCTTGTGTTGTTGTGTGATGTGATTTGATGCGATGTGATGTGACGGTAAATGGGTATGATGTGATATGTGTGACTGGACGATCGAGTTGGCTTGAGTGACTAGGTGACTAATGAGTGGTGTTGATATATTATTCTCTTGTGTTCGTTGAGGATCTTGCTTTATCTGTTTATTGTTTTTTTATTTTTTTATTTTCCGGTATAGATGGACACTACGGTCAGAGGTTAGCAGGTAAGGGTTTAGTTTAGCTGGTAGCGAAACAAGTAGTGGGTAACGTGGTGTAGCTGTCGATGTGACGAGGCCACGAGCAGGTGGTATGGTAATGGTATACTATGCTATTTACTATGGGGATTGTTCCGAGAATACGTCCGTACGGGATGGGATTACCTCTATCTATCTATCCATCCATCCACCATTACCTTAGCTAGCTAAGTTAGGTACTCTTCTTCAGCGTTCGGACATAGGCACGTCCATCACAATCCGTATTTCCTTCCCGTCCCCCTTTTTCCTTTCCCGTACGAACGTTTCCCCTTCCCCATCCCCTTCCCCGCTAATCGTCCTCGTCATCCGTCCTAGGTCAAAGATTCCGATGTAATAGAATAGGATGTGGCAATGTCATACCACATACGAATACCTACACCAGCACCTCATAAGAAAAAGAAAACAAAAAAAAAAAAAAAATTCGGCGTCCCCGTACTTTAGGTTGGGTTAGGCTAGGTACATATATTCGTTCATATATACATTCCTCGTCCCCTCTTCTCCCGCCGTATCCCGCCTTGTCCCGCCCTTGTCCCGCGCTGTCCCGTGTCCACATCTCGGTCAGCCCCAGTTTCACTCTACGTACGGTACCTACCTCTACCTCCTACCTTAGGTACCTACCAAGGTAGCGAATATGATAAATCTGCGCGGTCGGCCGCCTTACCGATCGCTCGTACGTATAGTATAAGATACCTATTAACACCGAGCCACAATAAATAAACCCCTCCTCTCTCGTCCCCGATTACGTCGACTTGCTTTGCTTTGCTTGCTCGGTCGGTCGGTTCAATGTTACAAGAAATAAAATACAGATACAAATACAACTACACATCTACTTCCACAGAAAGCGAAATGAAAAGAAAGAAAAACAATCATAAAAAAAAAGTATGTAGCAAGATGAAAATGAAGATATCCGTTTGATATTATACCTAGGGGAGGGGGGTTATGTATTGTACGGCTAGCAGCAGCATTACTGGTACATTCAATTATACCCGACCCTACCCTCCTTCAAACCTTTTTTTCGCCGTATACCCCCCCTACCTTAGGTAGGTAGGGTACCTTACCCCCCCCCCCCCCCCCCCAATCCAACCACCCGCATGTGCGACTTTCTACTACATACAAAAAATAAAAACACAAAAAACAAAAGATAGGTTAGGTAGGGGTTTAAATAGTTAGGTAAGTAAAGAAAAAAGGTGTGTACCTAGGTAAGCTAACCTTTTCCTTTTCTTTTGCCTGCCTGCCTGCCTTAGGTAGGTATATATGACATGCATGCCCCAGGAACATTTGTTCAGGGCATTTTTTCCCGAACAGCATATCCAAATGCAAGGGAATGGAGGGTCATTGCGCCCTGCAAAAAGCGCTTTCGTGCAGGCGTTATCTAGTGAGCAACCGGATTTATCATATCCCAAAGATCCACTCATCACACTTCCCATTGCCGTTTATAATTATTTAACGAGAGGGGGAGGGGGAACTGCCCAACTCCGACCGACGTCTGAAACTTTTTATTTGTTTCTTTTACAACGTCGGTTTCCTGAAGATGTCCGGTCTCGACTTCTCGTTCTCGTCGTCCGAATGGTCGTCCCGGACCCATCCGCGACTCATGTCGACAGCCCGCTCCCAGGTATGGTACATGCGCTGAGCTTTCTTTCGGTCGAGTCTGGGCTCGAAGACCCGGCGACCTGGCTTTTTCCGCGTGAGCTCCGCGAGCTCCTCAAAGCTAGTCCAGCAGCCTTCTACGGCTAAGCCGGCAGCAATTGCGGCGCCCAAGGCGGTAGTCTCACGCATCGCCGGTCGCTCCACACGGATTCCGGTAACATCAGCTTGGGTTTGCATCGTCAGGTCCGAGTTTGACATGCCGCCATCGACAGCAAGAGATGTAAGCTTATGGCCCGAGTCCTTCTCCATCGCCTCTAGAATCGCGCGAGTCTGGAAGCATGTAGCTTCCAGCGTCGCACGTGCGATGTGACCTCTTTGCGTGTGTTGGGTAATTCCAACTAGGACGATAAGGTTAGCAACGTGTTCATTTAGAAACAGATTGAGGCGGTGGATGAGGACTTACAAAGGGTACCCTTCGCATCGTCAATCCAGTACGGCGCGAACAATCCACTGAAGGCGGTGACGAACACCACCCCGCCGTTATCCTTGACGCTCTCAGCCAATTCGCCAACTCTGGTTGAGTCTCTAATAAATCCCAAATTCTTCATCAAAAACTTTACGCCAGAGCCGGCCACGGCTATGCTACCCTCCAGGGCGTAAATTGGATCCCGGCCTTTGCCAAAGTCGGCTGCGACCGTCGCCAGCAAGCCGTACTTGGAGATTACCGGTTTGTTGCCTACGTTATACAACAGGAAACATCCAGTGCCGTATGTGTTCTTGGCCTGGCCGGCTTTGAATCCGCACTGGCCGACGAGCGCACTGGATTGGTCACCTAGGCAGCCTGCAATTTTCACTCCGGCCAGGGCGCCTCTGCCGATTGTACCAAAGGCTTCCGGGTCCGACGACGGCACGATGGTGGGTAGTGCAACCTTGTTCTGGTCAATTCCGAAGAAGTTGAGTAGTCTGTCATCATACTGCCGGGTGTGCAGGTTCATGAACATGGTCCTACTGGCGTTGGTGGTGTCGGTAACGTGGACATTTTTTTCTTTACCATTAAGGCGGTAAATCAACCAGCTATCTACGGTGCCGACGGCGAGGCGGCCTTCTTCGTAAGCATTTCTCACACTCAGGTTATTTTTTAGTAGCCAAACCAACTTTACGCTGGTGGGGTATGTGCTGAGCGGAAGGCCGCATATTTCGGGGATCGCATGGGCGCCGGGATAATTCTTCAAGTCTCGGACGATATCTTTGGTACGGGTATCGGGCCATACGACGGCATTGCATAAAGGTTCACCGGTATTCTTATCCCAACATACGATGGTTTCGCGCTGATTCGTTATACCTACAGCTTTTATCTGGGACTTGGAGTAACCCTTGAAAGTGAATTGTTCAATGGCCCTTTCAATACAAGACTCTACGGAACTGAGCAACTCCAAAGCATCATGTTCGTGCCACCTGTGTTGACAAAACGGGGTGTTAGCTCATGGTTGATGTAATAGGGGGCTAAGGGTGACGTCAATACCCCGATTCTGGATAAAGATTTTCAAATTCGATTTGATGACTAGCGACCGGGTCCATGTGGCGATTAAAGATGAGAAAACGCGAAGACGTAGTACCCTGGTCTATACTACCGATAAACCATTCCGATAGCGCGCGCCTACTGGTCCATAGACCACCGTTACCGTTGGTAGTTCCCTTGGTGGTGGTCGTGGTGGTCGTGGTGCTGCCGTTGGGAGTAGCCGATGTTACGGTTGTGGTGGTGGTATTTCCATTAGTATTTCCATTGGCGCCGTTGGTGCCGTTGGTACCGTTAGTACCGTTGGGATAACTATGGGCGCGTTGACCATTACTATGTCCATTGGTGCGAATGGTATAGCCGTTGGCATGACCGTTGGTCAGCTCTTCGGTAGTCTCGTGGTTTCCCATTGCACTCTAATGGTTGTTACGAATAGCAACTAACGGGACAGCAGTTGAACTACTTAGTAGTAGTGGCGGTAGTGGTAATGGTGTTGAAGCTCGTTCAAGGTGGAAGACGGCGTGAGGCTATTTAGCCGTATCTAGCAAGTGGGATCGAGATAAACGCGAAATCGGCTGAATAGGCGCCGAGGTATATGCAGCAACGGAAGCTCATCTGATAAAGGGTATCTCCGGTGGTGGTATCTTTTGCCGCAACGGGGCAATGGATGTTGCTATGACGGGGGATGAATCGACTTGATAATATATAAGGGTACAATGGGTATGAATGATGGTTGGGAATGGAGGAGGAAGAGTAAGAGTAAGAGTAAGAGGAGAAGAGGAAAGATAAAGAAAGGGACGAGAAATAAGAATAACAGGAATAATAAGAGGAGAAAGATCAGAAGGATGTGGAAATGGAAATGGATGTGGATGCGGATGTGGCACTGGCACTGGCACTGAAGGGGACAATCATCTTGGTAAGTGCAAAGTAGATCGTACAAATGTCGCACTTACGTCTTTTACGCACTTTACATATTCTTGGTAATCTTAGGTTAGGTAGGAGGTATCTGGGTATCTGGGTATGTATTCTTGGTATTGAGGTATTCTCTTGTACCGATCTCAACCGGCTGAAGCTTTTTTGGCAATGCGAATTTGAAAAAAGTGCCAAATGGAAATTCGAGAAATGCAGGAGCAGGGGTGCGTTGAAGCTGCCGAGCCCGTGTCTTTGGTCCAATTGAGAAGAAATGGAAATCGAAGCTTGGGTAACAAAGATACGCGGTACCTACCCAACTCTGCCAAGCCTATCTAGTTGGGCCAATAATCTACTAGTTTACTACCCAACCTTAGGTACCTAGGCTCATGGAGAGTGGGGAAGGTCTTTTTGAAGGATTGCGGGGAACATTATTGGACGGTTTTAAGGGAATTTTGTTCTCTGATTCGTTCCTGATTCGTCTTGTTCATTCACAAGTCTGGGTCGAACTTGCTGACTTGCTGACAAGAGATGATGATACCTCTACCGGGCACCGTACCGGCACGCCGCAGCAGCACGTTGCAATACATACAGTAGTAGAGCCCTAAGAATCGCCTAGACCTCATAGAAACGCAGCCCAATTCAGCCTATCGAGCTGTGTCTCACTTCTTTTTTTTTTTTGTCTTTTGTCTTACACAGGTGCAAAAAAACAATTGCCCCACCTTCCCGGGCTACCGTCCTCGGGGGATTGGTGGAACATTCCCTCAGCGAAGGGAGAGGCTCCCATTAGCTCATAGCTGTGATAATTAGAGGGGCACGAGGTCAGTAGGTCGGCTCTTAGTTGCTGGGGGCGCGCGGCGCTGGAGATTTGCCAATCTTGGTTACTTTTCTTACTTTCTACTGTAGAGGAGCCGGTTTTTTTTTTTTTTTTTGTTTTTTTTTGCCCCTCATTGCTTATTTCTTTTTCTTTTACCATCTTATCCTCCCATGTGAAGAAGAATAATAATAGACCCAACTAACCTAAACGCTTTTTAGTAGTGGTGTTTGATTGCTCAACAGATTTTATTATTCTCGTCGAACAACTCTTTATCTTAACTAAAGCGCATAGCACGTAACACGTACAGCTTGACCAGCATGACCTCTTTTTTTTTTTCCTGCATTCCCTGCCTAGCCGCCTAACATTGGAACCTGGCATTGGAAACATGGCAGCATCGCAGCATGGGGGTCCTTCTCATCTGAGCCTCCGAGGCCGCCCCTGGGATGCGGTCAAACACGGTTTGCCTAAGCTCTAGACCAACACTCGGTGATCTGTGCGAGGGGCCACTTCACGATAATCGCACCCGCGTGATGAATATAATTTTTTTCCCCTTTCTACCTAACCTACTATGTAAGCATCGTGTTTGAGGATCGGCTACCGGGCGCACGCATTATCAACTTGTTATCTATGTTTAGGACGTGGGACCGAAGCTTGGCCACGTATTCCATTCCTCCCGTACATAGTATACGTCAACGATATTGACGATGCATTCATTCCCTTGTCTCCCACCTTTTCCGAACAAAGCTTTTTCCCTCTTCCTCCTCCTTCTCCCTTTCTCTTTCCCCTTCCTCTTCCCCGTTTCCCCTCCCCCCATCCCATTCCCCATACCCCATTTCCCTTTCACCCTCCTTTCTCTTTTTTTCCCACCTCCTTTCCCCTTTTTTTCCCCCTTTGTCCACGTGCTACACCCATCCTTCCACCGCTTAGAAATTATATTTCCCATGAGCATGAGCCATTTATTTCGTGCACTCGCCAACGCGCCAAAAATAAACCCGAAATTAAAAACTCGCATTTTCTTTTATTTCCCCCACAGGGACCCGTAGCCGCACCCCGCAACCATTGCCGTCGGCTTCGTGTCGACCAAAATTAATTCAATTGGTCTAAATGTTCTTGGTGCTGCCGTCGCATCTAGCCTCAGCGCCGGAAATTTGTGGGGCCTCTTTGCGGTCGGAAGATCGCCTGTCCAACTTCTCTTCCGGTCTTTGTTGTGGGGCCGAGTCCCGGAGGTTTATTCGTTCGCTGGTTTGTTTGCTCTGATATAAGCGACGGAGCAAACCTCGTATTGATGCATCTCTCGTCTCGTGCATATGACAGCCCTGGAGTTTCCAGTATTGCGCGTGCCCAACCCATTGCGTTAGGTACATATTGTTTCACATGAGCGGGTGCCTCGACCACTCCAACAAGGCTAGCTATTCATTAGCATTGTAAATAGAGCGTGGGATAAAGGACCTCGTGAACGCTAGTAGGGATCGTAACAACTAGGGTTCACGACTTGGCACCAGAGCGGCGCCAGCGTAATCGAAGACCTGGGATCGATCGTCGTTTTCCAATCTAGACAAAAATTACCCGGAGGCACATCCATTACCTATTTAGGTAGTAATATGCAATAATCGGGTTTAGGTCGTTTTCCGTGTGTTCCCCTATTATTTCTCGTTCTCTTCCTTTCCTTATCTTTCACATCCTATTTCCTCTTATAATTTGTAACACCTGCTGTCCACACGTTTGTATCTTCCGGTTTCCGTCTTAATAACCCGGTCTGGGGCTTATGGACATGTTTTTTGATCGTATAAGCATCAAAACATGTATGAGGTCGTGAACACGTTCTTCGGATGTTAGGGATGTGATGCAGATGTCGTTGTAGTAAGCATCAGCATTGTCGACTGGTTCCAATATTATGTCCATTTGCCTTTGGACGTAAGCGCTGCTATTCTTGTAGTCCATTACAAGCGTTTTGAAAGTGTATTGACTTTTTACAGTAGTTATTGTCAATATCCATCGTGTGGCAGTGTCCTTGGTGAGCAGTAGATTGACAATGCTCTCTTCTTCGGGGTTGCCGCCGTCTCCGCTCGAATTTCCCATCACGCGAGCCCAGAAGGCGTCAGGAGTAGCTTTAGGGATCCCAGGTTCATACGGAAGATGGGTTAATCGAGCTTGTCTTAGACGACAAAATATTGGGCTTGTATTCGCCATTGGTAGTAGAATGAGAGGGCGTCAAGGTCTGTAGAGTAGGGTTTTCCTTAGCACTTCACTAACATAGACTCTTAGGATTTCATAGGGTATTCGTGGTCGAGGACCACCTGGTTTACAACGCGGGTATCGACTTCCATTCAACCTTTGCGTTTGGTTTGGCTCCACCTAAGGTGGTTTAGGTGCGGCTCAAGCAAAGCTGCACCTCGTTTTAGGCCGACAGTACGGATCCGTGATGTTGGCGGTATCCACTCTAAGCCGTCTGTAACATTATACACATGAATAGACGTTAACAGTTTTCTATATAGATTTGTATGTGTATCTGTTAGTGCATATATATATATTTGTTGCACCATGAATATTTGTCCTAATGTTCCGTTAATTTATATGCGTGATCAAGACTTTATAATGTCCTCAAAGGTAAATACTTCATATTTCTATCTACTTTCTTGGATTAAATACAGGTATGCGAATTTGTTGATTTTTATTCCAAATGAGTGGCCCCAGTGACGGGATGTCGACTTATATCGCAAGCATATTTGTCCGGAACATATCGGGAATTCGTTAGCAATCTATGTTTAATTTCTGAATGTCCGGTTGGGTTATGATTTTTGGTGGTTTCGGGTGCACTGGTCCCGGTTCAGGTTTTGGTATGAAAAGATGCAGAAAAGCACACATTATTCGGACCATCTTCAGCCATCGATCAATTTGACCCCATTTCCAATCTTAGGGTTTCTCCGGGGTTTTCTACTAAGTTAGGTGGTCAGTTTAAAACTTCTTTTGGGGATCATATTTGTTATACCGTCATATAGACTTACTTTGGAGACGTGTCCCTTTTATCTTAGTCTTCTTTCTGGCCCCCGGTCGCCTTCTCCTTCGCCTCCTCCTCCTCCTCCTCCTCCTTCGCCTTCGCCCGTAGGTACCGCTGGCGGAACCATTCGAGCTCTTTCTCAGACATGTTGCTGTACATGTCATCCTTCATTATCGCCGGTCGAATGGTACCGGAGAAGTGGTCTTTTATATAGGCCACTTTCTTCCCTTTGACGTAGTTCCAGTGCAGTCCTATTCTGGTACCGTTGGGAGCGTTGCGATAGGTTTGCGTCAACTCCTCAATAATATCGGCCTGATATCGACGCCTAGTGTCCTCCGGATTCGGACGCGGGCTGCGAGAGGCGGACCATGGCTCCTTGCGCTTGTCCGAGGTAGAACGGATTGGAGGCATTTTTACTATATACCATAAGTATATATTTATAGTATCTATAGTTGTATACTTACTTTGTTGTTTGTTATAGGTTTTATTGATAACAACGGCAGCTTAGAGCAGACTAATCTTACCTCTGCTCTCTTGTAAGTGGTTTGAGGGAGGGTGCTGTTGTATTGTTGGATAAATCGAATCTTGATGACTTGAGTGTTTCTCGTGTTGGTTTTGTTGTTGTTGTTGTTGAAACGGTCGAGGAGGATGTTTTAAATAGGTAAATTAGCTGCGTGTTAAGTGTAGCCTTACTTTATAGCCTGTCGATGATATGGTTTGAGAATGAGGCGCTTGGATTTAGTTGAATAAAGTTTGATCGTCTTCGCGTCATGTTGCCAGCTTCGTCACCTATGTATAAATGAGGCTTCAAGATGTACTATATTAGGTACCCTTAAGGAAACTAAGTTTTTTTTTTCTCTCTGCCGGTTGCTCAGTCAAAACATCAAAATATAACACGTACAACTTCTACCTACCAATATTACTAGGTAAATTTGGCGAATTATACTACATCTCCCCTTTACCTCCAATATTACCTGACTATAAAATCTTCGCTCTAAATTATTCATAAACGTGAGGGTAGTTCTCACCCTCGTCGATGGCTGGCTGAGATACGGGTCAGGTAGGAGTTTCGTACTATGTCTAACTACGATGACAGGCAAACCAAAGTTTAATGGTCATACGCGTCGTTGCTAACCCTAATGCTATAGCCTGATGCTTTGCTAAGAATAAAATGAGGCGGACGAGATAGGAAGTTGAACCGCGTCAAAACGGCTACCATCTGAGAGTAAAACTGTAAAGGGATGACGACTTCGGTGATCTTTATGCTTGAATTATGGTTTTCACTATAATCAACTAATATACCTGTGCAGTACGTAGGATACTACACGTTGTGCACAGGTAATGACGAACCGCCTAACCTAACAACATCATAAACAATGTCCCCAAGGACACGGGGCAACTCCCAGCGTGTTAAATAATAATACATGTTCGAGTCTCGCTGTGTCTATCAAACCAATCCGCAAGCTTCCTGCGCTTATCTTCCTCGTTGATCTTGACCCCTGGCGGCGACGCAAGCCCTAGCCGAGTATATACCACCTGGCCATCCACTACTTTTTCCTCTTTGAGGATAAGGCTAACAGGTGCTGGAAACTCGCAGGTGTCGGCTATTCGCAGCATTACCACAGCCGATTGCTCCCCTTCCTGCGGAGAGGGCTCGCAATCTATACTGACCTCGAGCTCAACCGTTAGCTCGGAATGTAATATGCGGTAATCCTCCGGGGAGTCCTCTGAAGGCTTGCAAAGAGTACACGGGACGGATTCTCCGCGTAATACTAACTGCCCTCCGGCGGCTTGTCCAAACTGGTTTCCGTCTATGTACTCGCAGCTTGTGCCTAGCACCTGCACATGAGCCTTAAGGGGGGACAAGAGGTCGTAAGCAACCGGACCAGAAATCGAGGCCCACGACCAAGTGGGGGCAATATAGCGCTCTGAACGTTGTTGGGCTTTTGGTTTGCGCTTACGAGCCCATAGCAAATCAAGCTCGAGCGATTCATACCAGAGCCCAGCAAGGTATGCCTTGTTTTTACGAATGGCTTGTGTTTGCTCTGCGGTGGCTCCGATCGCTAAAAGTCTATCTGTTTGGTTAGTAAGTTGCATATCCGAGTAAAACTGAACGATACGGCGCCATGTCTTCTCGGTATCGACTTTTGAAAAATTGCTTTTCTTGGCAAACCCTATGGCTTTTCTCATGTATTTGCTGTAGTGTTCGGGGGATTGTTGTAAAAAAGACGGATCGTTTACTAAGGTGTTGACATGTAACATCTTCAAGCTTGTAGGGTTGTACGGCCCATCTCTGTGGAACCCGCACTCACAGATCGAAGTAGAATAACATTCCCATATTAACTCGTGCTTAGTGAAGTATAGGATTCGAGGCGAGACTAGTCTTTCTTGAAACGTCCACCCTCGCTTGAAAAGGGGTTCAGACCGGTGGTTCAAGTACAAATTAGTGACCTCCGGGAAAGACTGCTGGGCATATAATTGGTATTCCTCAGTACCATGCCTGATTACACCTAATTGAAGTTGAACAGCGGGGTCCAAGATAGAGAACAGGCCTTTGGAGCTGTCTTCGGCATGAGATGCGGCGAGAGTCAAGAATGCGTTCCGATAAACAGGGAACATTCGACCGGCTTCTCGTAACCAGTCTTCGGGGTCCCGTTGAATGATACATATTGAGTCAATCCACAAGTAGTCTATGCCTAGTTTGCGTGCGAACAAGATGGCTTCTTGAAAACTTTTTGGGATTGTACTCCAAGGAATATTTTCTAGCTGATCTAAAAAATTGTTCCTAGTAGTAAGACACTTGGGTATTCTTGTACCCCAACAGTGACTGAGAGCTACGTAACGTGAATTGGAAGGTAGCCTAGAGCTATCTACTAGTCTTATCTCGTCGTTAGTACCAGCGATATATATGAGTCGCGTAGGAAGAAACGAGTTGCTTCCTGTGGGGCAATGCTGGTGGTTTTGGCAACAGGCGGATAACTGCTGCTTTGCCCACTCACAGGCAGCTTCCGACGCGGTATTGCCAGAGACAAGGAAGCCCTTAGGTATCCCCGATAGATCTCTCTGTTGAGTATTTGCGAGGAACAAGTTCCACTCAACTTGATCTTCTTCCAACCAACTGTCTTCCAGGATAACACAGGGTTTGTCCTGATTTATCCACAAGGACACGGTCCATCGATCTGGATCTAGGTTTGGCTGTAGTTGAACCAAACGATTAATTATCTTGCAACAGATGCACTGGGAACTACTGGGGCGACTAAATATTATGTTCCGTTGATCCTGAGGAGTTGGAACTCTAAGAAGACGGGCAGGATTACCATCCCACCCACAACCTGAGCAGACTTCTCGTCGGTCCCATAGTCTTTTTAAGTTACTAAGCCAATTCCAGTACTTTGGCAGCACTATGATTTTCTCATTATCATCAGGACAGGTTGGTGCTTGAGATACGTTGTTTAGAAACTCGGTTGTAAGAGCTTTAACTGCGTTGTTCATTTGTGCTTTTAGTTGTTGTTTGAATTGCTGGAAGCGTGCGACAGTGAGAGGGGAAGAGAAGACGAGTTAATAATGCTCCCAAAACAACATGATATATTCTCCAAATTTTGCTGTCTTTTTTTTTCTCTTTTTTCCCCCCTTAAGAAGACAAATAATTATTAATTGAAAGTTAAGTTATTGGAGAAGAGGTACTTCTTGCGGGTTGGAGAAGTCAGAAGTCAGGTAAGCTGCACGTGATAGTTACCAGGTGAGCAATCATATAGGTATACAAGACGCTAAGGCTGCTTATCGCATAAGCCGCTTGCCTCGGTTCATTTTTAATGGATACCTCAAGCCGGGGTTCGTCATTGGGTTCCATGTTTTGTCTTCTCCAGCCTCAACGCGACAACTTGACAATTCCAACTTTTGCCATTTACAAAAAAATAATGCTTCGCATGCACGACGCCTTTCCCTAATCGTTACCATCCCACCTGCCATGAATATTCCTTGAAACCCGACGAATCTTCTAATCATGACAATCCGCGAGGACGTTGTGGCCTCTGCGGTCAGCTGTATGTATTAGCCAGCCAGCCAACCACTTCAATTAATTGATGCTTAAGGGGAGAAGAGAAGAGAGGACAGAATCCGGATAACGAAGCTAACAATTTATGTTCCATTATAACAGTCTTGCAAGACCCCAATGTGGTCTCTTCCCCCCTCGAAAACAAGTTATCATTCCTGCGATCGAAGAATTTGACGCAGGAGGAAATCGATATCGCATTTGCGAGAGCCGGCTTGCCGACAGCGCCTGTTCCTGCTTCATCTCCGACATCACCACCGCCCTCCGCTCCCGTCCAGCAGCCCCAACCATACTACGGACAATACCAGACGCAACCTTACGGATGGCAAGCACCGCCGGAGGTTCCCAAGAGGGATTGGCGAGATTGGTTCATCATGGCCACCGTGGTGGGCGGAGTCAGCTACGGCTTATATACTGTCTCTAAGGTATGGCATAACTACCCTAACTCCAACTCACGTGGAGATGATCCATCGAAATTCTAACTTCGACGGTAGCGCTATCTCTACCCCCTAGTCTCGCCCCCGACGCCGGAGAAATTAGAGCAGGATAAGGCGATGGTAGACGAGCAGTTCGAGAAGGCTTTCTCGACTCTCGAGCAGCTATCAAAGGACACAGAGGACCTCAAGGCCTCGGAAAGAGAACGTACCGAGAAACTCGACAAGGTGCTGGATGAGCTGGACACGTTCATGCGAGATACCAAGTCCGCAAGCCGACGGCACGAAGACGAGACCGACCGACTGCGCGAGGAGATGAAGGCCCTGAAGAGCGTCATCCCCAAGTCCATGGCTGCGAACAAGGAGTTCACGGATAACCGACTGAAGGAGATCACGACCGAAGTCAGGAGTCTGAAATCTCTCATCAGCCAGCGGATGGGCAATTCCAGCGGCACCAGCAGCGGCAGCAATATCCCTGCCCCGCCGTCCGTCACCACGAACGGCTTCCTCAAGCCCAGCGCCGGCGCTACCAACGCAGCGTCCACCGCCAGCGGTTCTTCGAGCCCGGGCGTGGAAGGTGCGCTAGCCAAGGATCTCGGCGACACGAAGCAGGCGGTCCGAGACGAGACCTCGCCCCAGAGCAGCAGCACTAGGCAGGACTTCTTCTCGACCCGGACCTCCCCCTTCGGCAGCGGCATGGCCACTCCCAAGGCCTCGATCCCCGCGTGGCAGCTCGCCGCGAGCAAGTCGGACGGCGCGGCTGCAGGTAGTTCGCAGAACGAAGCTGGCTCTAGCTCTTAATAAAAAACACCTACCTTCCTTACCTTACCTACTTCCTGTCTATCTTAGAATAGGATAGGGTACATACATAAGTACCTAGGTAGGTATAGGTATCTAATCATAGCTCGTCCGGCGTTATCTTAATTTTTTTCTTTTCGGTTTTTTTTATTTATGATCGGGGGAATTTTCTTCTTTCAAGTTATCAAAAAAGCAGGAACGGCATATTCTTCATCGGGTTTTATGCGGTTGTAACTAGGTGTTCTATAGTAGTAGTGAAGACGAAAGGACCTCGTTTGACGTTATGAGAAAGAGAAGGCCGCGCGCGACTCGACAACGATGAAGTAGGTAAAGCAGCCAGCCAGCCAGCCCCCTTTCCCTGGGCATAAATTTGTATGTCTAAGGATGGGGTAAATAGATAAATCAAAATCAATCAATGGTCCTGATTCTATAATGTCGTATTAAGGTAAATTGTAATAGCATAGGACCACCAGCAACCACCAACAACCAAGGATTCTTAACTATTTTGTTTCCGTCTTTTGTTTTCGCTGATGTTATTTTAGTCCTCCACCTTAAAATGCAAACACCTAGACACCTTATCGAAACCATCTAACCTATTTATGTCTAAGATCTTGCAAACAATACGGGTAGATTACCCCATTGGAAAGACTTGTTTCAAGCCTTAAAACCCAAACTCCGCAAGAAACGCCTCCCGGCGGTGACAAGAATATCAGGTGGGCGGGCTAAGTCGGTGTACCCGCACCATAAAAAAGACGTGTACAAGTACACTGCTCCTCCCACCTGGGGCTTTCCCAGGGTGTGTGGGTGTGGGTGGTGTGTATGTGCCGAGGCTTACCTTACCTTTTCGCATCCGAAGTTAGCGGTAGAGGAGCACTTATCGTCCGGTCGCTGGCAATGGGCATAAATAAGAGCCATGAAATAATGTCAAATCAAGTCATGCTTTGCAGGGGTTCGATAACAAATACCTAAAAGGGGGAATCTATCATATTCCCGTTTTATACACAATGCTTTGCATAAGGTAGATATATAGACTTACCTATATATAGGTCGCTCTTTGTTTTTTGTTGTTGACGTTATTTGATTTATGTCTGTCGGTCAGTGAGTCTTACATGAATTAATAATCGTCACCGTATATTCATTCCCCTCCTACGACACGGAAGAGCGATTCATAAGTAGTTCTTGCCTCTCGCGTGGGCTACGGTCCATTGAAGGCTATTTTTCTTTTTCCCTCTCTTCTTTTCTTCTTTTAGCGCATATTCATCATAGTTCATTTAGTTTTTAAGCATACCTTATTTCTAGATATCGCCATGGCCGCCAAGGACAAGAAGGAGGAAAAGCCTTCCGGCGAAGGGATGAGATCGCTTCGGGCCATTCTGTCGAAGCTTCCCACGATTCTCAAGGTCACTATATTACATGCCATCGGCGTGTCAGAGACTTCCCGGTATCGTGACCTGAAGAGCGAAGTGGTAATCGCGGTCATACGGGCGTTGCTTGACCCCTCGAATCAGGGGCCTCTCGCCGAGGTGCAAGCCATGAGCTTGAAGGACTCCGGCGTCAAGGGGAAATTGTGGGTTAGCGCGGTGGTTTCCGAGCCCCCTCCGGAGCGAGGCATTCGAGACGCCCTGCTGGCGGCCATCGACACCCTGAACGAGCCCGGCAGGAGAGGCGCGGAGCCGTCGTTCAGGATACCGGAACTCGTGCCCGTCGAGGCCGAGTGGACGGGATACAGAGCCGCCGCGTCCAAAAACTCCAAGCCGCCGGAGATCCCGGAAGAGCAGAAGTACCACGAGATGATGAAAGAGTGTAAGAACTCGTCCACCATCTTGTACTTGCACGGCGGAGGTTATTACCTGTGCGACCCGTCGACATATAGGGCGATGCTGAAGCGGATAACCAAGCTGACTGGCGGTCGCGCGTTCTCGATTAGATATCGGCTCGCGCCGCAGGACCCATTCCCATCTGCGCTGCTAGATGCATTAGTGTCTTACTTCACTCTTCTCTACCCGCCCCCGGGATCGATACACGAAGCCGTTGCTCCCGGGGACATTGTCTTCGGTGGTGATAGTGCGGGCGGCAACCTTGCTCTAGCCCTTCTCCGAACGCTCATGGAGATTCGACATCAGAACCGCAAGATCTCCTGGTTCGGCGAGGAACGAGAAGTCCCCCTGCCTGCTGGCGTCGCTGTCACGTCCCCGTGGATAGACATGGTGCAGACTCTACCCTCGCTGACCAGGAACTTACAATGGTGCTATCTCCCTCCCCCAAGACTACTTTCCGAAGAGCACCAGCCACCAGCAGATAGCATATGGCCGGCAAACCCGCCCCGAAAACACCTCTACCTCGACGACGATTACATGCTCCACCAATTAGCCAGCTTACAGATGACCGAGTCCTGGGAGGGCGCCCCGCCGGTATACATATCATGCGGGTGGGAGGCTCTTGAAGACGAGATTAAGTATATCGTGTCGAAGTTTACGCGTGACGGCGTGACGGTGATGTTCGAGGAGTACGAAGCGATGCCCCACGTGTTCGAGAGCTTCCTGCCCAAGATCCCCGCGGCGCAGCGTAGCCGGGAAGGCTATGCGAAGTTCGTCAAAGCCGTGTGCGAGGACCCGAAGAAGGTCAAGCCGTCGTATAAGTTGATCAAGGCTAGGACCCTGGAGGAGTTGAATATCAAGGTGGAGAAGCTAAGCCCGCATACCGACGAGGAAGTAAGGGAGCTCGCGAGAAAGGAGGCGGCTATACAGAGAGCATCCGTTACACCAGCGCCAGATGTCGAGGCAAAAGCGTGAAATCCCCGACCAGTGCTCAAAGAGAGACTTTGGTCCTAGAAAAATTCAAATGTATAATGAGGAGGGTAATGGATGATGCGTATGCCTTTCATGTCTTAAAATATAATGGTAATGAGCGTGATATACGTATAATGTAATTTGATGTATTTTATTCTTGTTCGTTTGTATTTCTTGAGAAAATACAAACATCTTCTGTATATCTACGATTACAGCAATTCAAATATGTTGCAAGAAAAAACGTGAGATACAAGTACAACAAACAATAAGACAATGTATTTATTAGGTACGCACTCCCCCAACCCAGCGGGTATAGCACGGAAGCCGCTCACTAACATGACCCGTTGGCGCAGGTACGTAGGGATTCCATCTAGGGTAGGCTCAACCCTGACTTACGTTGCCTAAAAGGACCCATACCTTCTACAGACTACAGCTATTACTGTGGATACCTTGCAAGTACCTCTCCCTTAAAATTTGCTAGCTCGAGGTACAATACCTAACCTAACAGACTCACCCTCTAGGCAGTTCACGTACCTAGCAAAGCTACCGAACTTCTAGCCTCTAGGCACCAAGAGCTCAACTCAACTCAACTCAACTTATACACGCTTACTTGCACTTAGCTCATACAAAACCTGCATCCACCTTTTTTTATATATCAACATATCACCACCTCCCCATCTCATTACAAAAAACAAAAAACCCCCAAAATTGTAATAATAATATACAATATAAAATATAATCAACCCGCCTATTGTACAATAATAATAATACAATGGAGCGCCACCGACAGGCCGTGCGCCTCGTCTCCGCGACCGTGCGCTCGCTCTTCGAGCGCTCGGAGCCGTACCGCATCTGGCACGGCAGCACGAACTCGACGCGCCCGCCGCACCAGAAGGCCGGGGCCCGCGTGGTCGACATCAGCGGGCTGCGCGAGGTGCTCTCCGTGGACGCGGCCTCGCGGACCGCCCTCGTCGAGCCCAACGTGCCCATGGACCGGCTCGTGGAGTCCACCCTGCCGCACGGCCTCGTGCCCCCCGTGGTCATGGAGTTTCCCGGGATCACGGCGGGCGGCGGGTTCGCGGGGACCGCCGGCGAGAGCAGCAGTTTCCGCCACGGCTACTTCGACGAGACGGTCCGGTCCGTCGAGATGGTGCTGCCCGACGGGGAGGTGGTTACCGCGCGCCCGGACCGGGGGGACGAGTACGAGGACTTGTTCCGGGGCGCCGCGGGCGCGCTGGGGACCCTGGGGACCACCACGCTGCTGGAGCTGCAGCTCGTCGAGGCGAAGAAGTTCGTGCGCACGACGTACCGGCGGACGAGCAGCGTGGGGGAGGCGGTGAGGGTGATCCGGGAGGAGTGCGCTGCGGAGAAGGGAAACGATTACGTCGATGGCATATTGTTCTCGAAGGACCACGGCGTTATTGTCACCGGCAAGATGACGGATGACTTGCCGTCCGAGGACGAGCACGTCCAGACGTTCAGTCACCCGTGGGACCCGTGGTTTTACATGCACGTGCGGGATATCACCAAGGCGCTACCCTCTTCTTCATCTTCATCCTCCACATCATCATCGTCATCGTCATCATCATCCTCCCCCTCCGAAGGCACAGTAACCGAGTACATCCCGCTAGCCGAGTACCTCTTCCGGTACGACCGGGGCGGATTCTGGGTCGGCCAAGCGGCCTTCGACTACTTCAAGCCGGTGCCTTTTACCCGGTTCTTCCGGTGGTTCCTAGACGACTTCCTGCACACGCGGATGCTGTACCGCGCGCTACACGGCAGCGGCGAGAGCGCGCGCTTCATCGTCCAGGACATCGGCATGCCGTACGAGTCCGCCGAGCCCTTCATCAACTACGTATCGGACGAGCTCGCCATCTGGCCCCTATGGCTCTGTCCGCTCAAGACGCCCTCGGGACCCAGTTTCCACCCGCACCTTCGACAACGACAGCCCGAGCCACCAGTCAGCAGCAGCAGCAGCGGAAAGGAGAAGGAGAAGGAGAAAGGGAAAAGGACGTTCGACGAAATGCTCAACATCGGGGTATGGGGCTGGGGCCCGTCGGACCGCCAAGCCTTCGTGCGCGCGAACCGGGCGCTGGAGCGGCGCGTCGACGAGCTCGGCGGGACCAAGTGGCTGTACGCGCACACGTACTACCCGGCCCCGGAGTTCTGGCGCGTGTACGGCTCGGGCCAGCAGAAGCAGCGGTACGAGGCGCTGCGGCGGAAGTACCTGGCGACGAGCCTGCCGAGCGTGTACGACAAGGTGAGCGTCAAGGTCGACAACGCCGACGCCGTCACCACGAGCTGGAAGCCCTGGCTCAAGTCCCTGTGGCCGATCGGCGGCCTCTGGGGCATCTGGAAGAGCATCCAGAGTAAGGATTACTTGCTGCATCGCCGGGCGACGTGGAGGTGGAGGGGAGGAGACGACGGGGTGAAGACGCGAAAAGCGAAGGAGGCGTAGGAGAGAGGCGTGTATGTGTGTGTGTGTGTGTGGCCTTGGTCATTTTGGCGGCACGTGTTGGAGAAGTGCACACGATTTACGCTTCTTATAGTCACGACATTGGGTGTCTAGGTGGGTAGGTAGGTAAGGTAAGGACTATACTACTACTTACCTTACGTATGTATACCTAATATATAATAGTATACTCCGATTATGGCCATACTTTCATATGGAGGTCAGATATTTACGATATTAAATATTTTTGTGAAAGCCGTTACTGTTTAATATATCTCAGCTTCCCCTATGATAATAGACGATTGTATGTAATCGTTATAATTAATGACACTCAAAGTCAATTGTATTGAGAGGATTTATAAGAAAGATTAGACAATTTTGCTTTGAAAGCAATTATACCTTAATAGCAAGGCAGTATATATACTCCAACATCGACAATAGAAGGACTATTTGTCTTACAGCTTAAATGCCAAGCCAACAACTGAGGAATGAAATCAGTCATAACACAAGATGACATTAACCATATATCATAGCACGATAGTGTCATACACATTACTCGATCGTCAACTATATCATGTCTCGAACGCAGTTGTTCGGCTCTCTATCGGCGTCTTCATTAAGCTTTTCATGCGAATCATCACAGGAATTATTCCTAGTATATACAAGTCGGGCAATCGCCAATCGTCACCCAACCCTATTAGTAGCCCCCTTATTTCACAATCGTCTTCCATGCTGTCTGTATACATGATATTCGTGCCGTAAGCCTTAAGTCTAGGAATCGCCAACCACACCAGTCTAGCTAGTATCCCGGCTGATTAATACCTGTCTATATAGGATGTAGATCGCATTTATTAGTTTTCCGTTTTTATTTATTCCTTGATCGAGTAGGTTCGCTTGAACATGTCGTCGACCTTTTCAAGGTAGTAGGTGCCACTAGCCAGAGTGGACGCGTCACCTTGAGGGGTGTAGTTCTTTTGTAAGTGAGCCTTGTGACGCAGCTCGCAGAACTGAAGAAAAAATTATTATTAGTCTAGGTATCATCGAGATTGAATGGTTTTGCAACTTACAGCTTCGTATGTCTCAGGAGGGACAGCCCGCCTGGCATCTAACTTGTTCTGGATATCCAAAACCTTGGCAATCTGTTCCGTGCTTCCGTTAATACGCACCGATAGGAAACTGGCTGCGAGACCGGAGCCGTAGCTGAAAAGTCCGATACGCTTTCCCTGAAGGGTAGCGCTATCAACGTAGGAAATGATGCTAGCCAGACCGCCCCACAAGCTAGCAGTGTACATGTTACCACAGTTGGTAGCCACTTGAATAGAGGGGCCAACACGCTCGTTGAAGCGCTTCTTGGTAAGAGCCATGAAGGTCTTCTCGACCACCTTGTCGGACAAGGATTTTTTGTAGTCCATATCTCGGATGTCGCCAGGTACCTCGGCAAAGGCAGGGCTATCAGGGTCGGCAAGGTAGTCGTGGTACAAAAGACGTGCGTAGGACTTCTGGACGACCTTGCACGTAGGAGAGTGGAAAGCCAAATAGTCGAAACGGTCAAGGGCCGTCTTGGTTCCGTCAGCGGCGGCGGCACCGTTTCCGTTTCCGTTAGCATGACCATTTGCTGCGTTCTTTAGCTGAGCCTCCCGCTTGCAATACGCTCGGTAAGCAGCGTCGAGGGCTTCCATGTAGCAGTTAACCGAGTAGTGGCCGTCAACGTACGGGTACTCGCTGGTAAGGTCAGGCTTATAGAAATCATATACGTGCTGCATGTATGTTCCACGCAGACCAGCATCGACAACGATGGGAGCGTCAGGGCCGATCAGCAGGGCAATGCAACCGGCACCACCGGTCGGCCTGGCGTTACCCTTGGCGTAGAGAGCAATATCGCCAGCCACGACAATACCGTCTCTTCCGTCCCAGCCGGAAGATTCCATCCAGTTGACAGTGTTGAAAAAAGCGTTGGTGCCACCATAGCAGGCATTTACGGTATCCACACCCTCAATGTTGGTGTTTTCGCCGAAAAGCTGCATTAAGACAGACTTGACAGACTTGGACTTGTCGAGGATAGTCTCGGTACCGACCTCGAGGCGGCCGATAGAGTTAGGGTCGATGTTGTAGTTCTTCAACAGCTTGGAGGTGGCAGTCAAAGCCATAGAGTAGATGTCTATAGTAGCGGGCAATCTTAGCACACGTGCAAGAAACGCTCAAGTCTCACAATGGCACAACTAACCTTCTCGATCATCGCAGAAGGTCATCTTGGTCTGACCAAGACCAATGGTATACTTGCCAGCGCTAACATTGTCGAACTTCTCGAGTTCGGCTTGCTCGACATACTGAGGACCACCGAGTGTCAGTAAGGTGTTCTTTTTTTTTTTTTCAGGGTCCATCGGTAGTGGGGATGTTGGAGGGGAAGGTGAAGATGGGTTTGGGGAATACGGTATCTTACCTGGCTAGGGAAGTAAAGCTCGATGGCCTTAATGCCAATGTTCTGAGGACGGGAGGCCATGATTTCGAACGACAATGGGGGGGAGGGGGTATCGTGGTGGTGAGGCTATAGAGAAAGTTGTTCAGGTAAAGAAAATATTCGAAGCCAACGAGTGTATATATCTATCTGTGGGAAGCGGGTAGTAGTTATTAGTGTTTATTGGCACAACAATATTTGGTACAAGCATGTGGCAGGGTTTGAATTCGGAAGGCTGGATTCACCGCCAATTTGGCAATGGAACCCAATGCAAGCAGACAGGGGCAGACCCGAGCATTTGTTTGCGACTCTCAGTCTGGAATTGCATGTGTGTCGATCCAAGTGGGGGAATCTGGAAGGGAATCGTTGTAGCCCGCCAGGGGTGTTTATTTTTTTTTATTTTATTAATTTTTTTGGGAGGGGTCAAAAAGAAAGCTGGTTCTGTTGGTGGTGAACTCACCTATCAGCTCTTATCTAGAGTAGTATTAACTAACGTAGTAGTATTATGAGGACGGCTTTGCCACGAGCTGATGATACAGCACCACTCTCCTATTATATGTCTATCTCTTTTGGGCCGGAAAAAAAAGGAGAAATGAACGGATAGCATGAGACGAAACCAAATTATAAAGATGGTCAACAAAATTCTTGTTGATTGATACTCCAGGGAAAAGAAGAAGAGGGGGGGGTTAAAAAAGGGGAGAGAGAGAAAAAGCCTAGGTACCTAGGTACATGTACCTAGCCTTCGTCTCCCAACCTGCAGCTGCGTGTCGTACCTTACGTACTGCTACTACCTTAGGTAGGATGTAGCTAGACTTTGTTGGCAGAAACGTTTATACCTAGTGCGCCCCGCCAAAATTTAAGTTTCAAGTACAACTGGCAACTACCAAAGTAGCCCTTCAAGCCTACGTGTATGCGATTGTACATGCGTTTCCAATTCGTTTACTTTTTAGTCACGATAAAGAAACGGGCGCGTAAAAAAACGCCGCCGAATTTTGTTACCTCAAATGTCGAAGCCTTACATTAGCACATACGTGTGTAGTTTCTAGCGAATAATTCCCAAAAAGAGCACATCACGGAAAATACCTAACCTACCTAGGTACCTACCTTAGGTAGTTACCAAATTTCAACTGAGGTCTATGTTAAGTTGTAATTATGTGGCGTATAAAAGCATTCCCGTAGGTACCTGGCCGAGAGTCTCATGTCGAGTGCCCGTCAAGTTGCATGAGTAGGTATACCTACCTGTACCTAGGTAGTTCTCTAAACTGATAAGTTGCCGTAACTGATAGGGACGCCACTTCCAAAGTTTGAAAAGATCTGCAACATCGATAAACATGTGGTTCCAAGTAGTTTAATTATGTGGGTACCTACCTCCTAACTTGAATATAAGTCCGCATCCGTTTCATGTTTTATACATAGGCAGTACGACCTACTTAGCTTCTAGCTTCGGAAGACTAGACGACGGCGTGGCTTACATAGCACATGGCTAGTTGCAGATTTAGTACCCTATATTTTGTTTTATGTAAGTAGTATCACCAGCCACGCCGGATCACATCGCTTTCTAATTGTCCGGATTGTCTAGGTACCTCATTGAGGTCTGTACCTATTGTACTACTTCCAATTCGTCATCTACCTCAATCTTTATTTCCCTACAACTTCCCAACAGTAACATTGAATATAAGACTTCCCTTCTAATAGACAGATAGACAAGCCGTCTTTCGTCATTCAGCTTATGAATCAATTTGTTGAATTATCAACAGATCAGATCTAGTACCACAACGCCGGGCTTCGCTTCAACACCAGACTTTTATACTCCAACGGCACACACTACCCAAGTAGGTAATGTGCACAGCATATATGACATATATCTGCGTGTTACATTGATATATGTACCAAAGACTCGATTTTCCAGAAGCGCACCTAAGGTATCTAATGTCCATTCATCGTGCCGCTTTATGCAAAATACTACTATCCCGTAGGCCATCCACAAAACGCCACCCTCGGATATATATCATAGATAGGGTATATACACACTATCTTCAAGGCTCGGCGCTCGATGGCGTTACATAGCCCGAATCTGGGCTCTCATGACTTGGACTTTTCTCAGCTTTCAGCTCTGACGACTTCTCAACCGATGATTTATCGCTTTCGGCATCACTCTTCTTTTGGTCGGCTGCTTCGGACGAAGCTGAACTGGCTATTGGTTCTGCCGTCTTCTTCTCACCCTCCTTTTTGGCCTCTTCCGCCTCCTTATCCTTCTCCTCCTTCTTTTCTTTCTCTTTTTTCTCTTTCTCTTCCTTCTCCTTTGCCTCTGCTTTCCGTTTCTCTTCGGCCTCCTTGAGCTCCTTCTCTTTGCGGTCTTTCCGAGTTTGTGTAATGAATTCGTCTACGTTCGCAATAGCATCTTCAGCGCTGCGCTTGTACTTCATGAGATACCCTTGGATTTCCGCAGGACTGAATTCGTGTGCCGGCATCTTAGCAGAAAATTCATCTGCTAAGGCATTCACACGAGCATCATCAGCTGCTCGCTTTCTGGCCTTCTCTGCCTCGAGTTTTTCTCTTTCATCCGGATGGATAGGTGCGTCTGCAGAGTTGTCGGGGCCCTCATCACCATCTAAGCTTGCAAATATGGCACGGAAGATGGCCGATATCATTCCTTCGTCTGCTAGGCCAAATTTCACGATCATATCAACACGCCCAGGGCGGATTAACGCCTTATCCAGCTTTTCGAGGTGATTAGTAGTCATAATCAATACACGACCTTCCTGAGAGGCAACACCATCTAGGATATTGAGCAATCCGGATAAGGAGAGCCTCCCGTTACTGTTGTTTCCGTTGCCTGTAGTAATTTGGCCGGGAACCATATCCGAATTTTCATTTGACTGATTCTGGATTTCTTCGCGAGTATGAGTAAGACCAGCCGTGTCGATATCCTCGAGGAGCACAACGCAGCGACGAGGAAGCTCAGCAAACAGGGACGCTAGACTCTCTTCGTTTGCTGTGATGGAGCTCAGACTAACGATGTAAATCCTCATCTTGAAAAATCCGGCTAGAGCAAGGCTGAGCGAGCTCTTGCCTGTGCCAGGAGGACCATATAGCAGGTAACCACGCCGGTATGGAATACCCCTATTTGCATACCAACGCTGTGTTGCAGGGCAGAGATAATCGGCAACATCATCGATGAGATTTTGCTTCGTCTTCTCGTTTAAGATCACCGTCGAAAAAGGACGAGAAGCACGAGACATACACCTTTGCCAGGTCGGCTCAGTAGATGCTGGCCTAGATGTTCCGCGGTATATCTGGGTCTTCCGCTCATCTTTTTCCAAGTACATTTGACGGGCTTCCAGGAGAAGCTCCTTTAGAATCCAGGGGTTCCGGCCAAAGCACGAAATAGATATCTCTTCGCGTTCGCTAACAAGCATAAAAGAGTTTTGCTCTCTATTCGCTGTCCGGCGAAATAGAAGAAAGCGACCCCGATACCAGAAGTAGTGACTACCAAAAGAGGGAGTGTATGCCAAACCCTTCTTTTTTCGTGCATGGGTTGTTTCACCAGTCTCTTCCTCCTCCTCCTCCTCGTCATTGTCGAACCATAAAAACCAGCTTCGAGAGTTCAGGTTGGTGTTGACAACAAATCGTCGTGCACCCCGAGAGAACTTTTGCTTGGCTACCCAGGCCATAAGGATGTTGTAGATCTCGTCATCTGTTCGGATGTCGACAACAGACATAAGATGGGACTCGACTTTATCCCACAAGTATGAACTTACGTAGTTCCATACGAGTGTCAAGGCGCCTATAACAAGTAACAGTGGGATATATACGTTAAGGTCGATGTGAAGGTACTTGTGTACCGCGCCAGCGAAGACGGAAAATCCAGGAAAGAATATGTCGAGTATCGCTAACTGGGGCGACTGCGTAGTCCCAAAAGCGGAAGTTGGACCGGTGGACTGATTGGTCCAAGCAAACGGCTCTTCAGGAGTCGCCATGATGGTCGACAAGAGACCTAGCGATAACGCCTGACCAGGAAAGATAAGTGAGAAGCTGAGGACTGACAAGATTGCAGGACACAGCGAATTATGACCTTGTTCCGATGTGACTCTCGTTTATCCCGGGTTCTAAAGGGGTGTTTATGTTTGTATACGAGATCACTGTTGCTGCTAGAAGAAATTTGCCTGTGCAAGGACGTGGCAACGATGGAAGTTTATATCCATCTCACATTCTCTAAAGCTTGAGGCAACCAAAGGAAAATTTTAATCAAAAATAAGATGCACTCAGCGTTATGACATGCATCTTCCCAATCTGACTCTGAGAGGTGGGAGGAGAGAGGATCCTTAGCCATGAAGGGAATGATTGGTTGACTCAGACCGTAGCGTCAGTTCTTCAGTGGCTGTTAACACTGCACGGAACCAGCAACTGGATCAGAATAGCCGGATGACCAGGGGCGGTGTAAGACTCATCGGCAACCCAAGAATTAGCTGAGCCAAACAAACGGATGCTAAGATACCTACCTAGGTATGCACTGTATGCAGGTCTTGAACTGGTTTAGCAAGTGATGGATCAGGCAAAACCGAGACGTAAATTGCGGCGCGACGACTTAACAGGTACTCATCTTTGAAGACAGGTACCTAATTACAGTTATTAGGTACTTTTACTCGTTCTCTTTTCTCATGACTATCTGAACTTGGTAGCCTAAACTCCGACGATTAGTGAAAGTGAAAGATTTCACTAGGTTTCGCTGATGAGTTAGACAGGCAGACAAGGAACAAGAAGAGAGAAGACTGCCTGACATACGAAACAACAAATTAGAGGCCATTGCTATACCGCCAAGGGCATCCAAGCCTTGAGGATTACCTAGTTGCAGATCGGGTTCACAGTTCATTGATACAACATTTGGCCTTCTAATCCACCCCAAATTTGAGCCTCAACGTCGCTGTCAGCATCTATTTAGTGGCGGGGGTGGCTAGGTACTCCAATCGCGGCTAGAAAATAAAAGAGAAAAAAAAAATATATACTAGGTATATACTACCTAACGACATAATAATAAGAGGCATAAGTAACTAGGTAGGTAATGCATCCTGCATTGAGGTATCAGGTAGTTAAGTCAGCCGACCTAACTTATCAAGCCCAGCTTTGTCGGGTAGACCGTAGGACTTCTCACTTCTCGGGAAGCAACCAACCCAGAACATGAACGGTCGGCAACACATGTACATAGCTTACCTGGCCCGCCTGTCTGCCTATTCGCCTTGCCTTGTTCCCCCGGGGGGGGGGGGGGGGGGGGGGGTGTGTGGCTTGGCTGCCTGTCCTTTATTGAGGGTCCCGTTTTTTCTAAGCCGCGGACAACAATGATGGAGTGAAGAGTTGAGCAAGAGACAGATGGTAGGGTACAGTAAGGCAAGGCAATAAAAATCTGGAGCGGCCCGTACTATGTAAGCGCATGCACGAACTTTTAGGCTCCCATCCGCTCTACTCATTTTTTTTTCTGATCAGGGTCTAATAAATGCAAACGCACTTCACCGAAAAGTGTCTTTCTTTCTTTCTTACTTGCTTCAATGCTTGCATTAGTTTAGTTAGAGGTTAGTTAATTACCTCGGTAACCTAATTTCGTTTTGTTGCCATCAAGAAATGGCACGAGATGACATGACATGACGTTTTCTTTCGTAGGGGTAGTAGAGGTAGGTAGGTATCGAACGGAGTATTGCACGATGCAGTCAGTTTATGCAAGTCGGGAATATACCTTAGGTACCACCTAACCTACCTACCTAAGGTACGCACGCAACGGCATATTTCGGAGTATCGGACTGCTAGTTCAGGTCTCATCTACCTGTATAGCACTGCCTCTTATAAGTCTTTTAACCATAGATTTTAGTCTTTAGATAGTGACTCTAGTTCAGGTCCGTATCCGTGTCAAATAGTAAGACCACGATCCTTACTAGATCAAGCTAGGAGGTAGTTAAAGAGGTATGTAGTAGTATATGGAAACCCAGTCTCCAATGAATCCTTACGGACGTGCATACCCGCCTTCTTCTCCGGACAAAGCCCAGTAGGGCAGGTCTGAATGACTATGACTAACTTGCCAGCTTCCTCACTTACCTCTTCCTTCATCTGGCTTGTCTTTCGAGTCTCGGATAGGCTACCTCCTACCCACCTACTCAGCTTGTCAACCTATTGAGGTTCCCCAGAACTAGAGATACTATTAGTTACGACGGTTGACAACTGGCAATCGCTTACTGCTGCTACCGCTGCTGCTGCGATGACTACCTCCTAACATTTGCTAGCTAACGCGGTGGAGTTTGACAAGAATGAATAGTTATTGAATTTCACTACCTATCGTTTATCCCAGACCCAAGATTTGCTCCTCTGTGCGCCGCTTATTGGGTATATCTTTTTCTTTTTATTTTCTTATTTATTTTCGGTTCCGAGGAGCGACTATTGTCCTCGTATAACTGGTGACTGTTGTTCATCATTATCATCATCATCATCATTGTCTTGTCTGTTGTTTCTGTTGCTGTTGTTTGGTCCTCTGCAATTCGTTGTCGCAGGACTGGTTGGTTGGTTGGCTGGCTGAATAGGTATGACATGGCGTAAATCCATACATGAATACATAAATACAAACCGAACAATTCATCTCCCTCCCTCCCAATAAGAAGTTCTCGTAAACGCCGTGCATACCCAGATTAAAAACAATTTAAATTTTAAAATTAAAAGCAAAAAGCCGCACAAAAGCCGCTAAGTGAAGAAAAAAAAATAGGTAAGCATAGAATAGGAACATTCCAGTCCAATCCACTCCGTAAAACTCCTGAGATCCTAGGTCATCTGTAGGTAGGTACCTAAAATAGGTAAACATCGCAGTAAAGGCGTTCTTCTTTTTTTTTTCTCTTCCCACGCCACTGGCGTCTCACCGGATTAGATTAGATCAGGTAGGCGTGGGCCATTAACAATTTAATCGTAAACACGTACTCCGGGACCGTAGCCGGCGTCGTGGCCCCAGACGGGATCGCCTTGGGGCGGCGGCGGCGGACCGCCAGGCCCGCCGAGCTGGATGAACCCTCCTTCGAACCCAGCGCCCGCGGGTGCAGGTGGTGGAGGAGGGGGAGGGGGAGGACCACCATGAAAACCTGGGTGGAACGGAGGCTGAGGATAAGGTTCCTGAAGGAAGGGCTCCTGCTGGAACTGCTCCTCGTCGTCGAACTGCTGCTCCTGGTGATAGTACTGCGGCTGGGCACTCGCAGGACGCTGCTGGAACCGCGGGTCGGGCTGGAAGTGACCTGGTCTCCCGGGATCCGCATTCGCGCTGGCCATGCTCGAGCGGGAGCTGGAGCGGGAGCTGTGCGTGCTGCTGCGGCCCGGCCGCGCGCGCGAGCTCGTCTGCTGGCGCTTCTTCTTGTAGAACTGGGCGAACGGCCCGCTCAGAATGTGCGCGGCGAACTTCCTGCGCGAGTCGTCGCGGTCGTCGACGTACCGCGTCACGGCGCCGCCTACGCCGTAGAATCCGTAGGGGTCGTCCCTCCAGACGAAGGAGTCGGACTCCGAAATCGACCAAACCGAGTACGCCGAGTTGGCGGACCCGGAACGGCTCGAATAGAACGAGGACGCGTCCGAGCCGAAGGACCCGTTGCGTCGAAGTTCTGGGCGGTGGTTCATGGCTTGTTTGGTGATTGGCAAGCAGGCTTCCTTTTATATCCAAGAATTGCTGGCTTGTAGTCTTGCAGTGGCGAACGTTTGATGATGACAGCCTTGTCCTGGGCTAGAAGGTTGTCTTAGACAAGGATCAACCCTGTAACCAAAACGAAGATATAAGTCTTTGCTCAAAGGTAGGTATATATGTGGTAGGACTGGTCACACTTTGCAAGAGTGGCGAGAGTGTCGCTCGATAGTGTCAAAAGTGAAGAAAAGAAGATAAAACGAGGCAAGAAGTCTTTAAAGTCCGGGGATGGGCGCCTGGTTTGTATACCTAGGGGGCCAAGGGGGGCGACATAAAACACCGTTAAATATCATCTAGGACTGTGTAAGTACAATGTATTATATCTTCTATACGTACCTAACCTAAGTAGATACTAGTAGGCGTGAAGAGAAAATCTATCCTTCGTTAAGAGGCTCACAGGCAGGGTAGAGTTGTCCTGCCTATCAGAAGGGTCGATCGTAGTGCTCGGGCGACGTCTTCCTGCAGGTTATGCGTCCGCTATACGCCGCGATTGGGGATTGGCGGGGAGGAGGAAGCGTGCAGGGAGGATAAGCCACGGTGAACACAGAGATCGATTCGACGGGAATTGGCAGCAAAAAAATAAAACGCTAGCTTAGCTGCAGACGGGTTCCCAAGAGGTAAGACCATTTTTCCGCAATAGTAAAGATGAACATTTCACCAGAGATCCGAGAAAAAGGGGGATCTGTGGACGAGAAAGACTTTTTTCGTGATGCTCTAGGATAACGGCAGCAGCCTCGTTGCTTCACGGCCAGTCGGTGACGTGACGCCCGCTTCAGGATCCCCTGTTTGCCCTGCTTCTCCCTACGGAGGGAATGGGACGCTGGCTTGCATACATAACACATACCTACATACATGACATAGCATGACATGGCTACACCTAAACGACTCGGCTGACTCTGACGAACTAGGACTCGAGAATATCACCTCGCCCCGTTTCTTGGGTTCGAGGAAAATTTGGGGTTTCTGTGGCAGACGAGGATAAATGAAACATCACCAAAGCACCTTCGCCGAAACCACTGACAGACTGAGCCTCATCCGCCCGGCTTGCTAGGTGGAATTCCGGGGAAACCCAGCTCATTCGGGAATAATAGGCCCTCCACTCCCCCTTTCGCCTCGTCCCCCACGCAGTCTTGGTTCTTAGTTCATCCAAGAAGGATTCTTACCACGCCCGAGCGAGCGGGTGGGTGGGTTAATAGAACCAAGATAAGAATGGGGGAGGGAAAGGGGTGAATATCTCCAAGTCATCAAACCCTGAAGATTACATCGCACCAAAATGATTGGTAATTAAAATGCCCCGAAGACACCAAAGTAGGGTAGCCTTTTCGACTTCTGGGGTGCAGTTGGCGACACACGAGAGAAGGCTTCACGATTATGCGACGGTGTGTAGTAGTAGCCTAGCTTACTCTTGCACAAAAGAAAAACAAGCAAATAAAAGAAGAAGAAAAAGAAGGAAAAAGAAAAGTGAAGCTTACCTTGGTTTGCCTTGCATCTTACATCTTACATCGTACATGTATGCGCATCATTCTACATGTTCCGGCCAGGCTTTGGGTCCCTCCGATTTTCGACATGTCAATTGAGCCACGACATTGGTGGTATTTATTTTGGGCGAGGACGGCTTATATGACGAAAGGTCGTATTGCCCACGAAATCAGAGTTGTGATATCTGATATCGTATCTCGTTCTCCGTTCCACTTGCAACTCACTCGCACTCGGGATTATCTTCATTCATTGACGATAACAGTTACATTCAGCATAAATAAACAATCTCAGCCATTCGGATTAATTGGTAACACAACCTCTTACCTCATCGTAATGCTTAATCTGAACAACATATCATGAAGGGATGACAACTATATCCGCATAAGCCACCATTTATAGCGAAGCCTCCTGTTTGTCAGTATTAGGCTATCATCATTTTGCTCTGCTTTGGCGGTCGTATACCTCCCCTTACACGACCGCAAAGCTCAAGCAAAACATTAGCAGCCCACTCGAAATCCGAGCGGTCGAGATAGATTTGGCTGGAGATCCTAACCCAGAACGCGCCGGCGTAGAATCTCGTCGCTATGAACGTCTCGTATTCTTCCACAGTCATTTTCGTAATCCAATCAGCTATTGCTTGCCCATCTCGGGCTAGAACTTGACCCGTATGTTTCTCCTGTGGTCTTTCTGCTACTACGTCCAAGGGTAGTCTCACGTTAGTGAAGAAAGAATCTCGAAGAGTTCCCGCTCGGTTCTCGAGAACTTCTGTTCCCATGATCGCCGCCATCAATTCGCCGCCTTCTTTGGCCAGGTTCACGCCGTACTTGCGCACGTTCTCCTCGCCGCCGCAAACTTGGTCTCTGAATTTAAGTGCTTCTGTCACACAGATGTACGGAGTAGTATCAATGGTGGATACTTTTTCAAACAACTTGACAAAATAGTTTCTCTCAGACGTCTCCGTTCTGGATTCGACTGGTTGATAGCCTTCGCCGGTGGGGTAGGACGTCTTAATTAGAGTCTGATTTTGATAAGGTACGTAGAGCACCGTGCATCCACGTGGTACCATAAGCCACCTATAAAAAGGATTTCAGCTTGCAGAAGGTCTCAGAACTAACGGTGGTTATGTATGAGGTGGCTAAAGCGTTGCATAAGAGCGCTTAGGAACTATCATGTAAGACAACGGATGAACTCACTTATAGCAGTTGGTAATGAAGAAATCTGGTCCAACACGAGATGTGTGTCGCAAATCGATATGGCCTATCCCATGCGCACCATCTATGCAACTCAGAATTTCATATTCTCTGCATATGGGCACAAGTTTTTCCCACGGGAAACGTACTCCAGGAAAGGTGAGGACAGTGTCAAACAAAGCCAGCTTAACCGATTTGCCGTGGCTCTTGACCTCGAGGATTGCGGAGCGAAACTTATCGAGGATTTCTTTATCCTCAAGCGGGTATACTAACTCAACGCAATGTCCCCTAACTCCGGTAGTCTCTTCTAGAGACTGGACCGTCTTGTGACATGCGTCGTATATCGTACTAAAATATACTATGACGTCGCCATCGCGATAGGCCAGGTTCCTCAGGACGGTATTGATTGCCGTCAATGCGTTAGGGACAAAAACAACTTCGTCTGTCTCTGCTCCCAAGAGCGGGGCAACAGCTTCCCTTGCTTCCCGCAGAAGTTCAGGATATACAAAACGTATGAATGTATCTGGCCTCTCCTCCGTTTCGCGCTGCAGCCGCAGCTGATGCTCTCTAACACACGAGGGGAAAGATCCGAAGGATCCGTGGTTTAGCGGAGTGTACGAAGGAGCAAAGTTGAAGTGAGCTTGGCGCATTTGCTTCCCAAAGGATACCATCGCCGGTGTTATTGATGGCTCATCGTGAGGCGTTTCCATATTGTAACTTAGACTCACGTGGTCTCGATAGTGAAGAGTTGTGGTAACATTCAAGCTTGATATTTCTGACTGCGACTCGGGTGTCCAAGTGGATGTTGAAACTACTATTCAGAGCAGCTCACGCCATGATCATTGGCTAAGGCGTGAATGATGTAATCAACCATAAGCATCCTATACTTGGTATGCGTGTCTGGGCGTCCCAAACCGACGTCGGCTTATACAGAACTGCACTGAATCACACTGAACTACACTGAATTACACAAGCTTGGTCTCACCAAATATAGGAATATTCATGTTTAAGAGGTAGATCCTTAACCGCCACAACTTGCCGTGGACGAATACGACTTAAGATTGTTGCAGAGCTTTCAGCAGGTTTTCAGCAGGTGCTATAGGAATGGGGCTTATTGGTGGAGGATTTGTGAGCTGTAGCCATGGCATTAGAAATCAAAAAGAAAAAGAAAAAAAAAAGAAGGAAGGAAAATATGAGGTATACCTGGTAAGGTAACCACATGTGTTCAAAGTTCCCGGGTATATTCGACAACCTAGGTAGGAAAGTACAAATACTACCTAACATCTAAACATGGAAGGTACCAAGATCTAGGTAGCTAGCGTGGTTTTTAAGGAAACTTTAATACATCGGACTCCCCTTCCTATTCCGTACGGGAAACGACGTGCCGTGTACATAAGGAGATCGATATATTGTCCCTAGTAACCTTGGTTTGATGCATCACATACTATGGAACTTGGCTTTTTCAGTGACCTCCCACTCCACCACGTAAAAGTTATGATGCATTGTGTATAAGGTAGCAAGAATACCTAATGTATGTGCGTTAGTTATTGAATCTTTATTGTCAGGCTAGGTTAGGTTAGGTATGTGTCTAGATCGTATTAAGCTTTGTTTATATCACTCAAGTAAATACCTCTATATGCATACCTTAGGTAATTGAGAGTCACCAAGCGTTCCTGCTTTTCGTTTTCTGTAATGCCCAGTTAGTTATGCATTAGCAGGCGCCTAAAGACGCTTGACCCGCTTCTAGGGAATAAGTGCCGGATCGCCGCCAACCTGCATCAACTATCCAACTGGTACCTATGAAGCTTCTTGTCCTACATGGATACCATTTTAAACTTTATTTCTTTGTGGCTACCAAAGGGAAGCCAACTGCACGATGCTAGCTATATCGTGCCATATCGTGCTTATCATGCCGATTGTGTCGTATAAGAGCACCGTAGGTAGCTCTTTGATGGAAAGTTCCGAGCAAATGGCATTGACCGTCCGTCACTCCAGCACGCATGGAGGAGCATTTGCCACAATCGATACATATAGTATTTAAATAATCAGAACGAAGAAAGAGAACGAGAACAAGAAAACGAAAAAAGGTCCCATGCTTGACTCCACTTCGTCTGGAACGCTAGAAGAATACTATGTGGTAGGTATATCGTCCGGTTGTATTATTGCTAATACCTTAGTCTGCACCCAACCGAGATCCTACCCGCACACCCCCTCGCATTTTTTCTTTATTGTTCTGTCTACGGCCTTCGTGCCGTGCGTCGTCCCGGGAGTATTCTCGCAACACAAAATAGCCTTAACTGGTTGTAAGGAATATGTGGTCTCCGGGACATATTACCGTCGATGCAGGCCACTTTTTAATTACTTACACATAATATCCTTCTGGTGCTATCTGGCAGCGGCATGGTGAATTCCGATGGATGAGAGATCTAAATTCGAACGACGAAAAAAAATGAAGAAGAAAAAGAAACCTCTGGGGAACTCTCTCTGACCTGTCAAAATGAGGTGCCATGGTCTATGATCCATGGTTTAAGGCTTATGGTTCGTAGCTCGTGGCAGCGACACTCACCACTGGACTCTGGAGGATGATATGAACGGGGCTATGGTTAAAGACACGGCTCTCGACTTCTTAAACTCTCCCCGTGCCCCTTTGTCCTTCTGCCTTCGCACATTTAACAATAACCTAAAGTGCCATCGCCAAGAGATCAAATGGCGCACCGATGGTGATGAGGAAGGAAGAGCACATGGGGCGAGGCCAACCGATCGACCCGGTTACTCCTCTTAGTAGATTTCGATATAATATAACTTTACGTATAAAGAGAGATCAACTATGAGGTAGTTGGTATGACCGGTATGTGTGGTATGTGAATGGATAGTAATAGTATAACTGGGAAAAGGTACAGGTAGGTACATACCGTACATGTTCAGTTATATGTGTGTACCTAGCGGGCCAATGAGGGTTTAGGTTGGCACCTATGACTCCCTCGAAGGTACGGCACTAGGCATTGAAGTCTTTGCTCAGGCTTGCCCAGTGCCCACCCCTCCTAGAAGTCCGAAACTCGCTAGTCCCATTATCGGGCTTCTGATTCGCGGTGGCACTACTAGGGGGCCTACATAGTGCTGGGGTTCGGCACAAGGCCAGGAAATCCACTAGGAACTGCACTAGGAACTGCACTAGGAACAGTAACAGACAGGAACTATTGTTTTCTACTCGCCGGGTTTTGGGGGTTTTTATTCACTTGTCTTACAACACGGACAACGGACAACGGACAACTTGCAATTGGGATTTTGGGATTCTTGAATCGACCGGACTCGATAGAACCTCACAACTAGCGAAGAAACATCACGAAACAGGCCGGCACATTTTTTTTCGTCCACCTACCCGATGATCTTCTGGGCATAGGATCGTCGTTAGCCGTGCTCCTGATGCTGCACTGGCATCTCTGCCCATTCCTTGCGCGTAAAACACCAATTCCCTCGCATCACCACCGGCATGGGGACTTTCGACGACAGTAAATCGTCCGTATTGACCCGCGGCTCCTCGCTGAGAGCATCTGCGAGGCTTTCTACCTCTCAAGGAGACGATGACGACTATGACTTGCAGGCCATGGCAGTAGCCGACGGATTTCACCCAGTAGTAGATGCGACAAACACGCAAATCCCAAGATCCGCGACGACGCCGCAAGATGTACCGATGGCTCAAATACCACCACCGCGTCCATCAAGTATTACAAAACCTCGTCGATGGAGCGGATCTCTGGCTTTGCAAAACGACGGGTCGCCGTCTGAGTCGGATAGTGGTAGGTCGTTAAGTAGAGTCTCGAGCGGTTCCACCGTGTCGCCGTTTGTTGACTCTGAAGACCCGTACGACGGTCCATCCGGTCCTTCTCACCCGTATCAGATGTATCCCCAGGACGTTCGAGTAGTACGAACGGCAAGCCTAGCGACAACGTCGACTGCACCTGTTTCTGAGCGGTCGTACAATGGTCCTCGCGGGCCGGCGCATCCGTACGGCATGTACCCGCAGAACACCGTTCCTACTGCTGAAACGGGTGGAATATCTAGCAGGCCAGTACAAGCGGATATTAACGTCGGTTTCCCTGGAACGACGGACAATTACCAGAGAAGAATTGGACCGGATGGAGAGGACGTGGCCGATTTGATTGGTCCTGATGGCCATACGGAACAGCTACCCCCTTACACAAGATACCCGGAAGAAGCGTATACTAGAAAGGCATTAGGAGTCGAACTACGGCCGGCGCCTGTGCAGCCAATGCTGGCCATCCCGGGCGCCGGAGGAATCGGAATGGCTACTCGAAATCCCGAATTCGCGTCTACTGAGGATCTGGGCAGGTTATCTTCACCTCAATCTAGACAGTCTATTAGAAGTTTTGCATCTGAGACCAGCCGGAATGAATTAAACACCACCACTACACATGATACTACACATGATTCGGAAATCATAGAGGAAAAAGAGTCACCGAAGGGTTGGCATTTTACTGCGAAAAGGAGGGTATGGGGTATTGTTCCATGCTGGGCTATTGTCTTGGCTGCCATTGTTCTCGTCTTGATGGGAGTTATTCTCGGCGCTGTCATTGGGACTCTACTTCGCTCCGCTTCGAAGAATAAATCACACCAGGATAAGTAAGGGACTCCTTCTGGTTTGTATTATTTGAGTTTCAAATGCTAATTTTATGCTTAGGCCGCATTTACCAATAATGAATCCGGGCAACTGGGATACAGAACCCCTTAGCACCCTACCCTCTGATTTACCCCCCCTACAAGAAGGGGATTTTTCCCTTCCTCTTCGGAATAGTCGAATGTCTAATACCTGCTTTAGCGACTCGACCTTAGCTCAAGCGTGGAACTGCGACCTCTTCTTCTTCCAGCTTGGCATGAAAATCAGGAGAATACCTGGTCAACCGGAAACGTCCGACTATTCCCTCCAGTTTTCCTACAATGACAGCGCCACCTTGCACAACAATATGTACCTTTGGGGGATGCAACCACCTGAATTAACTGACGTGAGACTGAAGCTTGTCAATGATCTACGTGAAAGCCCTCGAGGCCCGGCGTGGAATTTCGAAGTTGCCTATAACAAAACCGTCATTGTGCCTGACCAGGCTCTGACAACTAACACATCCTCTTCCTCATCTATTAAAAACCGCCGGCGGACGTTGTATGGCGGTGGGCCCAACCGCAAAGGTGCCCAAGTCGGAGATCGTATATGGATATGCCACTGGGACAATACCATTTTAGAGGCTTTTATCTACGCAAATCAGAGTAACAGTATCAGGCCGATGACAAGTCCCCCGTTGCCCGCAACGACTGTGGGCATCTCTAGTGGATTAACCACAACATCTAGCGCCGCCGTCACTGGACCTCCGGGGGAAATTATTGAAAACGGCGGCGAGCTAAGACCCTCTGACATTTTCAATGGCGGACCCCAGGATCACCATGCAACTACCGCGAGTTCAGATAGTACCCCGAACCCCACCATTACTTCTTCAACTCCTACACCCAGTGGTATATCTGACCAAGATTTCCCCATGCCTAAGAATTATCCCCCCGTATACCCCCGGGTCATTAAGGTCGAGGAGCATCGTAATACCGGTCCGTCGATCCCCAAACCTTGGTGCCGCCAGTTTCAGATCAATAGCGACAACAGAGCAGAAGCAGTGAAAGTAAATGGAAAAGACGTTGATATTATTATCGACGAAGATGAAGGAGAGTTTGGGCCAGGACCCTTGAAAGACATCATTATCGAGCGCCACCTGGAAGACGGTCGCAGCATCAAAATGGGAAGCGATATAAGCGATTGCGGCTGCATGTGGTGGCTCTCCTGAAGCGTGATGAATTATATACGATGTCAAAAAAGCTCTTTTTTTTTCATTTCTCAACTCTTCGAGCGACTTTTTGAGCGAAGAGAATACGAATTTTCTCTTGTTAATACCTAGCATGATTATCTGGAAAAGAGGGGCGCATATACGTTCTGGCGTTAACGGGAACTTGAGGTTTGCACGGCAAACGGTATTTATATTATCCATCATTGGCTTCCGAGGGGAAGGGGAGGGAGACGGGGAACAAAATAAGCGGGTAAATTTCTATTTCCGCTTCTCCGTCAACCCCTTTTCACACTTATTACTCACGGGTGCGTTTCTGGGCTACGGCGTTGGGATGGGTATACAACCTGATGAGTGAGAGTGAGATGCGTTTTCCTTGCTGCGACTATTGATAGGATTTAGGATTTGGGGAGCGGCATTTCCTCACATACACATATAAACATCTAACTTCAACCATACATCTGCCATATATATATACTTTATATATATATTATGCTATAAGGTAGTTATAGTTATATAGGTCATCTATCGAGATACTTGGTACAGACAATATTGGCGGACACTTTTTGTATATTATATAGGTAAACATTGAAGCGATGAACTTAGGAGCTAATGGTGTAGGGCATTGGTAATTCGTGAGTATGACTGGATCCGTATGTTGTGTACATACGGTTGTAGTAGCAAATGAATTAATGATATTTGACTAGATGTCCTACCTCACACAAGAGAGAAATGGCTTATATACATATAATGACAACATGAGAAAATGCTGCAATTAAATTAAATTAGTGCGTACCTAGCTCTTCTACTCGATAAGACATATTATTGTCGAATATATTAGTAGCTACCTATCTAGGTTAAGTAGGTAGTATTAATGGTATTTCGTATAGAGGTATTGAAGCAGAAATGGCTATAGTCGCTTATACTCTTTCTAATAAACGGGGATAGTTATTAGTTTCTATCATCTTATATACTTTTCACTAACAGCAATAGTAGTGTTTTGGACATGACAAAAAGGGGTATCTTGTATTTATCTAGCTTCATAGTTCTAACTAATAGGTTACCTAGGTAGGTTTCATGATTTCATGTTCTGTTGTAACTAACTAATCTAAACTCGTCTGTTTTCTTTGAGTTTTCAAAAGCCATTCCCGTAGCAATAGTCCCCCTCTTCTCGGCTACTAGACGCCTGAGAACGTAGTTCTTGTTTTATTAGTATATGTCCCCAAAAGGGGGGTTGGGTTATTGGTCGTGTCGGCATCACTGTCGACTAAGCGCTCTGCTGGGACTTTTGTAGTCCCGTAGCTTTGCCTACTCGAACACTGGCGGCTATGCCGGTCCCTAACGACAACAGGGCCATGTTGCGGTCATCGAATATGGGATATAATAGTAGTAGTGCAACATCAAGAATCAGCATCACCCTGCTCCTTTCCCTCAGACTCTTTCCCTTTCCCTTTCTCCTGTCCCTTCCCCTCCCCTTCAACACCCGTACTCGAAGCGCTCATCTCCCCCGCTAACCCATCCAAAAAGCTCTCCGCCAACTTCTCCGCGCGCCTCTCTCCAATCTTCTTCCTCCGCTCCTCAATCTCCCTCCTCCTCCGGTCCTTCTGTTCCTCCCTCTCCCTCCTCGCCCGCTCCGTCCTCTCCCGCTCCCGCTCCAGCTCCTCCATCTGCCCCCTCCGCACCTCCGCCTCCTGGCTGAACTGGTAAAACCCGACCCCCTTCGTCCGTATCTCCGCCCGCCCGTCGAAGTGCGTGTCCGGCGGCGGCGTCGGCGACTTGTCCCGCTTCGCGGCCAGATCCGCCATTTTGCTCAAGGTGTCGTCCTCCGGGTTGAACGCCCCCGACTGGATCACGTCCCCGAATATCAGCCGCTCCGGCGCCTTGACGGGCTTCGCCGCCATGCTCTCGAGCTCCGCGGCCCCGAGCGCCATGCGCTGGCGCCGGCGGTCCAGGCGCGCGACTTCGGCGCGCGTGGCGCGGCGGGTCCGGCCGAATTCGTCCTTGTACTCGACCATCTCCTGGTCCACTTCGTCGTCGTCGTCATCGTTATCCGTACCGGAACTCGAGTACGCGTTGTTGGTGTTGTTGTTTTCGCCCTCGGGATGCCGCTCCGCCCACTTCCGATCGAAGTCCACCAAGGGGGCTGCTTCGCCCTCCTTCGCGATGTAGTCCCCGCGCTTCATGGCCGCGTACAGCCGGGCCTTCTCCTCCATCTTCCGCCGCGCGCGCGCGAGGTCGTGTTTCTCGTCTTCGGTGCCGCGGACGTCTTTAAGTTGGAGCTTTGCTCCTCCTGCTGCTCCGCTGTTACTGCCATCTTTATCCGTGGGGGCCGCCGCTTTCCGCTTCGCTTTTACGGAGAATATGTCGTCTTTGTTTTTGTTAGGGCGGGGGCGACCGAACGCCGCTGTGGAGGAGGAGGCTGCTACTGATGATGACGGGTCGGAGGTGGAGGTGGAGGTGGAGAGGAGGGAGGTCAGTTGTGAGGCGAAGTCGAGGGAGCTGGAAAGCGGGATCTCCTTCTTTTGCCGTTTGGCGGGACGTTGCCCGTATAGGTTCGGATCTTGCGGCATTCTAACTAAGGCAACTAACAGATACCTAATTAAAACCGGGATTGTATTATACGCGAAAGTCGATAAATTCCACGGGGTGTCGGGTTCTGGTTGTTCGGGATGTGAAAAGAAAAAAGAAGTGTTGTAATAGCTAATGCCGTTTGATGAAGTGAGGGATGGCGCTAGCAGCCAGCTTATACGTAAGATTAGGTACCTTAAACACCTAACGTAGTACCTATGTAGCTTCCCATGTTCCAATTGCCCCACTTGAGTCCACTATATTTTATACTATGGAGGCCCTTCAAATGCCCCGCGACAAACCGCAATCGGCCTTGCGTCTTCATAAAAATTACCCCACGTCCCGACTGAAAGCTTGCAAAATATTAGGTACCACCGCCTACAAGTTGAAGCACAAGTTTCTTCGAAATATAACGATTGTCTAAACTAACAGTATGGCGGCAACTAACAAGGTATTTGTTGCCATTATCGGTGAGCTACGAATTGAAAAGAAACAGTTCAATCGGTCCAATTGGCTAATCTATTTACTGTTCAAAAGGCGCTGGAGGGGTTGGAAAGTGCTTCCTTTCCCAATTTGAAGCTCTCGCCAAAAGACGACCGACCCCCAAGTTGAACCTCTGCTATATTTCGACCAGCAAGAAGGCACTTTTCAATGGCGACTACTCCGTAGCCACCGAGAACGTTCTTCAGGAACTCGCCGCTTCGACTAAGTCGCCCTTGGACTTGCCCCAGGTGGCCGATTACCTAGCTGCGGCACCGTCGAAGGTTATTCTTGTGGACAACACTAGTTCTCAAGATGTAGCTGATAGCTATCCTCTCTTTTTAAGCCGTGGCATCAGCATCGTTACACCAAACAAGAAGGCCTTCTCGGGTTCTTACAAGCTATGGCAAGATATCTTCACGGCAGCTGCTACGTCCGGAGCTAAAGTGTACCACGAATCCTCTGTCGGAGCTGGTCTCCCTGTTATCTCGACGCTCAAGGACCTTGTGGAGACTGGCGATGAGGTGACTAAGATTGAAGGTGTATTCAGCGGCACAATGTCCTTCCTCTTCAACTCTTTTGCTCCGGTCGAGGGTTCTGGTGGCCAATGGTCTGCCGAAGTCAAGAAGGCCAAGGAATTGGGCTACACAGAGCCAGACCCTCGGGACGATCTAAACGGACTTGACGTGGCTAGGAAGCTGACAATTCTCGCGCGATTAGCCGGCCTCCCTGTCGAATCGCCCACCTCATTTCCCGTGCAGAGTTTGATCCCGAAGGAATTAGAATCTGTCGCCAGTGGTGACGAGTTCTTGCAGAGACTGCCCGAATTCGACTCTCAGATGGAGGAGACCAAATCCGCAGCGGAAAAACAAGGCAAAGTGGTTAGGTTCGTGGGAAGTATCGACGTAGGTGCCAAGGCCGTCAAGGTCGGACTTGAGACCTTCGACAAATCGCACCCAATTGCGGCCCTCAAGGGAAGCGACAACATTATTAGCTTCTACACCAAGAGATACGGCGCAAACCCTCTAATCATACAAGGCGCAGGCGCCGGAGGAGAGGTAACGGCAATGGGGGTCACCAGTGATCTGATCAAAGTACTGTCCCAAATATCGTAGTGGAGGAAGAGATGATACGAGAATTTATCCATGTTATATTGTATTGTATACTGTCGTCGTGATTATTATTTGTTGTAGCGAACTATGTATTTTTGGGGGGGGCCTAGCCGCTGGCCTGACCCGAGTAAACGGTACGCCTCTGACTCGTAGTAGAGTTAGGAGCCAAAGCTGTGGCGGACCCAATGTCATTTCCAGGCGATGTTGGATTAGCGCTACGGCCGGTAACCTTGCGCGAGATGCGATTCGTTCGCGAGGCTGTCTGGGGCTGAGGTTGGTGCAGTCGATAGATCCAAAGGCAAAAGTCAAAAATGACCAGCCCTATAAGAGGGCCGACGAAAGCTAAGCTGACTAGTTTCTGAACGTAAAATGTTAGTAAAAACGTGGAGGGGTAGGATCTTATAGAAATGGACGCACGAAAAAGAAGGCTATCCAGGTAATGACCATCCAGACCTGGTCGGGTAGCAAACCAGTCTGGAGATTATGTGCAAACCGAGTCATGGCTAGGTCTATTGGTAATTTGCTCATCTTGTAGATTTGTAAATTTGTAAATAGTCGGGTATAGTCGAGGATTGGAACGAAGGTATAGCGAAAGTTATGGAATGTCGGATGTGGCCGCGTTCGCGTTTAATTAAGTCGAATAGAGTATTATTACTTCGGACGCAGGATCGTTCGACTATGATGTTATGGAATTCAATGTGTAGGACCGGACAAGTACCGATGACTTTATTATTATAGGCAGATTGGAGTAACGATAAGATGAAAGCAAATGTGAACGGACAATGGCATGGAGTGTATGAACTGAATGTAGATTATGAGGTCGTGACAATCGCAGAGAGAGACAGAGAGAGAGGATGAGATGGATAAATAAAATAAAAAGATGGTAAAAAGTATGTACCTAAGAGTAAGCCGAAGGAAGCGAAATGAAGATGACGTTCCACCTAGGCTGCTAGGTTGAAGGTAGTAGAATAGGTTAACAATACCCTGTAACTTGATATAACTTGATACCAAATGACGGGAGTAGGTAAGTACTGAGTACTTTTATTAATATCGAATCATCTTATCTCCCCTTAGGTACTTAAAGTTCGTACCTCAATGGAAAGAGTAGGTCCCTGTCGATCCGATCTTGAATAGAACTTTAAATTCTATAGGGCAGTTTTATCGTCCGAGGTTCTTCTCTACATCTATGCAAGTTATATTAGACCTGCCGAGGTTGAAAATCTTATGAACCTTACCTAGCATAGCGGTACACAAGCGGGTTGGGTTCATTTGGAAGCACGCCACCGAAAATGTCTTATTATTTTATCTCTGTCTCTATGGCCGACTAATAATTTTGTTGAGCCTATGAGAAATCATTCAAACACGGCTCATATTGTTGTTGTTGCACAAGCTAAGAAATATGTGCCTGCGTGTGTTACTCAATACAGGTGTTAGGTAGGGGTGTTGGGTACTAATTGATCTACCTGTAATGACTGTAATGACGTATTAGTCAACTGTCATAGGTAACTTACTAGGTACATAATGTACCTCTTATGCAGCTTCCATATCACTTCTTCTCGAAACTTTCTGCAATCATCCCTTTTAAATTATCCCTCTAAACTCGGAAGGGACATCGTAACATATCGCATATCGTACGTACACTGACCAACTTCCAACATGCTACGCTACGGGACTCCACTTGTTCCCGAACAACTCGTTCGCTCCACCCTTTCGTTGATTTTGAATACCTACTTCGTAGTTCGGGGTTCTAGGTTTTCGTACCTTGAATTTCGCCCGTTCTGACCGCCCAAATTCTATATTGCATTGCTTTGAACCTATTAGTTGCACCACGTTGTCGGTAGGGGGGTAATTGGCAAATCATCCCATTTTCACGTTTCATACCTACCTAAGGTATCAGGTTTAATTTATTTATACATTTACGTCCGGGTATCTTGTCGACTTTACCGAGGAACGGCAATTCCGAAAAAAGGAAAGAAAAAAGATACCTGGTTGACGATGGCGTCTCCACCGTGGGCAGACGCCGCGAGTCACGAGCAATTCTTCGTCCTACTTACAGGAGCTAACAGGTACGCGCTTTCTTATGCCACCACGTTGGAAAATACATCGAGGAGTATTGTATCTTAGACGAAGAACTATGTAGTGGTGTCGGTCTTGGTATTGGACAACGAATAATTGACGAATTCCTCGCCTCGCGATCTTCATCATCCCACTTAGTCCTCATACCTACGACACGCTCCGTCTCCAAGTCTCGCGATACTATCCGATCCCTGCGCGTCCACTTAGAGAAAACGGCCAAGTCCTCGCGGCAGCTTCGTGCTCGAGCTGGCCACGACTATGACCCCCAGACCGCCATCTCTCGAGTCCACATCCTCAGCGTTCAGGTAGATTTATGTGACCTCCGTTCGATATACGGTGCCGCGAAACAATTGGTTCACGGCACGGTGAGCGATCCGACTGGGGTAGTTACAAGTGTGAAGATACCCCGTCTCGATGCCGCTATCTTCAATGCGGGTATTGGCGGTTGGTCTGGGCTAGACTGGTGCTTGTTTGTGAAGCAATTCTTGCAAGTTGGAGTTGTACAGTCCTGCACGTTCCCTATCTTCAAGAAGGCTTTACCTGCTGCTACGCTTGGCCAGCGGAAGCTTCTTGGGGATTCGATATCTGATCTGAAGACGCCGCCACCCGCGTTGGCCGAGGTCTTCTGCGCCAACGTCTTTGGACACTATGTCCTCGCCCACGAGCTATTACCACTGTTAAGCCGCTCACGACCAAGCGAACCCCGAGGCAGAGTAATATGGACCAGCACCATAGACGCCGGCCATGAACACCTTAACTTCGACGATTTCCAAGCTCAGCGGTCCAGACCTCCATATGAGAGCAGCAAGCGGATAACCGACCTCCTCTGCCTAACCGAGGACCTCCCCGGCGTGCGAGACGTATCCTCCGCGTACTTTTCCTCTCCCGCCACCACTGACAAGCCCATCAAACCGCGTTTTTACCTCTCGCACCCGGGCGTCGTCTGCACGCCCCTCTTCCCCTTAAACTGGATCCTCTACTGGGCCTACTACGCGGCCATGTACCTCGCGCGGTGGCTCGGGTCCCCCTGGCACCCCGTGGAACCCTACCTGGGCGCGTGCGCGTCGACGTGGCTCGCGCTCGCGGACCAGGACTCGCTCGATGAGCTCGGCGCCGAGCGCGTCAAGTGGGGTACCAGCGCGACCCGATCCGGCCGCGCCGCCCCCAAGAAGTCCGAGGTCGACGGCTGGGGCTGGGAGGGCAAGATCGAGCGCCCCGACGTGCTCAGACGCGACCCGACGCCCGGCGTCCTGCATAAGCTTAGGGGGCGCAAGTGGGACGCCGAGGAGCTGACGGAGGAGAAGCGCGCGCAGTTCGAGGAAGATGGGAGGAGGTGCTGGGTTGAGCTCGAGAGGCTGAGAGTTGCGTGGGAGGAGGCGCTGAGGGAGGGGAGTGGGAAATAGGAGAGGAGGAGAGAGGATGAATGGATGAATAAGAGTGTGGAGAATAGCGCGGGGACTTGCAAAAAAGAAGAGAAGAAGAAAAGGAAGAAAGAAAAAGGAGGGTGTAATACAAAGATACGAAGGTCCATACAGGGAGATCGTAATGGAGAAGCATATATAGATGCCATTTCAGGTAGTTGCATCCTACTCAAGGGCATCGTATTATAACATATATACCCCGAGCCCTGGGTAGGAAATTAACCATTATATAAAGTTGCCTACCTAAGGTAATATACAGTGAGATACCTATCTATATCACGAGCGTGTTTGGTGTCTAGTATAGGAGGTAGGTAGGTATCAATAACATCAAAATTTCCGTACATAGGTTAGGTAGGTAGCTACTTGGGTAAATAAATGTATTAGAGGTAACTCCAATATCTGAATGAGCGAGAGCAAATTCGCACTACGGATGGGTATAGTTACATAAAGTTAGGTAATAATGACATACGACTAGTACTACTACTGCTACTAGTAAGTTAGCAGCAGCAGCAGCAGTAATAAATAATAAACCAACAAAAAAAACCTGAAAAAAACATAGGGCATCGCCCCCGTCTCTCTCGTTCCCGTGTTCATTCATCGCTCCCTGCGAATAAACGAAACCCCCAACTGACTGATTAACCGACCGACTGGCTCGCCTGGTGAAACAGCCTGGGAACATGAAGCATCTAACCTATGTTAGTGTGCCGAGGCTCAGGCTGAAGCTTGGGCAGACAAAGACAAAATCCCATGTACCTACCTAAAGGTACATGAATAAGATAATATGAACAGAATAGAATCTCATCCGAGCCTTGTCGTTTCTCTTCCTTGTCCATTATCCGCCCATCCGCCCCTTTCCTAGATTCACATAAACGTGCCAACCAGTCATAAAGCCGACCTATTCCACTTAGCTACCCTACCACCTATCCACCCGTGTATCCCATCCCTTCATAAAAACCCTTCACCATCGTTCCCATATCACGCCGGACTCCCGTTCGGAGGAGTTTGGGTGCTACTGCTGCTCCCGCTACTCCCGCTGCCCATGCGCCTAATAGCCAACTTATCTTTGCGCCCGAACATGCCCAGGGCCAAGACCGGAATCACCGAGACCAAAGAGATAACAGCCGTGAAGACGAGCGCGTTGGACATGTGGAACGGCGGATCGGCCTCGGGTCCAGCCTTGAGGGCGTCGCTGATGATAATAAACAGACCGCCGAGCAGCTGGCCGCCGGCCCAGGCGATCGTGGACGTGACCTCGGGGCTCATGGGGTGTCCGAGCTCGCACAGGAACTCGAGGGCGACGGGCAGGAGGGAGAAGCTGGACGCGCCGAGGACGGAGAGCACGACGTAGGGGCCGGCGAGGCTGCGGGTGCCGGGCATCCAGACGAAGGCGAGGTAGGACAGGGCGATGAGCGGAACGGCGACCTTGATGGCGAGGAGGAAGGCCTTGGTGCGGTCGAGGATGGGGCTGGACACGGCGGCGGCGACGAGCCCGACAACGATGAGCAAGGCGCCCGCGATGCCCGCGTCGTCCGACGAGAACCCGTACGGCATCATGATCTGGTTGAGCAGCGTCGAGATGCTGTTGAAGAACCCCACGTAGATAGCGTACGGGATCAGGACCTGCCAGATCTCGGGGGACTTTAGGAGCTGCGCAGATGATCGGAGGGAGGCCTTGGGCGTGGAGCACCACGGGCCCGGAGGGGTGGGAGGCTTTGCCGGGATGAAGATGGATGGGACTGTGGCTACGGAAGACTAAGGTTGGGAGTTGAGTTAATACGACAGTGAAGGTAAAACTATGCGGAAAGGGGTACATACGATGATAGCGACGTAAAGCACGGCATTGGAAATATCTCCCGGTCCGGTAACCATGAACGGCACGATGAGCTGCCCGAGAGCGGCGCCGAACGGATTTGCCAAACTAGCCAGAGCGGTGGCACCAACACGGCCTCTATCCGTGAACCACATATCGGAGTACCTTGTGGGGGCACTAAGTACGAACGGCTGGGCTAACCCTGTCAGAATCTGGCCAAACATAACGACACCGTACCTCCCTCCATCGCGGGAGTAAGATCCGGCGAAGCGGATCCAGTTGCCAATGAGGATTAGCGCCGCCGCCGCGAGAATAGACGGCCTTGGACCCCAGTGCAGGCAGTAGATGGTTACAGGGGAGATGACGCAGAAAGAGAACAGGAAGGCTGTCGATAACCAGTTGATGGCGGACTCGGTAGTGCTGTAATAAATGGCCGCATCTTGGGAGACGGGAGAAAAGGTCAGCCACTAGATATTACAGATCGTCAGTCAGATTCTCACGTCATGTTCTGGGACCGGTATATAAGAGAAGAAAAAGAAAAAGGTAATGGGTAGCAACGATGTTCCCCTTCGCTGTGATACAACGTCCTGCAAAGGCAAGGCTGCAGCATAGTAAAGAGGCTAGATAACTACCGATTGGTAGATCTTGTCATGCATATTTCTGAAATAATACCTAATATATATACCTTATATATATAAAACTTGGGGCGCATAAGTTGTCTTCACCCTCTGTTGTACTGATCTACCTAGTTGAGACAAAAAAACGAGATTGTAACTCACATCCCAACTGACGATGATATTGAGCAGGGTTAGCTGTACGAGGCCGATCCACCGGCGCTTGTAAACTTTGTACGTGACGCTATTGTCATTCTCGATCCCGACCGAAGAGGTATCCGTGTCGCGCGGCTGACCCGCAGCAACAGCTTCGTCGTCGCCTTCGCCGTCCGTCGAGTTTGAGCCCAGGCGTAGGTGACCGGGCTTGATGCGGGAGGACTTGCCGGAGGAGTCGGTGCCGATGGGATTAAGAGCGTACTCGTCGCGGGCCCTCCGATTAGCTTCATCGTTGTCGAATCCGATGGGCGTCGTCGTGGTACCAGCCGCGTCTGAGGACGATGTCTTGGGGCTATTGCTGGTGCGAGACATCGTGCAGTCCCCTTCTCTTCCCTGCGTTTTGTACCCGTCCTGCGGCGCCTTCGGCGTGACTTGCTTTTAAGGCTAAGCTGAGCTGGGTTTGGGATGACCTTTGCTTTTAATTGAATGAACGAATCCCTTTTCGTCGGACAATTCTTCCTTCGTTTATTTGGCTAACCGGATTTCGTTGTACATACGCCCCGCGTGTCCGTCGAACCTCCCAGTCCCCTCGCCAGCCAGCTCAGCTGACTTGTAATATGCGAAAGAGAATATCGCGAAGCTTTCGATTGCCCGGTATTCAGGGAGACATCAACTTCGCATATATGCGGGAGGTTCGTTATGTCAGATGGGAAAAGATAAAGAAAGGAGGGATTAGATTAAAAAAAAAAAAAAGAAAAAAGAAGGAACGAATGAAAGTTGTTTAACGAGAAGCAAGGCGTATGTATCATCATAACAACCTGGGAGGTCTAGATTTGGATAATATGCCGAGATGTTGGCATTTGGAGAACTTATCCCGACTCGTCCAGCGCAGGCGGTAGTATTCTCTCACAAAGAAACCCTCCCTTTTGGCTTCGCTTCGCTCCCAACAGAAAGAAAACCTAGTTGTACGATGACCGGCAGTTTATAACAATAACATTACATATGTGTAATTAGGAATTACGAAGTCCTTTCCAGGGGTTACGTAGGCTATGGCTAGACTTGGCCAGATCCAAAAGTTGTTTAGGTACCTAAGGTATTAGTTAAGCTAAAAGCAAAAAAAATATCTTAAGACATGGAACTGCGCAATACCTGGGCAGGTGGAATCGCGGTTAGATGTCCCGATTGTGTTGTACAATACTAGGATAAGGGATAAGGTCGACCTTGGCAGCAAGGTTGGTGTGATTGCAGCAGTAGGGTTTCCAACGTTTCAGATACCAACTTCGAATGTCTCTAAACGGTCTTCTCTAGAGCCATGATTGGCTTACAGTCTGAACGAACCTGCCGTATCTAGACCACATCCCCGTGTCACGCAACCTTAACAAATCAAGACTTTTATGCTTTACATACCTGTTGGATGCATTATACAATACAATTTTATGTAGAGTCCCTACGCAGCTCCAACACGATAACCGCTCTCAGCAACCACGCTGCCACGTATCGGTACATATTCGGTCCATTTTTCAACGCTTGATCTATGGGAGGTATATCTGCTTCGGCGGTTCTTACCTAGTTAGATGTAATCTCATTTACCATCTTTTTTTTATTACCATGGCCGGCAGCATGGTTAATGGTAAAAAGAATTTCTCGTAGTAAAGTACATTAGGTACTTACGTTAGTTCACTAATATAAAATCTTTCTTCTTATACTTTATCATACGACATCGACAAATTGCAAGGGATGAATGGCTAACTACCTACCTAAGTACCTAACCTAAGCCAATAAGACACTTCTTGTAAATAAGCGGTTTGAGCACTTTTTCATTGGCACCAGTCTAGATGCACACAAGCTATGTTCACGAAACTTGGCTTCAAAAGGGGGTGGTGTGTGTGCGCGTGTGTATAAGCGTGTGTATAAGCGCTCATATAATATCACTTATTTCGAAATTCGAATTGTGTTAATCGAGTTTCTTTATGAGTAGGTAAACAACTAGGTCTGTCTAGAGAGTTGAGGAACAGAGATCTATTCATTTGGAATGCCGCGTATGGTACATAAGGGGGGAAGGTGGGTTGAGGTACCCCGGCTGTAAGTCATCCGCTTTGAGGCGCAAATCGCATTACAGAGCTACCAAACGTCCGACCATCTATCTAACAGGAGTCAGACGACGATAGCCGGCTTGTCCGACCAGAAACCCACCGGTACATGCTTCTAGGTGTCTTATAGATATGGTATGCTTCTTGTCTGGGCTGGGTTGCGTTGGCTATCTGCAACTATTTGAGGACAGACCAGAGCTTGGGAGCAGCGCATTGGGTGGCGCAGTGCACGAGGTGGAAGACTAAATAGAGAGAGAGTTATGTCAGTTTGTCCTGCATGAAGCCATGGGTCACTCAAAGTATATATTTCCGAACGAAGTAATAACCTGGGCTTGGTTTTGAGGAGATACTTACATTCTTCAACGCAGTCCTCGTTGGCTTCTCCTTCTTTCGAAGCGTTCGTTACACGCTCGGCGCATTCGTCGTAGTGGTGCTTGGCTGGTGAGCACTGCTTGGATTTCTGGCATTCTGTACGTCCAACCGTTAGCAAATACCAAACCATGCTGTGTGTATATATGTGTGTGTGTGCGCAAAACGTTTAGAAGAATAACGCATGCGCATCAAAGTCGTCTCGAGCGTAAAGTTTTGTATATGTGCGTTGGTGATATGTAGGTGCGACGAACCTTCCTCGAGCGGTCCCTTAGGGTCCTTGGGTTCATCTTCATCCTCTTCTTCATCCTCATCCTCATCCTCATCCTCCTCCTCCTCTTCTTCTTCTTCTTTCTCCTCCTTTTCCTCGGACTTCTCCTCCTCTTGGGGCTCCTATGGAATCTATTAGCTATCCCCTCTGCTTTACACGGAGCTGTTCGGAAGAGCAACTAAGCGCTCATAGAAGCCGGTAGAATCCCGGTTTAGAGCTTTTTTCGAACGGGGAATAATCATACCTCAGCTGGAGCTTCGGCTTCGGCAGTGGTCCATGGCTTGGCTGCCTCAGCGAGGTCTGCGATAGCGTCCCAGATACCCATTGTAGTCGGAGTGGTCGTCGGGCACTTAGAATGCCTTATTTTCGGGGATGAACGCGGGTTGATGATGAAATGCAGTCTCCAAAGAACGTTGACAACCGAGAAAAATAGAGCATCGCCAATTGAGGCATTTTGATTGGCTACGGCTTAGAGGTAAAAGTCACGTGATATTCGACCGATCCCGTCTTTGTCTACCTAGAACTCCAAACCCAGAGGTACGTACCAGTATCGATACGTAGGTACCTACCGTACGAAATACGAAATAAATATCAGCTAGGTAAATTCCATGTCCATAGTAGGTACCTAAACGTAGGCAACAGTATGGGTTATACGTAGAAATATTCGCATTTCACGATTCATTTAAGATAGGTGCTTCATGATTAAATAAATTAGGTTGTAGGTATGTTGAGCGGTTTAAAGGCACCTCATATATGCCACGAGAGTATATCTTGCTTAATGATTATATTAGGTACCTAAGCTACCTATCTCATAAAACACCGACTGATGAGATGTATCAGGGGCTACTTTATGAGGCACCTGTAAACCACCGCTTAAAAAAAAACCTTTTTAGGGGGGCAAAATGCTGCGTATCGGCTACATTCGTATCTTTCGTATGCTTAAGACAACAAAACGTTCTCTTTTACCTTGGTAGCTGCAAACATAAAAGGTACCTATCGTCCTATTCTTCCCTTGGTTTCCTTCACAAGGTCAGCTTCGTGTAACCCAGTGTACGAATGCACCAACGAGGTGGGATTCGATACAATATTTGGTATGCAGCCACATGTAGAGCGGTCGCACTAATACACGGAGATCCGTGTCCTTATTGGTGAGGGTATTACATTCTTGTCATGTCGACTAAGATAGTTGACCCTCTATCAGTGGTCTCCAAGTAGTCGAATTCATCGGCATCGTAAATGCTCTAGGGCAACTCATATGCCAAACACATTGTCATTGTCTCTCTGCTTCCTCCCGCATACGCTCGTCGAAACGCATGCTAACCGCCTGTGCTTGAGCTTCGTCGTAGTCTGGAGGGGGCTCGTCCGGAGTTTGTTGATGGGTCTGCTGTTCTCGAGCTGCCTCATCCGCCCGCCGAGCTACTTCAGCCGCCTGACCAGGGTTACTACTACCCTGAGGGCCGCTATATTCTGGTAGTTGCTCGTCGTGAACCATTTGGGCCCAATTGCTCTGACCCGATTCCTCCGCAATTTGTGCCGCGTGGTGCAGACGTGTCTTAAGTTCCACGAACTTGGACTCAAATTCGCCGGAACCACCATCCTTAAATGTTAATCTCACATTGACTCTCGGAAACTCCGGCGGAATATTGCCATCAGGAACCGGGCGCACGTTGGCCTCCCAGTACCAAGGCCCGATCCATGACGAGCTCATACGACTATCCAGGCATCCCAGTATTTTGGATGAGAAGGACTTGAACTGATCTGTAGGTTTAGAAGGTAGGTAGATCAACTAAGAGCGGGTGTTAATCTAAGGTAGAGAGTTCCACACTGTAGCATATGGCATGAATTACTTACTCGTTGATTCGTTATGTACGCGGTTCCGCTCTCACTCTTAATATTAAGGGGAGGGATACCGGGTGGCTGATTCGGAGCGGTTATGGTTAGAGCTATCCTCCCTCGTGTCCTATGTAAAATAGTCTCGTGCGGCAGCGGCTCTATTTCCCCGGCCCGCGATAACATAACCCAGCTGGCATCTAAGTTAGTGTCCTCCTCACCCCGGCTACTCTGGCTAAGGATGTACGACGCATGCTGTTCGTGAAGGCCGTAATCCATGATGATGACGAGGACGAGGACGAGATAGACGAGATAAGACGGACGGTGAAAGTTTGTCCATGGAAGGAAGAGCAATGCTCTCAAGGAGAATAGAGATAGATATCACATCCTAAAAGTCGTGAAAAAGTCGCGGATGGGGGAGCAGGGAAGGGGAGGGCTGAGGGCTAACTGGGGCTCAGGTCGACGGGAATTACAATTATTACATAGACAAGAAGAGGCTCATACATACTTTATTGACATTTTAGGTAAAATTGAAGGTGGTCAGCTTTCGGGTTCTGCGCACAAGTCCTAGTAGACACCAACCGAACTCCTGGGATTCGTCGGCACAACAAAAAGGGACAGGGTTCCAACGATTCTGGTCTCAGGAACTGGTTCGGTGGGCTCTGGTTCTGCTGGGCTGGTAGGCTGGTAGGCTGGTACCTAAGGCTGGTCTCGGACCGGCACGATTTGCAGCAGGAAGTTTTTGATGGAGATGTTGACATTGGTAAAGGTGGGCCAACTAACACACGGTAGCCCGCTGGAACTTGCCCTGCCGGAACTGGTACGGGCAGGACGGCGCACGCCTGACAGGGCCACTGCAAGGACACTGGGATAGTACTGCTGCAAGGTCTGCAAGGTCTCGCAGGTGTGGAGTGCTTCTCTTAGTAGCGTAGTCTCTAGTTACCTAGGGAGTAGGTAGTGTGGGCGGCGAGATTGATATTGAATCAGCGGCGGAACGATGGGGTAGGGTAATAGGGAGAATTCCTCGACTTCAGCTGCAAGGTGCAAACCGGGTTACCCATTCGATGACAACCTACTATATCTAGAGCGGAATGCTTTTGCGGAATACTTTCTGCGACGCTTAAGTTAAGGGCCAATGATCCAGTTCCCCGTGGGAAATGCCGAAGTTAACCTGAAACCCCCAAGATTCACTCGATAGGGATCTGTTCTTGATTCACGATAAAGAAGCGCAACGTGATGACGAAGAGGGATAGACGTGTAGTATGGGATGTATGATGTACTTAGTATGGTCCGGCTAGGTAAGGCAGGGAAAGGCCAAAAAAAAAAAGGCTCTACCTACACTAGACCAGGGATGAATATGCGCGCCAAGCCGCTGCCAAGGCATGGTTGAAAAACCCTTAGGCAAGAAGCTAAGAATGGAACTGGCTAACCAAAGCTAGCAGGTGGTGACGATGTAGACTTGAATTTCGGGTACATAGATCGACAGCTAACTACAGGTGTAAAAGTAGGTACTAGCATTTTATTATTATTTGATAAGATTGATTAGTTATCGTAATATGGTAACACAAGTACCTATTGTGCAAGAGGGGTAAATCGAAAGTAAGTACCTATATGTACTAAGGTAGTGACACTATCTTTCACATGCTTCGATTGGTACTTAACGCTTTATATCTCAGGTTACCTAGGTAGGTACCTAAGGTCCCAAGTTATAGGCATTCAATATCGTCCAGACATGGTGACATACATATCTACATTTAATGCACGTTTACGATGGGTGCATAAAATATACCTAGGTTACCTAATCTACTACAGTAGCATCTTACGCTTTCTCTCATAAAAAAATCAGACTACCTAATGTTGCGTTAGCAAGAAAATAGTATTTCCAGGAGAGGGAAAGGAAATAGTTTTCATCCCTATCAGGAAAGAAGGAAAGATCGGGTTGAGCTTGGCAAAAGCTAGTAGGTTAGGTAGTAGGGAGCTGATTACCTAATGTAACTGACTTTCTGTTGGAAACAGGTACCTACCTCCTAATCTACCTTAGGTACCTTCTAACCAACGTATCTAACAACCAAAAAAAAAAAACTTAACACAATGATCACTAGCTCTTACAAACACCGATGGAAATAGCCTATTATGACTACTATTACTCCCATAAACGTACCCAGGTAGTTATGTGAAGAAAAATATCTAACTTACAGTACCATATCATATGTACGGTTTACAGGTATGCAAGTTACATCGCGAACAGGGTCCCTGGACTGTTACCAACTTACCATCATCCGGAGACCCGAGGCCTTGAAGAAATAATATTCCTCATCCCATATCTTCATTGTCACCGGTCACCGAGTTTGGGTTGGCTCGATGCATTAGGTACAATCATCCTGACCTTACTATGTACCTACCTAGCCTGACCTAACCTCAATAATGCATGACGATGTTGGAGCTCTTGGAACCTGATCGTCACCATCGAGGGCTTTATGTGTATCATGATCTTCAAATATTATTATTATCTTCAAGGTTCTCGAAGAAAACAAACGAAGCAGCAAAATAACGAAACAACCTCCAAGAGTTCATGACATTAACATTAAAGTTGATCTAGGATCGTCTAGTTTCATCTATTGTTACTCTACTCCCCTTGTCCCTCTTGTTTTCTATTGGTTCCCATGCTCATTTCTCCAGGGTCTTTATTCTTCGTGGACTCTGCCGACCAACCGGTTAACTACCTGCCTTGAGCTTAAAACCCTTCTGTTGACACACATGGTTCCTCGCATATTAGTTTATTGGTTACGAGTCCCGCGTCCATGGCCAGCCTCCCGAGTTACGCCCATCTTCTCCGAGCCTATTAGAGCTAATGGTCTGACCCAACCCGAATATTCCTGCAGAGGCCATCACTTCGCGGACCTGGGGACGAGACCTTGTGTATTAGTGGGTCGGTCGAGTCGTCAGACTCCTCATGATATCTTCGGAGAGCATTCTATTCCCCGGGTCGCACATGCTTAAGTGCTATCTTACTGGAGCAATGCCGTTTCTATTGCACTGATGGCACTGGCATTCCGCAGGATCTACCGTATGCCTGTCGCTGCACTATTTGATTGGCTCACCCTTAACTGCGGCTCCGCACCAAAAAGAGACATGTCATATTTCATGGCGACCACTTGACGCAACGTCTCGCTAGCATTGGACGCTTTCAGTTATAACCGGACAAGGTAGAGATAGATGGGAGACTGCTCTCATAGAGAAGAGTTACGTTACGTTTATTAAAATCTAGATACTGTTGGTCTCGATCGCGCGATTCCAGGGTGAAATCCTTCACGGAGCAGTGCCGCTGCGAAAACTTCTCTCAAGGCGAATTCATTCTTACGGCTTGGGTTTGTATGCAGTGCAGATCAGCGGCTTGGACAATCTCTCCCTAAACCAAACCTCTCTTGGATACATAAATGTCATTCAGTTATGTTGGGCCTATCGTCAAGCCTGTCGACGACGCCTTTAACCACGTCAGTCGGGCGGATACAGTCGGAGCAGGACGCACGAGCTCCTCGAAGATCCTCGGTTGTAAACAACATCACAATTACACCAAAGTCTAGAACCCCTTTCTCGGCGTATTAGGATCTGTCTAGACGAAAAAAACGACATCATCCCTATCACATCGCCGTGCCTCTACGGCGGCTAACACTTGCAGCTTGAATTATATCACATTTCAAAACACGAGCATCCATGTGGTACAGCAGCCTGGTAGAATACCCCGAACTGACGCAGATCAGCCTTTTAGGACTCTGGCATCAATTAGCCACCGTTACGAAGCTGACCGTGGGTCGGACCCTCTGGCAGATGAAGCACGCGACATAGTTTTGCAAAAGGTTACGCCCCAGCTCAGAGTAGTAGCTTTACTATTTTTACCCACTTTGCACTTTGAGACTAGGTGAAGCGAAGCGTATGTACGTCTTGTACGTTGCCGATGGCGGTCAAGCCTGAATGGAGCGGCTTCATTTCGAGCTCCCATTACTAACAGACTAGCTAAGTTTGGCTTTTCGAACTATTTCGAGTGCCGCTATCGCTTGCTTCGCCTTCGCCTTTGCCGTAGCTGATACGTACATTACTGGATAGTGGATTTCGGGATGCTAGATAAAATAAATCATTATTCTGAGTATGGATCGTCTCGATTTTAGCGGTACGCGGCCCTCGGCTGTCCTGGACGCGGCTTATGCATCTCCAGTTGACTGGCATATCCCCAGCCGTGGTTGAATGTCTACCTCCTACTATACTAGACCTTCACCGCCCCCTATGTTTGAGAGGTGGTCCCTTAGATGGTCTTAAACACCTGATTCGGCCACCTGGATCACCTAGCAGCTAACGGGTGCGCCAGCCACGTAAACGGCAAGGGAGCGCGATATCGTACGAGTCGCGATAAGTAGCATAAAACACGGCACGGACGACAAGGCTTCTCCAAAGTCATTTGATTCATTGAGCTGTGCCTTAGTCATAAGCGTCATGATCATTCAATCTACCGCGTGCCGCGTGTGAATAGCCGTGTGTCCAACCGGACTTTCATTACCAAGTGATGGGAAAGATGGAAACCCAATATCATGAGGCATGACAACGAAAACCCGCGAATAAAAACACCCCCTGACACCCAATGAAGAAACTCCAAATACAGTACATTAACATGAACACCTCCATCCATCTCTTTGTAAGACTCCAAAAGCCGAGACGGCGTGTTGTTAGCATTGCTATTTCCAACACGCGCGTTTTCTGTATGTACTTCTGCAAGGATCGTCGGTGCCGTTGTGGCGTCTAGCACCGCAACCAAGTTTTTTTTTTCTTTGGAGCTATGAGAGCCAGTTCTCGCTCGAGCGTCCTGCGGGAGTACCCGGGCTACGTGCAGCGTCCGAGCCAAGGTTGAACTTTGGCATGTCGATCCGTGGCGGCGCTTCCTCCTTTTTCTTACCTTTATTCCCACCGCCTCCCGCCTGATTCTTGCGCGGGCTTCTCGCTTCGGCAGGCGGCCCATATCTTACTCCTCGCACGTCCCAGCCGTCCTCGGCTGCGGCTGCGACCCAAGTCCGTAGCCCGTCATGCACGCCCGGGTAGAACTTCTCCTTGCATAGGCGCAAGCTGCCTCCCATGCAGCGCTCCCAGCCCGAGATGTTGAATAGGCCGCGCAAAGCGTTGCGCTCGTCTGCCGTTGGGGTACAGGCAATGATGGCGTTCATGAGGTCGAGATGCGAAGCTAGATAATTTGTAGCGTCCCATTCCACACCGCCAACGTAAGGGGCCGCGGGGACGGGAGGCCGTTCCTGTGGGAAGTGTAGCTGCATGTAAGTAGCGCTATCGATTCCCGACGGGCCGGCCCTTTCTTTGGCCTCCTTCTCTTGCGGCAAGTAGACCACATTGAGATGGTGCAGGAAGATCCAGAATACCTCCTTGGTGACACTGACGGCCTCCTTGCACCATACACGGTAGGGACGTTCTCGGTGCATCTCGAGTACGAAGCCAATTGGTCGTTCGGCCTCTTTTGGCTCTGGGTCGCGCAAATGGCCAAGTACCGTCTTGGCACGGACGGGACGGTCAGAAGGCGCGGCAGATTGTATGTAGGTGAATAATACAGATGTGATGATGTTACGGGTGGTAAATTCGCTGGGTCCTTTCTTTTCAGGATCGAAGAGCATGTGTAGCAGAGCGGGGAACAGAGTCGCCTGAATCGAATGAAGGTATTGCAGCGCGAGGGCTGTGGTGCACAGCGCTTTGAGACAGAGCAGATTCTCATGAAGGAGAGCATCTTCGTGTTCCTCTCTAATACGAGATTAGCATCATTGTCCGTCCAAAGTAAAAACATGGTTATCATTCTAACATACCTCCATTCAACCTCCATGATACGATGCAGCAGCGCTACAATTTCCTGCATCCCGCCCTGTCGTATAAACTCCTCCGTCCAGGCTACCGTCTCGTTCCGGAGCAGCAGACGTAGCTTGTGCAACTTACCGACTTCGACCAACTCGGGTTTCTGGACCTTACGCAGGTAGGCGACGAAATCTCCGGGACCCTGTTGCGACTTTACCTTGGAAAATATGCCACCGCCCGAGCCCGACCCGGCGGAAGTAGGCCGTTCACTAGCGACGCTGTCCGTTGATCGACTGCGAAAGTGCCGTCCTATGGAACCTTCGCCCTTCTGTTTCTTGGGCGATGAATTCTCCGACTTCTTGTTCCGCGATAAGGTAAAGCTTCGGCCGCGAGACTTCTTGGCCTTGCGGTTCTCATTCGCCTGCTGGACGCTGATGCTGGAGTCGCTGCCGACGCTTTCGGGCCGGGTGTGATGGAGCCCGCGACTCTCGGCCCAGTCCTGCCTTATGAATTCCATCTTGATGGTGTCCGCCAGATTCCGCATCTTGTACCGCTGGTGCTCGGGGATATTTCGTCGGTCTAACATGGCTTCAAGATGCTTGTCGATGTCCTTGGGGTCGAGGACGGGCTCGGCTAGTCCCGCTGAAGTAGGCCTGCTCTGCGATCCGGTGCCGCCGGTAAATAGTCTGAGACCACGCTGTATCTTAGATGGTGAGGTCTTGCCGCTGCTTCCGCTATTCCGCATATCCGGGGATTGGACGTAAGGCGCGTGGTACGATTTAGGTCGCTCTTTGCTGGTGCGTGTGCTCGATCCGCCGCTCTTAGAAGAGGGGTAGCTAGGTACGTCTAGACTGCTCTTGTTCTTTGCGAAGTCCTGCTCGTTCTGCTTTTCCAGCGCGCCGCTCGAGAATTGAGCGTAGATGGGAGGTCTCTGGGGCGTCCGCGGGGGCGGGTGGTTCTCCTTGTTCTTCTTGAAGCGCATCTCTTCTTCAGTAGCCGTTTCTTGAAGATTCTTCGTGCTCTTGGGGCGGCTCAGGAAGCCCACGAGGTTTGTGGCCGACTTTGTTTTCTTGGGTTTGCCTTCGTTCTGCTTGGCCTGCTTGGCTAGTTTCTCCGCCTCCTTCGTAGTCGTCGGTTTCGCCGAAACCGTGTTGAATGTCTTCTTGGTTGGGGATGAGGGAGCACTCGGCGGCTCGTACTGTTTGGGGGGCGACCGAGGAACGATGCTGATTTGGTTCTGCTGGATCTCGCCTAGGGCGGCGGGACGGGAGAAATTGGGGAATCCAGCTATCTCTTGCCTGGATGAAGAGGATTCGGGAACATAGTTCGGCGGAATTAATTCGGTAGGTGGTAGTGGAGAGCCATCGGAATTGTTTCGTCTATGAATAAGTGTTCTGAGTATGTTGCCTTTGGATTTGGAACGATGATGCTGTTGCTGTTGCTGTCGCGCAGCACTGGGGCTGATGTTCGCCGAGACATGATATTCGTTGATTGATGCCATAATACCTGATAAATACGATGCTCGTCGTCGTCGCCGCCGTCTAGATAGACGACTAGAGCAAATGTTTATAAGCAAAGCAGAGATGCTAAGACTAGGGTAGATACAGGGTTGATTGTTGCCATGTGTGGTGTAAAGTAGCGATGTTTAGGATAAGAAACGCGTTCAACGATGGAGCCTGTCTTTAACGGGCAGGGCAGCCAAGGTTGAACCTTCCTCATCCGACAGCTGCAAGCGCCGAGATGAGGCTAAAGATTTAATATAAGCTTTTGGACGTTGAACCTGACGTTGTGACGGGGATTGAAGATTGTATGCATGGAGCCTTTTGTTTAAGTTCTGTCTCGCCGCCCTTTTCTTACTGATCTGGGGGTTGGTTACCCCAGCAACCGGATTCGCGAGGCGCACGTTCTGACGTTACGAAGGAAAAAGGAGTGCTTATCCACTTTATCGGCTTATCGAATGTCTCTTTTTGTCTCTTTTGTCTCATTTAACCCCACCAGCTGTTTCCTCAGCTGGAACCCCACATTATCAGCTTTTGACGTTACACCCGCCAAACCTTTCTTTTTATTCTAGTTTTTATCTACCTAGGTACCTAGATTAGGTCGTTAGGTAAATAGGTACATGCAATTAACCTTTTGCGATTAGTACATAGTCTATTTCTTACCTGAATAAAAAAAAAAGAACATCAAAAACCACCATTTTGGAATTGTCGCATCGCCTCCATCAAGTAACGAATACCGTCGCCATGCCTGGCGCTCCGAACAAAAAGCAGAAGCGGCAGGAATACCGCCACGCGCTAAAGCAAAATGTCACGACGAATATGCCCAAGAAGAAGTTCTATCGCCAGCGCGCGCATGCGAATCCCTTCTCAGATCACAGATTAGAATAGTATGTCTACTACTTTTCTAGATCTCTTGTCAGAGATAAATACTTATTGTATACATGTATACTACAGCCCAACTAAACCCGATGATATGGATTGGTCCGTATTCTACCCAGAATTCGCCGCAAAAGCAACCGAAGAAGAAAACTCGCCCCCGAAGAAGCTCACCAAAGACATTGAGGTTGTGGATATAGGCTGCGGCTTTGGTGGTTTACTTGTAGCTCTATCACCCGTCATGCCGGATACCTTACTCGTGGGCATGGAAATCCGATCGCAAGTAGCAGAATTTGTGCAAGATCGAATTAAAGCCCTCCGCGCAAAGGACCCCGAGCAGAAATCATACCAGAACATCGCCTGTCTGCGAGCGAACACGATGAAATTCCTCCCTAATTTCTTTCGAAAGGCGCAACTGTCCAAGTTATTCATCTGCTTCCCTGACCCGCATTTCAAGCAGCGCAAACACAAGGCTCGAATCGTGTCTACGACCCTCAACTCCGAGTATGCGTATGTGCTTAGGCCAGGTGGAATCGTATACACTATTACGGATGTGGAGAACCTTCACGAGTGGATGGTACAGCATTTTGAGGCCCACCCTTCGTTTGAGAGAGTGCCCGAAGAGGAGCAAGAAGCCGACCCGTGCGTGGGAGTGATGAGGACAGAAACCGAGGAAGGGAAGAAGGTTGAGAGGAATAAGGGACAGAAATTCGTTGCTCTGTTCCGACGCCTGGAAGATCCTCAGTGGTGACGGTGACGGTGACCATCATTACCAGGTACCTACCTACCTAAGTACGGCTACGAATCTAAATATTTGGGAACTGGAATATCTATTTGTTGTTCTAGAAGGAAACAAGATGAAGAGAGGCCCGTAAAAAGATCGAACAAGCATCGCATTATTGGAATAAAAAGATACCCCGGCGATGATTATCTCATGATTATCTTATGATTACCTTTCACACAAAAGAAAAAAGCTCGTTCTTGTCTGGCAATTTGATCGATAAAGATAATGACTGATAAAATTCGAGGTGCCTTTACGCTTCCACGGGGACCTGCATTTATATTGTGTAAGAGGTAAAGCATTGTACCTGGTACATGCAAGTACCTAGGTACCCTGGAGTGGAGGTACTGTACATTACCTACCTGGTTCATTGGAGGTGATCCGTGCTTTGCCTTGCTTCTTACATCGCATTTACCCCATATAGCAGGTACCTTACCTAATGTGCCAGAACTGACGGTTAGAGGTAACTTCAATCGTTCAATCGATAAGCAGCTCTTGACCTTTAATCGCCGTCATTTACGATTCCCACGATTCCCCACGATACTACCTACATACTTGTCACCTCACGGACAAGTCATGACGCCAATTTCAAAGCCTCCTCAAATTGAGTATGGCCCTTAAGGGGAGAGATGTTGGTTATGCTGGCGTCGTTTGCTTCATCGCATGGGGCTATGCCACAAGTTGGTTTCCCACCATTCGATGGGCAGGATACGCCTTCGTCGGCGGCGTCGTCGTAACTATTCTCGCCTGTCTCCTCTTACTTTTAACTTCCCGGGGCTCAACTTATAGCCAACAAAATAGAACTTCACGACCCAATGCAGTCATATTTTCAGGTCTTACCTCCTGGCATAAAGAGACCACCGCCTTGCGAATTAGACAAACCTATCTTAAAGATCCCCTTTACGCCGAATCGCCCGCTATATCTAACGCTCTAGACGATCTGCTCGACCTTATCATACGGGACTTTGTTAATTCATGGTATTCGAACATAAGCAAAAATCCGGTGTTTGCGAACGAAGTGGATAAGACCGTAAGACATGCGCTGGCTAGCATTCGAGACCGTCTTTTCGAAACAGACCTGGTGGAAGTGGTCACGGGTAGGATTGTACCAATATTAACGGCTCATTTTCGCAGTTTCTACGATGCAGAGAGGGCTGTTCGCGGCCGCAAACTAAATCGTGATGTTACGGAATCTGAAGAGCTAGACTTGGCTATTGCCGGGAAATACAATGATGGCAACCTACATCCTGCTGTGTCCCTGACCTACTCGGATACAAAACTGCTACAACAGGATCACTTACGGAATATAGTTACTAAGGTACTACCAAAAGTGCTCCCTCATACCATGGTTGAAAGCCGGGTTGTGTTTAGCATTGTCCGCGAAATCGTCGCCTGTGCTGTCTTGTTTCCCACCCTCCAACTTCTAGCTGAGCCTGACACCTGGAACCAAGTAATGGAAAATTACGGTCGAACCATGCTTCAAGACCGGTCGACTGTTCGTAAGCTTCGTGCCGCCTTAGATGCGCATGCGTCGCCCCCGCCGAAGAGTTCCAGACCGGTAGCTTTCCCGCGCCTAGCTTCAGGAGACAGCGAGCGTCGTTTTGAAAAGTTCATCCGCACGATCCGCAAACTTAACAACTTGTCCGACGCGAGGCGCTTTCGAAGCGAAGTAGCAAGCCAGCTGAAGAGGGACTCCCAATATTCGGGACAGGATCCCATCTACCTCCGTCGATTAGAAATGGGCAAACGACTTCTAGACCAGAGGGTTCATCAATTAGCTGCGGGTGGTGATGGACGGCATATACCCTTATCAAGCACCCCGCCTCCGAATATAGGATCTTCGAGGCTCGAGCACGCGTCCTTGGTTGAAATCCTACGTGACACCTCAGGCCTTTCTTATTTTATGGAATACATGGATAGACAAGGCCTGATGCCCCTTGTGCAGTTCTGGTTGGTTGTAGATGGACTACGAAACCCTTTGGAGGATGATGGTCACGACGACGAGCAATTGCCTTCTACTCTAAGCCCTTGGACCGAATCCGATCGTACCGACATTGCCCAAATCGACCAGGCCTACTTATCTAAAAAGGAACTTAAGGTCCCAGCTAGCTCGCGGCGTGTTATTCGCGAGTTTCTAGATGCTGGGAAAGCAGCTACCCCGGCACAGTACTATAAGGCACGCCGGGCTGTATTGCGGGCTCAAACTGCCGTTCTCGAGGGCATGCAGTCCAAGCATCTTGATGCGTTTAAAAAGTCGGAGATCTTCTATAAAGCTTTAGCATCGGAAGAGGCGTCGAAGAGTGTTCCTCTATTTCACCAATCTCAGGCAGGGCCAGCTGCAGGCCCGTCGCCGCTTCAAGTTCAGCAGTCGTATGGGCCGAAGCCTGCGTTGGTGGCAAAGCTTAATCCCAAAATAAATACTTCTAATGGTCAAGTTAGACGAGGTTTGTCTGCTACGAACCTGAAAGCTGTTGCTGCAAATGTTAACCAAAAAGTAGATCCTTCGATGGGTCACAGGCGATCATTTGACGGCAGTGCAACTTCACCATTATTTGATGACGATGATGCGGAACATGATGCGCTAGCAGACTCAGTGATGAGTCTCGACCAGGAACCGTTAAGACCCGTACCAGATACCCAGGTAGTCCAAGCTGTGGAGGAAGCACTGAATAATATTTTGGAAGACGATCGACCACAAACTGCAGAGGATCTTCGTGAGTCGTTATTTGGGAATGAGGACGGAGCTTCGAGCATATTCTCAGCTCAGGAAAACGGTTCAGCTAGGGGCTCTCTAGACCAGCAGCGTTCGATTCAATCTGGGAAGGAGGTTGAGAAGCCCAGTTTGTCGTCTCTCGGGCTTGTCAGTCCAGCATCTAGGATTGGAGTATTTATGGATGATGACCTTTTCGGAGATGAAGATAAGTTCTTGTCGGACGAAGAGGAGGATCATAATGAAGGGGAAGCTGGTGACATCGAGGACGAAGTGCACGAAGCTGCCCCTGGTGATCTGGGCCTTGCGGAGGCTATTACGGCGCTAACAAACGATATTGACCGACTTGCTGCCCAGGAGGCCGTCATAGAATCGCTAACGAAGAAGGCGGAACTGACTAACAATACGGCGGAATTGCGCATCTTACGGAAATCAAAAGCGAGTTTGCAAAGGGAACTTCGGCGAAAGGAATTACAGCGACAGCAATATGTAATCCAAGAGAGCGACAATAGCTTGTACGGACGTGCGTCAATTAAGATCAAGTCCATCCAAGTTGGACGAGAGGAAGACGGAAAGGAATTCGCCCTGTACGTAATTGAGGTAAAGAGAAATGCGGGAGAGAAGATGCCTGCAGCAACATGGATTGTGACGCGACGATATAGCGAATTCCACGAGCTGCATCAGAAATTGCGAGATAGGTATCCCTCGGTAAGGAACTTAGAGTTTCCACGACGGAGAATGGTCTTGAAACTCCAAAGCGACTTTCTTCGAAAGCGGCGTGACGCGTTGGAGAAGTACTTGAGTGAACTCCTCCTTCTACCAGATGTATGCCGCAGCAGGGATTTACGAGCCTTCCTATCGCAAAGCATTATCACTCATCAGGGGGAAGATATAATGAACCGCGAGGATAAGAAGGACATGATTACGCGCTTATACGACTCCGTTGCCGACGGAATGGAAGATATTCTGGGGAATATACCCGTTCTAGACCAGCTTTCCACCGCGGGACAGAATCTTATCGCAGCGGCTACAAGCCAGATGAGCACGATACCGCTCAGCGTCAACGAGGATGTTATGACTACTGCTGAAGCCGAAGCCGAATTGAATGCCTTTGAGAATAAAGAGCTCGAGCCTTTCATTAAACCCATCTGCGACATCTTCCTCGAAGTCTTTGGGCTTAATCGAGGTAATAATTGGCTTCGCGGGCGAGCTGTCGTCGTTGTTTTACACCAGATGCTGGGAGGTACGATTGAACGAAAAGTACGAGACAACTTCAAGATGCTGGTCCAAGAGGATGCTATTATTAAATACATCGATCTCTTGAGGAATAGCATGTGGCCTGGCGGGCAGCTCAACAGAAACAAGCAACCGAGGACTTCATCGGAGAAAGCGAAAACCCGGAGGGAAGCGAGCTTGATGTTGGCTACCCTCGTCCCAGATTTGGCCGGAAACGTAGTCGGACGGCTGAACGCCCAAGCCGCGAGCCGCAGGATGTTTGCCACGCTCAATAACTCGAGGCTGAAGTATGTGACACATTACTTGTCTAGACAAAAAAAAACGAATTGCACTGCTAACAGAGTGGTTATAGTTCTCATTTGGTTTTTACGATTGTGGACGAACTAATCGACATTTTATTTAATGAACCTTGATTCCGTTTTTGAGTCGGCATTTCTTCTTCATCTTCATCTTCTTCTACTACTACACAGCACAGCACGGCATAGCATAGCAACGGCGTTTGGGCCAATCGAGCTCAGGATGGTCTCGAAGGGCGTGAGTGAATGAATGAATGAATACCAGGTATGAATGCTAGATAGATACCTAGGCGAGGCTAGGTTTAGGTAGTAGCAATGAACAGGTAGTTGGGCGGTGTAGCCTTCTTATCATTACGATCGCTGCGAATAAGCGTTGAGCGTGGTTATCGAGATGGGAGTTACCTTAGCTGCTTACCTAGGTTAGGAGGTAGCTATCCCGCTAACTTGGTACAACATGCAAAAGAAAAGAAAGTGAGGCGTACACTCGCTTGCCTACATCCATGTTCGAGGGGTGGGTAGGAGGTAATATTCGAAAGGCAGACATAGGGCATGTACATATGTTGTATAACGCAGAAAAAGTAGATATATAAGGGTATTTTGTGTGATGTATGCACGTATGTCTTATATTGAATTGGATTTTATTAAACGTACTGGTTGACATGTGTATATAATACATACCTAAGGTATCTAATGTCTTCTCACTCCCCCTTTTCAGTTAACAATAGGTAGATACCTAATTAGATACAGTCTCAATTCCAATTATATTGGCATCCATATAAGTGAAGCATTAGAGGGAGATACATTAGTTGGCTTGTACATAGTACTAGTTACCTCAAAGATCCTTGATACCGTTGTACCCTTGTACTACCATAAGCGCTGCGCTTGATAGACGCTAGGCTATTTTTTGGGGCCTACTATCAATACTACAATGGCAAATGGGATGCGGGGCGCAAGGATCTTGACAAAATCTCACAAAGTGGGCCTCCACTTCTTGCTTTGCCTCTACTTTTTTTTTAAAGTGCACGGTTGCTGCTGCCAGGACGGACACCTTCCATCTTTTCAAGTAGGTACCTAGTGTGTCTCCTCTCCATCTTCTATCCAGCAGCTGCCATCAGCTATCCATTCCTCCCATTCCTTTTCCCCCATCACACCTTTTCGATCTGCTGCATCAATCAAATCACTTGTCAACTTTAATAAAACCAAAGCAAGTGTGATACGGCCATAATACTACCGTCCCTTCTTCTAACGCACCCGCGCAAAACAAAACACAATAAGGACCACTTTCCACATCTTATTCATAGCCGGTCTATCTCTTACCTACCCTCCTTCCAACTTTTTTCGTCGCTTGCGTTTGCCGCACTTTTTTTTTTTTTTTTTTTCTTGACAAACTCCTCTAGGATTTTAACTCCCTCATCGGGGTTCTCCCTTTCTGGTCCGCGGCCTTTCCTACCAAGTTTTATTTTGCTCACGCAAAACCTCGCAACAACAACCAAAAAAATTATACCATCTGATTCGGTAACCATTTTCATCCGGGCAATTTTCCTACTTGGTTTCTTGTTTGTGATTCGCGCAACGACTTGATTCAATTTCTCGCAGCGCACGCGAGCAGTTCCTCCTCTCAACGTTTGTTTCCCACCCAAACAACATCTCCGGATTCGCGCCCCATTTCTCCCGATCGCGACCATGGCATCTACTGAGGTTTCCGCTACACGGCTTTACCTAGGCAACCTGCCAAAGGGCGGTAAGTTTAATAATAATGATACCGGGTGCTTTGTTTCGGGCTCACGTTGCAGTGTAACCGCTGAGTCTGGGAGCTAGCTAAGCTTCCCTGTCGCCCTGTCGTTGACTGCTAACGGTCCAATCTAGCAACCAAGGCTGATGTGGAAGCCCACTTCGCAACCCATGGCACTGGCGAAATCACCGAGGTCAAGCTGATGAATGGATTCGGCTTTATCGAATACAAGGATCCCATGGATGCGCGCGATGTCGTTCCTGGTGAGTAATCCGCGTGTCTAACGCACGACGAATTTTATTATTAGCGAAATAGTCATCAGCTAACCCTTTGCTCCGTGTTGCAGCTTTCCGTACGTCTTGGACCGTTCCTGGCCACCGTCTCACCTGATTTCTCCGTTGTTTCCCTGGCTAATATTGACGATAAGATGGATCTGATTTCATGGGCGAACGTTTGACCGTGCAATTCGCTCGAGGTTCTCGCCACCGCGAAGGCTTCGGTGGCCACGAGCGCAGTGCTCCGCGACCCCGTCGCACTCCCCATCGCATGCAGATTACTGGACTTCCCAATGATACCAGCTGGCAGGTCTGTTTAACTCCCGTTTTCCCGTTCTTCGCCCCCGGATTCTGGCTTTAGATGATTTCCCCCTTCCTTGGTACAGCGAGTCATCTTGCGCCGTGTGTTTTCTCTCGCCTGAACAGATCAAATAGGGGACGCTGGTATTCAACATCATCTTATTGTTTTGTGATGTCGTAATTCATCGGTTTAGCTTCTCCCAAATTCTAGCGGACGGGTTTTCAAGGAGCTAGCCAAGGTGCCTCAGGGATTTTTTTTTCCCAATGTTAGACGTAACCGCCTGCTTGGATTGGTTTGACCGCATTCCTTTTGCTGGTGCTGCTTCTGGAAGTTGGGAAATCTTTGGCCTCATTCGCATATGTTCTACACCGCTCCTCGGACCCCCCACTTACATGGAATCTGGATCTAGGACCTGAAAGACTTTGCTCGACAGTCCAGCTTGGATGTCGTTTACTCGGAGACGGGCCGTGACGGCAATGGCCGAGGGTACGTGATAACTCCTAACGGACTACCTGGACCTATGGGACATATGAGTTAACACGGGCGTTTTCAACAGCTTCGTCGAGTTTGAAACCGCAGCCGATTTGAAGACTGCGGTAGAGAAGCTCGACGGCCGCGAGTTCAAGGGACAACGAGTCCAATGTATCGCCGACGTAGGTTTTTCTAAAGTCTACTAATTTCTTTCTCTATTGACATAGAAAACTAGACCCAACCGGACTTCCCTACTCGCGAACGTGGAGCCCGTTCTCGTTCTCCAATGGGTCGTCGACCTTACGGTGCGCCGGGTGACGGTTATGATCGCCGTGGTCCGCCTCGAGGTTATAGCCCACGCGGTTATCGCGAGGATTACCGTGACCGTAGCCCGCCTCGTCGCGACTATTACGACGATCGTCGGTACAGATCCCCGCCGCGCCGTGGACCCATTGATGATTACCCACCTCCACGTGGACGGTACGAAGATCCTTACCGCCGCGACTACGGACCTCCGCCGGATCCGTACGTCAACGGCCGACCTTATGACCGACCTCCGCGTGACTTTCCCCCGCGTGAGGGTGGTTACGGGCCTCGCGAGGGAGGGGGCTACCCCCGGGAGGACTACCGCCGAGGTGGCGGTTACTGGTAAATTTCTTGATATCAACTTTATTTGAGCGACCCCCCTTACGTTATTTAGATACCGCGCCGTTTCTCCACGTATGGCAGGGTCACTGTGCCGCGCCAGCGATATGTTTGTAGGAAGCTTGAGAGAGATGAGGTATTAGGTAACGAGAAAGAAGAAAGAAAAAAAAAACAAAAAACCCAAGGGAATAAAAAATAATTTTCTGGGGGTAGGCTACGCGTGAAGTGCAATGAAATTTTGCTGAGGGGCCGGCTTCAATATTCATTGGTGAGGGTAGCAGGAATAGGACTTAAAAAGGTTTCTTTGACCGGTGTTTGGTCGAGCCCCAATCTGGTTGGCTTTAGGTTAATTGTGTGTATGATCAAGCAAAACGAGTTGCAGTTACTTTTACGAATGAAATGGTTTATTTGGACGTAATGTAAGAGGCGACGGGGGCTACCTAATCTTTTAACAGATCTATCCGAGTACATACAACATTAGGTACATACCGCATACCTCATGCCGCATAGGTACCTCATGCTGTATACCTCATACTGCATACCGCATATACTTGACCTTGCATATAAGGATACCAAGGAAGCTACCTGCATAAAGTAAGTGCCTATGTAGGTACTAGGTTAAGTATACTTAAGGTATGTGTAGACTAAAGTTTTACCTACATGAGAGAGCTATGTCCATGTAAGCCTCGTGCTAGGGTCGGGTCTGGTGCGTTAGATCTAATGCTTGAGTTAAAAACTAGTCCAGGTCCTTGCAGTAGCGGCAATCCTCTATTCCCAATGGGTACCTGGCACTTTACAAGCGAATTGGTATTGCATTAGTAAAGCTCACGAGGTTGAGGTTCGTCCTTTTCTCGTCGGAGCAATTGAGAAGACCGACGAATCGGATTTAGGACAAACTAAAAAGTTCCGAAAAGGTCGGATGTTGTGCTTAGAAATATTAATGGCATCAATAGGTAATCAGTTGTCACTTGAGCTCTTTTCTTTTAGTTATCCATACATTTATGTAGGTAGGTAATTACCTGTTATCCAACCCTGAGACGAGTTAGGTAAAGCATTACAAAGACTTTACATAGTATTGTATTGTATAGGTAGGTATGTAATAGAGCTTATAAGGAGTATAACTGCCTGCACATATAGTCTTAACACCCACTCTGATTAAGTAATACTACGCGGAGACTTTATTTCCATACGAGATACCTAAACCCTTACGAAGTGACGTTACCTATTGGCTATTGACAAAATCCTATACCCGAATAAACCCTATTTCCAAAGGAAGGAAGAGCCTGTAAACGCACACATACGTACACCTCTACATTTATTTAGTTCTAGTTCTAGTTCTAGTTCTAGGTTTTTTTTCCCCCAAGTATTCATGTCGCTCAACGTCCCCGTCCCCCGCGGTCTGGCACTACGACGTATAAATCATCTCTCTGCCCGTCCTTTTTTATCTCAGAGTCTTGCTATTTCTCTCATTCAACGGCCAAGCTGTTGCTCAAATAACACCTTATACCGTAGACTTCTATTTTCCACTTCGAGAAGACTATACAAACCCGACGACAGCATGGCCGGACAACCCGAACCTACCGGGCTCATCGCCAAGAGCGGCATCGAGCTCCTGACTTTCAGTATGCTTCTTGTTTCTTTCTAACTCTCTCACTTTCACTCTCATCTTTAAACAGCAGATACCTACCTATACCTACTTACACCTTTGATACCTGTCATCTTATTTTTCTAACCTAACACCTCATTCCATCATCACAGCGACCCCCAACGGCATAAAAATCAGCATCCTGCTCGAGGAGCTGAAAGAAGCGTACGGCAAGGATTACACGTATCAGTCCCTCAACATCCTGAAGAACACCCAGAAGCAGCCGTGGTTCACCGCGATCAACCCCAACGGCCGCATCCCGGCCATCGTCGACCACGACAGGGGCGGCTTCGCTGTTTTCGAGGGCATGGCTATCCTCGGCTACCTCACGCGCCACTACGACCCCGAGCACAAGTTCAGCTTCCCGGTCGACAGCGACGATTATAGCGTCTGCGAGCAGTGGATGGCGTGGCAGCAGTAACGTATCCTAATTTTTGTTAGCTTGAAAACTTGGCTAACCTGCAGAACAGCGGCGGAGTCGGCCCTATGCAAGGCCAAGCGAACCACTTCGTCCACTTCGCCCCCGAGAAAGTCCCGTACGCGGTGCAGCGGTACGTCGGGGAGGCGGAGCGGCTGTACGGGGTCCTCGACAAGCGGCTCGAGGGGCGGGACTTCCTGGTGGGCGCGGGGCGGGGCAAGTACAGCATCGCGGACATCAACCTGTTGGGATGGGTCAACACGGCGCAGTACACGGGCATCGACACGGCGCCCTTCCCCAACATCGAGAGCTGGATCGAGAGGTGCATGGCCCGCCCCGCGGTGAAAAAGGGGTACGAGATCCCGGCCTATATACCGATGACCAACGCGGATTTGAAGAGGAAGAGGGCGGAGGACCCCGAGGCCAAGAAGCAGTATGAGGAGTCGCAGAGGTTTTTGAGGGAGGCGAAGGAGAAGTATGGGTATAAGTATTCTTCGCCTTAGATAAGAAAAGGGAGAGAGAAAAGGGAGAGAGAAAAGGGAGAGAGAGAGAAACAGGGATCTACAATGACATATACCTAGTATATTTATTTACCGTATGTACCTATGAGGTAGGTAGTTACCTCTTATTTACTCAACTACCTACCGGAGTAATATAATATATGTCAATATGCGGTGCTACCCAACTTGAAAATACACAACAGCTAGCTAGTTAGCCAGCTACCTAACCCGATTGCTTTCTTTCCCCGCATCGTATTTTTGTGTGTAACCTAGTAACCTGGTTACCAACCAACCACTTATAATTCTCAATTCATCTTTTACTTGCTCCCCCTCACCAACCAACCCCTTTACTAGGTTAAGTTATAGACTATAGTAGTATATCTTATATATAATATACGACCATCATAAGACTCCGTACCTAATCTAAAAAGGCAGCTAGGTTAGGTACCTGGCACTTAAGCATACGATGCATCCGCAACAGCTTTCAACAGGTGGACAAATTGTGCCAACCGCACGTTTTCGGTACGAATTTCCCCGGATCGTCAGAGGGGCGCCATTCCCCATTCAGTCCAGCTATGGCTGCGGCCCCAAAGTTTCTGGGGGAAAATGCTACCGCGTACCTGGTTCGATGGGGTTGTTGTTGTTGTTGGAAGGTTGGGGAAAGGGAATTGGTAAATGAATTGCCGACCGAGGGTTGACGTCTTATAAGTTTAGGTAGGCAGGTATACGGGTATTGGCATTGTTGTGTATTATTTATAATGGCGAGGTTCGTCACGAGTTCGACCTATTTTTTTTTTCTGAAGGAGGACTGGTGCTTTCTCTATTCATGATACCTACCTACCTACCTAACCTATTCGCCTACGATGAGCATTCGCTCGATTGCCTCTCTTGCGGCCCTCGCGGCGGTCGCTGCCCAAGATCCTTCTTCACCCATCGATATCCCAAGCCATCTTCCCACGCGGCGCCTCGTCCCAGACGTCTACGGGTACTCGATCGAACCGATATGGGTCGACGACTACATCAGCACGCCGCTCGCCCAAACCCTCCTTGGCGCCGTCGCACGAGTCGCCGGGAAGCCGCCGCCGATCCGCGTCGGCGGCAACACGGCCGACCAGACGTACCTGCACGACGCGCCGCTGTCGACGGGGAACAGCTCGGTCGCCATACCGGGGTACCTGAACGCGAGGCAGTTCAACGTCACGCCGGCCTGGTACGACGGGTGGGCGGGCTACTTCCCGGAGGGCACGGACTTCGTGTACACGCTGAACCTGGCGGCGAACACGTCGGCGTGGTCCAACGCCGTCGCGCAGGCCGAGGCCGCGCACAAGTCGCTGGGGCGGAGGCTCAAGCAGTTCGAGCTCGGCAACGAGATCGACCACTTCATCAACAAAGGGTGGCGGGACGCGTCCTGGGACGTGGCCGCGTACGTCGAGCAGTTCCGGAATGTGACGGGGCAGATCGTGTCGTCGGAGTGGTACAAGGGTATTGCGGACGATGGGGATAAGCCCACCTTCCAGGCGGGGGTGTTTGCCGACCCGCCGTGGGTGCCGGATCAACAGGATGAGATTGACGATTTCAGCATTGCGAACCTGACGAAGGACGGGGAGGGGGGCATTGTAGAGAGGGAGCAGGATAAGGATATTATCGGAAGTTACGCGACGCATTTGTATCCGCAGTCTACGTGCGATGGGCCACGGTGGTTGCGTATGCGGTTGGATCTGCTGTCGGATCATCAGGTGCTTTGGAAGGGTGAGTTTTGTTGTCTGATATACTTACTACCTATTCCCTCTCAGTCTCTGGGTGTAGAGATACTAACCGTGTCGGCAGTGAGTGGCCAGCCCCCTTTTCTTCGCCAAAGTGTCGTATATACCACATCTTGAGAGCTAGGTTTAGGTAGATGAACTAGCGAAGCATACCTATGCTTAGACTTTAGTTATTCAATGCCCCCCCCCTTATTCCCTATCCCAATGAGATAATATGAGATAGGAAACATAAAGTGCTGACCTCGAACAGAACATATCCCAATTCGTCCCACAAGTCGCCGCGGCCGACAAAGCCGGCGCGCCCCTCGTGATGGGCGAGACCAACTCGGTGTCCTGCAGCGGCAAGAGCGGGATAAGCGACACCTTTGGCGCGGCCCTCTGGGGCGTTGACTACGTGCTGCTGGGCGCGTCCATCGGCATCCGCAAGACGTACTTCCACCTCGGCGCGCAGAGCGAGTACAGCGCGTTCACGCCCAAGCCCTACCGAATCAAGAACGAGACCGTGGGCGCAGGGATCCGGGCTAATTGGTACGGACACTACTTCGTCGCCAAGATCGTTGCGACGAACAGTGATAAGGACAAGGAGTTGAGCATTGCGGCGCTGCCGGGGGCCAATAGTAGCTCGCTTAGCGGATACGCCGTATATACTGGCGAGGAAGAAGAGGAGCGCTCGTTGAAGAAGTTGGTGTTCCTGGATATGGGCGTTTGGAACGGCACCGAGGGTCTGAGCAATAACTCCACGCTCAAAGCTACCGACGGCACATCCTTCAGCAACGGGACGCGGCCCGTCAGCACGATTAAAGTATCAACGTCGTGGACGGCCGGGCAGAGTGTTAGCGTGACGAGACTTACGGGACCAGGGACGAATGCGAAGAGCGGGGTTGCGGTCTCGGCGGTTACTTTTGACGTGAGGACGGGGGCGAAGGTAGGAGAGGAGAAAGAGGAGGTTGTGGAAGTTGGAGAGAACGGGACGGTGGAAATTAAGATAAAGAGAGCGGAAGGTGTGTTGCTCGAGATCACAGACGGTGCTGTTTCGGAAGAAGTAGGAAGCTCGGGAGCTGCTGGAAAGACGGGTGCGCTGTGGTCTGGTCTTTTCGTTGCTGTTATGACTATAGGTTTCATGGTGATGCTGTAGGGGCAACGTAAAAGTACTTGACCTACCTAGGTACCTAATAATCCATATATAGCCTTGCATCATATACCAACAGTGCCTTCTATTTCGAGGGAAGCTTTCGACGTACGTTATATGGGAGACATGTGTAATATCAGATGTAATGGTGAGAATGACTTAGCTTCAGAACCACAAGTACCGCGGATTCCTAGCTGATTCTTACCCCTTACCCCTATTCACACCACAATACAGAGGATTGCTTGATTTCGCGTAAAGACTCGCTGTAGGACTGAAACAAAGTCCCGAGTCTTGAAGAGGGAGATAACTGGACTGGCGTTACGCCCGGTAAAGCAATAGATCCACATAGGGGATTCTCTTCTCGTGTCTTGAATCTCCATTACGGTTCAAGGCGCTCTTTTCTTAGGAGGGTAAATCCCAGGCCCCATTATATCGTTAACATTCATCATGTTCCCCCTCCTTCCATTCATCGGTCTCGTACTCAAGTTCGGCAACAGGTCGAAAGGAGAAGTGTAGAGTATCAGCCCTTGGGGGTGAAAGGGGGCGGAAGGGAGTAACCGGATAAGATGAGCAGTACTAACTGCAACAGCTTACCAACAGCCAACGAGTTTGTATTGGCAAATGGGCCGCCAACGACATCGTAAACACTGCAGTGTAGTCCTCCAAGGCCGACTCCGGAGGGAATACGTAGGATCCTCGTTTGGGACCCTATGAATAGCCAACAGGGTTGGATAAACGTATCATGTTATGTGTTGAGTGAACAGCCATGGGAAATTGACGTCGGTTTAGTCTTAGGCCAAGAAAGAGAAAGAGCAGAGCTACAAGATACCTGCATCTACCGCGTCTATGCATGATTTCAAAACATCAATCCCCACTCCATAGTTTACCCCACGTTCCTCCATCAGGATAGTTGAGGGATCTGGAGGCGAAGCGATGCGTCACTCTGCCGAGTCCCGCCATCGTTTGTGAAGATGATACGTATAGCGGAGCACAACAGGCACATCTACCGGCTAAGGCACACACGCTCGCTCAAAGCCTCCTAGCCATCGCTAAATCCTGCCTGGGATTCGGAGATATGGAGCCTGCGAAGTCCGAAGTCGCACCTGTGGTGACCTATATGGTTGTTCTTGGCCTAGACGCTCTATTGGGCCAAGTTCCCATCTTCCGAAGTTCCAAGTTCGGTGACACAGGGGAACAGAGTATATGTGTCACTGTCGCGTTCTTCCATCGTAAGTTGCCCATATATCCCTCTCTGTGGAGTACAATAAGCGAACGATCATCTCGGCACGCTGCAGGATGGAATAGGATAGGATAGGACGGGGGTCATTCAGGCCTAGGTCCATACCAGGCTAAGCCCAAGCGCTGGCCTTGTATACGTATGGATGTCCTCATAGATCGTGTACAGTCGACCTATCGGGGGCTAACCCAGCTCGACACCAATATCCGGGGGTGACATGAGGACGTGCCGGAAGTAGCAGACGCGCAGGTCGTCGCCGTGTGGTTTGCAGCGTACAGCATGGCATTGGGACCCTTCCCGCAGTTTTTTTTTTTTTTTTTTTTTTTTTTGACGCTACATATCGTGAGAAGTTTGTGCGGATTCGGTGTTAGAATAAACTCCTTGGCAGAAATGCCAGCGTAGAATGGTACGGTACGATGCTGTAGGTTCTTCATGCAGAGTCGAGTGTGCGTCTTATAGTCGACAGTCAGCCGGACCGGGTAACTTTACGGGTTACCTCCTTATTTGGCCGAGTTGCAGATTTCGGGAGTCCCTTTAGAGTGGATTCGTGCATTAAAGCCGATAGGCAGTACCAAAGATATGAGGGTTTTCATTGGGCAAATAAAAGAAATCCATGGTAGTCATACATGATTGTTATAAAAATATGTCAATGTTGTAGTAGATTTTGGTACAGGCCCTGTATGCCTGGGATCGTGCGCCTCTCCTGACCGAATTAGGAGTAATGGGGCCAGATCTTGAAATTTCGCGATCTCGATGGAAAGTGTACCAATTCTAGGCAGCTTCCGAAATTGCTTCCGGTGCCCACGAGTTATTGAATCCCTCTCGTCAGTATTGACAAGGCTTTTTGAGACTTCTTAGGTAGCATTTATGCCTTTCAACAAATCAAATACGCCTTGACCTAGAACCAACTGATGGGCTTTAGGGACTTCCTTTTCTAGCTCAATTTACAAGAGCTATGGAAACGTAAGAGTAAAAAACGAAGTGCGTCAGCTCGTCAACTGATTGAATAGTAAAGATACCGAGGCCTAGTGTCCATGTGCCCCTGATGGGGCTTGCTGATCTTCTAGCCTGCCTAGGATCTACTGCTATATTCTTGTAGAATGTATCGAATTTCCAAAAGTATATAGCAATCATAAAGCGGTACCCCTTTTCGTCAGATAGCTGCGGCTGCGAGCTATTGTAGTAGTGGCCTCTTCGCCAAACATTGGATGGTTTTATTGAAAAAATGAGAGACATTGGTAGTGTACTGTCGTACAGTAACCCGTTTTGATCAAGAGAGATATGGCGAGGCTAGTAATGAATGCAAGCCGTTGCTTTTGAACGCCCCATTCATATTCTCAGCGTAGACATCCTCAAATCAACAAGAGGAACTTCCCTTTTCTCATTGAGTTAAGCGAAAACTTTCACTTATACCTTGGAATGTAAAGCATTCCTCGGACGCTTTTGCTCAGATACAGTGCCTTTTTAATCATGAGCAAAATATAAGTCCAGTAGTTGTGCTGTATCCGTACACTACTATGTCATCTTAATGTTAGCAACTTATCATAGACTTCTCTAGCAGAATTAGTTCTTTGAATCCTTCTTTCCATGATTTGGTCTGTTGGGGAGTTGGCTTTGGGAGTGGACTTCGGGCAAAGCCACCGTAACCCAACCATGTCTGAAGTCCCGCCTTTACACTTAGAACCCCGCCCTGAATAGCCGTCCAATCGCCCCGTGATACGATCTCTTGCATTTTCTGTGCCTCGGAGTGTCTTCCTGCTCTATACAGTTCGATAGTCCTGATACAAGCCTTTGGCGCAATGTTTGCGAGACCTGCTAATATGCCGTGTCCTCCTGCAATTAAGGACTGGATCGAGAAGTCGGCTGAGCCCGCTAGGACTAGGAAATCGGGTTTGTCCGGGTTGTACTCCTTCGATTGTGAACGTGTAGCAGCTACTACACGGTTCAGTTTACCAGTATTGCCGCAAGTAAGCTTGACACCGACAATTTTAGGATGCTGTGCCAGTTTGATGATCACATCCGATGATAGGTCTAGGCCATTGACAGCACCTGGGAAATTGTATATGATGAGGGGTATCGGGGACGCATCGGCAATGGTTGTAAAGTACTGCTCGATAGTCTCATATGATGGAGCAAACAAGGGCGCGTAGTACGACGGGGGTAACACAAGGGCATAGTCGCCCCCTGCTTCCCATGCCTCTCGACAGTACTGAATAGTCTCACGAGTACTTTGAGCGCCGCAACCGACTATAACTGGGATGTGAGAGAATCCGGCTTCGTTTAACGCCTTCCGTGTGGCGAGAGTGACCAGCTGACGTTCGGCGTGTGTGAGGTGAACAGCTTCGCCATTAGAGCCTTGAGTTGCAAGACCAGTGACACCAGCCTTGGCAAGTCGTACCGCATGGCGAGCAATGGTATTGATATCAACGTCCTCGGTCTCAGGGTCGAAGAAACATAGGGTTGGTACGTAGACGCCTGGTACCAGTGGCCGTGTCATATGGAAATCTTCTTCTACTGAGTCGCTCTCTAAGAAGCTACCGACAGAAGAATGCGACTCGGGATGTGCTATAGAGCCTATCGCTGCGCCTGAAGAAGTGGTGAGTCGAGAGGAGATTCCCTCAAAGCTGACCGTAAAGCTTCCATTAGGAGATGGTGCATCAAGATGGGGCGCCATGGTTAATCATAAGATGTACGATGGTGATAGTGAAGTATATTTTCGTAATGAGAAGTGTGTGATTAATCTTGTGCTGGAGAGTCTTGCAAGACAAAACAACGGGGAGCAGCGTAGTATATATAGGCAGAAGTGAGATATAGCTATGTCTTAACAGCAACACCAGTTGGAGGAACAAAAAGGATGGCTCGAATAGAAGAAGAGGAAATGAGGTGAGGATACAGACGCATAGACAACATTCCCATTTCTATAACACAGGTAGGAAGGTACACACTGTCACAGAAGTCTGGTATGCATAACCCCTCGCATCTCTCGCTCGGATGTTCCTTTTCAGTAGTGCCCAAGGAGATATTTCAGATTAACAATAACTTCAAAGACCGTGAGAACAGTGCAAGGAAGATCTGCACCACCTGCATATCTCGGGTTGCAACTGTAAGGGTCTTCAAAATGCTTTCGATTTATGCATCAAAGCTAACACGGATGTTAAACGTAGAGTGACTAAACGGTTTGTTATACATCGAACAATATTAAAGACAGCTAGAGAGTCCGGAATTGGATGTACCACATAGTGACTTGTAGGTGGTATTGGGATGTATTCATCAGGTACACAGACCGAATTGTGGATTTGAATGTGGGGGGTAAGCTTGAAGTCGGTACTGTATACTAGTGATTCCCCCCAAATACTCCGTTTTAACACAGAGACTGTGAATGGTCGGCTAGCTGACGATGACATTGGTGATACGGCTTCTATAAGGCCTAGTCGAATCCGACGATGGGATTGGCCAATGGAGAGGACATGCCCATTTGGAGCTGGGGTCAGCTAATAGACTGGCACCAATAGAGAAAGCCATGCAAAGCCTAAGCATGTCAGTAGGAGGCCTGGGCATAGACTAGGGAATCGAACGGAAGAAGACCGCGAGCCTAGTCACCGAAAGCCGTCAATGGGCAGATCTATCTACCATATTCGTGGAGGCACATTCACCTGCTTCGGCGATTGCACAGCAACATCATCAGCTTAGGCATCGTCGTCATCCAAGGCCCAGTGGCATTCCAATCGAGCAGGGGTTTATGGCATCCGGTTGGATGCTGGTAGAATTCAGCAGCGTTGGGGTTTTCAAAAAGAGGTGGAAGGAGCCGAAGCGGGAAGCTGGCCGTGTTGTCACGAGTCCGAAGACGGGCGAAGGCCAAGAGCAGCTATGTGATGAGGGATACGGACTGTCGTTTATGACGAAAGACGGCTAGCAGATAAACATCTCACCAGGCGGCTGAAGTTAATGTGGCGAAGCGATATGCAAGGCGCGAATAAAAATCACGTACGACTCGTGGATGTAGGCTACTCGTTCTTCCGGGAAGGACGGTGTGATTGTGGCTTTCAGGATTAGCAGCCGGGCGGCTGCAGTGTCACTCTCATTGAAAAGCTGCCAAGAATTGCGAATGACCTCTATGCAGCTTCATCGGACATTAAATTGTTGCTAACCAACTCATAATAGCGGTGAACCCCGTACGGTAGTTTGAAATCCCTCGTGCCGGTTACCAATTACAAGCCGATATATTAGATTGTGAGCAAAAGACGAGCGCTCTGGTTCCCTCAAACTGGTAGTAGAGGAATTTTAATACAGTCATCTCCGGAACTGGTAGAGCCAGTACGGCGAAGAGGGTTAGACAGCAAAGTGGCGAGCTGGTAGGTAATTTCTTGGGCCAAGAGCCAGGAGGTTGTACTGTAGTAGTAATCTACTCTAGTAGAAGCTTGTTCAATGCGGGAAACACATCGCTATCTAATTCCGGGCAGGACCTCCAAGGTTGCGGCAGGCCAGTAATGTCTTAGGCTCAAACAGCAAGTGATTATTGGCGGTTGACATGTCTGTCTCGTAAGGCACCGTAACGCTAAACCAGCCATGTTACTACTCGGCAAGTGAATAGGAAGGGGATCGGCATGGCGTCGCCTATCTGAGAAGCGAAGGGAATGTAACATATTTTTTTTTTTTTGGATAACTAGTTGAAGTATCACAGCATTGTAAGTATCTTTCACTGTTGTCGTCATAATAGTTGTAGAGATGTTCCTAGAGAATGAATTTAACTAACCACTCAATGCTAGAAATGGTGCGTCTTGGATTGGGTTGAAGTTGGGTTGGACTTGAATGATGTGCATTGGCGCGGGACTATCCAGGCACGTTGGGAGTTACTATGTAAGAAGTTGGGGGAATTGGGGGGTGTTGTAGGTTGGGGGCCATTCAGGTGGTATCTGGTAATATTTGCTTAGTAACAATACTATAGAGTATTGCAACTTCTACCAACTAAACTATAGCTAAGGTTAAGGTTAAAAGGAGGTACCTACACCTAGCTAGACCTAAGTAAGGTATGAGACTGAGGTAGTATGAGTCATGATCGTAACTTCTATGTGTACCTGAGTTTATGTGTATGTCGTACCTACTTCGTATATCTCAATTAGGTGAGGTATATGTATAGTTGAACTGAAAGAACGATAGTAACAACTTCCATACAATACAATACATGTAATGTGCGGGTGGGGGACTCCACCAAGGCTGTTACCCATCACATCTTCGTCTTGCCCCTCTCCTTAACCCTGAATTTTAATATTTTCTGCTTATTCACCAATGCGGGGCTACCTATGCTCTTTTTTTGAATTCCTTTCCTTGAACTTGAAAAGTACCTCTAACATCATGCATATTACACGCGCCTATTTTCTATAATGATCTACGTAACTCCGAGGGATCGTTGGCTGCCTCACGCTGCCCTATTGTCCAGTCATGTGCGCCAACGTAAATCTCTTTTTTTCCGGCGGCTGATGAGGTTGAAGGAATCAACTTGATTTTCTCGCTACCAGGTTATCCTCCTCCCTGCGACATGCATCGTCCGTCCGTAGCACGACCCGGTCTACATACATATGTAGTGTACTATGCAGTACATCCGTTCGTTTGTATTGTACGTACGCGCCGTATGTGTAAAACGGTATGAGAAAATGTAGTGGCTCTTGGGACGAACATTTCCCAACCTAGCCGCAAATGGACTCCAAGAAGTTGACAGCTTTAAGCGGCAGAGTAGTAAATGTCAGAGAATTGTCTTTCCTTTCCTCTTTACTCTGCAGCGTGCCATTATTGTGAAGTAGCGAGCACGGACCTTGTGATATTGGCCAATATAGAGAGCGGCGAGAGTTGCATCTCGTAGAGGTACGTCCAAGAACACATTCCACTTTGAGCTTGGCCTCAGTTGTATAAGGTGGGAGAAGCTATAACAGCCCACTACGTAAATATTATTTCCCCTAACTTAGCCGAAGGAAACTCGTGTTTTGTTAGCGACATGTCTTTTCTAGGGCTGACTGCAACCTGCTTCTTGTGCCTACCTCTCTCTCATTACTACCTAGCCTAACCTATCCATTGCCGTGCCGAAATCCGTAAGAACGAGCGATTGAGAATCATATCATCAGTCTATCGTAACCTACGTTTAATATATTTTATTGACTAGTTTTGGCACATCTATTGGCTAGGCAGCCGTACGAACTACGCGTCGTCTTAATACGCATTCAAAAGCGTACGATTTACTCAGTAGCCCGACCAGGAAGGGAACTACGTAAGCTTCTTCTACTTTTCGTTCCCCTTGTGTTGATCGCGTGATTAGGTACATATGAAGACGCTTTAAAGTTGGGTATGATTTTCACTTGTTATGCAAAGCTTCGATCACCGTTAAGGAGTGCGAGTGAGAAGCTTCGAATCTGACAGGAACCCTCGCTTTGCATCTAGAACACCCCAACAACCCCGAAACCGGGGACGGCAGCTAGATGTACCCCATAGTAACTAAACCTCTTATGCACACACGGTTTCCGACAGATTGGTTCCAAATAGTAAAAAGGTAAAAGTGTCCGGCCACTAGTCTAGGGGCGTAGTATGTACTTCTTGAGAAGTATGCGAATAGATTGTAAGACGCTGTTTTGCGTGCCCCCATGTATATGTTACATTAGCGAGTTATCAAGTAAAACTTCCCCTCGTATTCATTGGATGGCAAGCACATATACCTTACGTGCGAGTTATTACATTCTTTAATATTAGGGTTGCATACTCTTATCAAAGGTCTTGCTTAATATATCTGTTGGCTTCAGGCTCTGAGCTTCCGATGACACATAATTCCTTCATTCCTCAATCTATATGAAGGAATAATACAGATAAACAACCAACAAAACAATATACCTAGAATGACAAGTCGTTTCTATACTTTTTCATTAGTCAAATTTTGAATAATATAACTTAAATTGATCTAGCATATCGCGTGGATTTCCCAACACAGTTTGTGGTTGCTCGACTAGGTAGATCGCCCTCTCCTCCTGGCCAGATGTAACGTAGACTGCCTGGTAGTGCGCTATATTACAACCTATAAGAGATAATCATGGTATACTGCCTGTTCCTAAAAAAGCCCACTATAGCTACGTGGTGGCTATGCCTGTATAAGCAGGATGGCTTGAGCCCAATACATAATCGTTATAGGTAGGGTCCTGCGAGAGTGCCCAACATCTAATTTCAACTGCATAGCCGCCAGGTTCCTTCAAAGGTGCGATTTCCGGGTCACATGGGCCTCAAGACGAACCAATCCTCCAAAACAGCCATATATCCCCGGTGCCTTGTGTCTAGTAGATCATCGTCAGCCAACCGATGCTTGAAATGCCTGCTTCGCCACGTGGATGCAATATACTCAGAGTATGACGTACTGAGTAATGGATGGCATGATCCTGTCCTGCATGTGCAACTCCTGTGAGTGACTGTTTGCAAGCTACGTCTTGGGGACCACCAGGCGCTGCATCCTACCTCGGACTATATGTCACCCTCAACAAATTTCTTGGCTCCGGATAGTAGTTAGACGACGTTCGGCTACGGTAGATTATGTACTTTGGCTGTTAAGCGATGGCAAACTCGGGAAGACCCAAGCGTACTCAGAAAGGGGGAAATATTAGGCGATGTGTTTGCACGGTTTTGATTATACCTAAGCTTTTTTTTCTTATACTTATTTATTCAATGATTGTTGTGCAATTTATTACGGTGACCTCGTTAGCCGAGCGGATATTCTTCAGAAGAAGAATAGCTTGCTGCGTCATTTTAGAGCGCATGCCCATGATGCAGTTCATAGGTGAGTAGATGATCAGAGTAATGACTGAATATGTCAGCGTGGTATGCCTTTATAGAAATGTGCATTGGGCATCAATATCTCATATTCTTCTTACTCTTAGCTACTCCCAGAATGAGCCATGAGAACTTAGTAAACGAGGTATGATAGTGAGTATGATTGAGCATTTTAAGGGCATGGATTTGGGAGTTTGTTGAGTCTTAACTCATAGCGTGATGGATATGATACTTGTAGGTGTTAAGGGGTTATTAGCACACCATGATTCTTGTTAACTTATTATCTGTTTAGGATCACTAAATTGACTAAAAGACTGATATTGGTCTCATTTGACTCCTAGACTATGCACGGGACACCTTAAAGAGACGGCTCCCCCTTGGTCATTGCTGATGGCTAAATAATACATATCAATGTAGGAGTTTGATGCCTGCCATGAAAGCCTTATTCTATCGTTTCGCATATCATGAGGTGATTAATCTTAAAACATTAAGTACTAATGGTTTGCTAGATATTCTGAGGAAAATGTGGAATAAAAGGTAGAGAGAATAGGGGCCTGCTGTCTATATAAAGAGTGCCTAGGTACCTAGGTAGCTAGTTACCTTGTAAGAGGGTGGAAGGACAGGCGTTACTAGATCATACCTAATATACCTACTGCACATATGGCCCTCACGCTCACTCTGTACATCTCATCCATCAAGAGTATTAACCTCTTCCGACAGACATATTATAACAAGGCAAAAACAAAAGCTACATAAATACATAGCTTTCTTATCCTTTCATGAAGCCTAAAGGCAGCCGATGCTCATGGAAAATTGAGGATCAACTACTGGTTGTGACAGTTCTTCTAGTAACTCAAAATTGCTTGTGAGGGCTTGTGTCTATCCATAGATACTGCTATCAATCACCTATTATTCGGATATTATATCTCGAAGTATGGCATGTATAGCGTCTATCATATCCCGGCACCGTTTATTTACCTACCTACTTATATATTTAAAGTAAGTACCGTGTCGAGATTTTGAACTAACTCAAGTCCTATAGAATTGCAAGGTAAGAGCATGGGACAAGTGCACGCATGTACCTAAGACTAATATCCTTAGATATCTTCTATGACACCCACCATATGAGAGGAATGATCGTAAGAACCTTTTGGATGTTAGCTGCCTTGATTTTACTTCTGAACTGAAAGATTGGAGCTATCCTTGCCATAATCAAATTTAAGTAAAGCGACTTTATAAAGTTGAGATGGAAATATCTGGATATAGTATATTTTACAAGTTCACTCGGCTTTTGATGTGAAACTACCTTGATTTAAAGCTCAATACATAATCCATGTGATATAACTTAATAAGTATGTGTTTTACACAGTTGAGTTAATGAGTAATTGCAAGTTTTGTTATCCGTATGATTTTGATTTAATGTTATGACCTCCTTTCCCCCTTGGGTTTTGACAAGTAGGAATATCTCATTATGTCAAGCGGGTATGCACAAAACAACGCCAACTTCTAACTCTTCAGAACTTCACTAGATTTGCTACCTTGATCTGATCGCGGGTTCATCTATAATACTATATTTCCTTTCGTCCGCTAAGGGTTAGCCGGCGCTGAGTCTAGTCTACGGTTGATACCTACGGGTCACGCTTAAGCAGGTATTAAACCGTCTAAAATGACGGACTTGCATTGAGATTCGCGATAGTTCATTCTGCCCCTGACTATGAAATGTGTACGACTATAATTGTGGTTGATCCATACCTGCCTACTATATTGGATTTTACACAGAGGGTTGCGATATTTGTTGTCGAAACCCCAACCTCACACAAAGCAGTGGATAATTATCGGCGGACAGTCGGACGAAATTAATAGCCCCTGGTTCCTCGTGGATTTTCAATCCATCCCACTTTTTCCGCCCTTGACATACATACCAACATACCAGGTGCCTAGGTCACGTTCTAGCTTCCTTCTGACAGCTCCCACCAAGACCGTTGGGGCTCAAATTGAGACTGGAGGGGAAGAGGGGCTTACCTGGCCAGAAATAGTTGTATATCGGACGACTAGTACTATGTATCAACATGGACATACATAGTATACCTACCTGGTATGTATGACGATAGCTCTGGCAACCCCTCACATTGTCTTATCTGTGTTGACTTCAATACTACGGTGGGCCAATTGATTGTCTTAGTTGTCTACTTGTGGAAGGTCAGTTTTGAAGATAGAACCAATTTTTATCGCCTTTTTTAATTGTTCACCTGCTAAGATCATAAGGTCAAGATTGGCGAGCACGCGCTTGTAGCATGTGGTGTGCTATGTAGTAGTAGATCATGCTGGTAGTAGATTAGATAGCGAAGAGGAAGGACAGACATATTTTCACGGGGGCGGAGAGACAGTTGTCTCCGAGGGTTGGGTGGCGGACTCGAAGGGGGGGAGTTTCGAGAAAAAGCTCCGTTGCCGGCGCCTCCGGTTTGTAGCCCAGACATCCTAGCTCGGTGATCGAATCTGTCTTCAAATATGAACCCGTTCACCTAGGTCAGAGTAAGAACGAAACAGAAAAACAGGTCTAGAATCGTAGATAGAGAGGGGGAAGAGGTAGATCTCTCGTTCAAATAGAAAAATCGATGACGGTGGAATCTGGGCAAACGGGTTTAAATATACCATCGTCGTAAGCGCCGTTAATATATTTTAGTGGCATGCGACCGCCCAAATGCCTTGCCTGAAAAGGGCGGTCTGGAAATCCGAAGGAGCCTTTGGTACTGGCTGGAACTCGAAGTGGCCATAGCGTCGGGACCCAAGCCTCCCGTCCACTATTTCTTTTCTTAAAAACGTGACCAGCCGTGATCGATTCGCGTTTGTCGTACGTGTGGGCCAACGAGAAAAAAAAAAGAGGAACAAGAATTTAAAAAAAAAGAGGGAAAGAGGAGAATTTTGAATGCGACTCGACAAAAGCGGTTTGAAGGTTTACAAGAGCTGAAAAGTTATCTGCGCCGACACAACCCTCTTGCGATGGCTTCGCTCAGCACGATCCCATCGAAGAGGACGCTGGTGCTGTCGATCGCGCCTGTTCTGGTATCTGCATATCTTATATATAGATTTTCACCCCCGGGCTTCTTCACATCCCGGAGAAAATCGAGTTCAAGTGAGCGGCCGGGGCCACCAAGAATCACGAGAGGTGGAGAATGGGTGGAGGAAAGCGACGAGGTGAACGTTAGTTCCGATGAAGAAGAAGAGGAAGAGGTATGTAAATCTAAATCTACCTGCTCTGTAGCTCTACTCATACCGCTTAATAGAATAATAACGACGACAGCTCAGACGTCCGTCCTCCTTATGAGTATTATTGCATGTTCCGTCCTTTCTTTGACATCCAAAATGAGAATGAGGACAAGGACGAGGATGATCAGCTTGACGACGATGACCTGCTTGAGGAGTACAACCAGGTGATCCGGGCTGAAGACAACATCGAGATGAAGCCGGCCGCCGAGCATCCGGACCATCGGTGGATCGCCATGTGGGAGACCTGGAAGTTGTTTTCCGCGTGGGAAAGGCGGGCGTCGTACACCAACCCCGATTTCTTCAAGATGCATATCCACAAGCACTTCCACGGCCAAGGCATGCAAGAAATGATCGAGAACATGGTAAGGGGGGATAACGGCCCTTTTTGCTTTTAACCTAGTAATTGTCGCGACTGAGTAACTGACTGCCATCACCTAGCTCATCGCCTTCGATAAGGAGTTTTCGAGAAAGAAGCGTAGCAAGAGGACCTTAAAGCAGATGTGGGCGATTGTAGCCGCCATGATGCAATGGCTCCTAGAAATTCCCCTTCACGGGTGGATAGGTCAGTTTTTGAGAGAGAGAGAGAGAGCTTTGAGACGGACAGGGCATATCGTGATGACCAAATGGCTGACCACCCATGCGTAAACAGCAACGGGCGACGTGCAAAAGATAAACACAACCGTCAACCTCGTCGGCCGCGCCTTGCTCACGGTGCTCAACGAGCTGGACCGAGCTAAGATGCTTAAGGCCGATTCCGAGATCAAGGACCTAGGGTTAATCATGACCTTCTACCTCTACTGGATCGAAGACCTAGAGATCCCGGATCTCGAACTTCCTTTCCGCAAGGAAGTCGTCGGGTACGCGAAGAAAGCCGGCATCGACCTCAACCAGGCCGGTTGCTACGGCACGGACGAGAAGGTGAAGGCGCTGGAAAGGTCGGCCGGGGGTAAGATCAAGCCGATTTCCGGAACGCCTAAGTCGGATAGGTGGGACTGGAAGAGAAAGGTAAGCTTGCTAATGACTACCCCCCCATTTTCTTCATTAGCGAAGATCTGCATTTATTAACGCGAGATCGTCTCATAGTTCAAGAAGTTCTCCAAGGACTACAAGATCGGCGGCGAGAGGTACAACATCCTGAAGATGTCGCGGGAGGAGCGCGCCAGCTACGCGTTCGATAAGAAGGACCCTCTTGCCGACATTTCGGACAAGGCTCTCCAAGAGGGCAACGTCAGGGTGAGGCCGAAAAGAGGCGTCACAGCTCACTAACATTAGGTGACGATGGCGAGGAATTTTCTGGGCTCTGATGGAGGGTTTCGTGTTATTCCTAAACGAGAGAAGGATGGAGTTAGTTGGGGGGGGGGGGGGGGGGGGGGGGGGGGGGGGGGGGGGGGGGGGGGGGGGGTG